TAGACAAGGAGTTGATTCCACCACAGTATGCGGCGCTAGCCGATCTCGACCTTCCTCGGGCAGTAGAAGGACTTTTAGAATGCCTCGCTTCTCCATGGTGTGTAACGTAGTTTCTGCGCATATTGTCTTGCTTACATATCCGGCTTGCCTTTAGTAAGAGCACGGATGGACTACCACAAACAGTCGCGCCCACGGACGTTATACGGCATAATTCGTAAAAGGCCTAAACATCCTAGTACAGTCCTTATTTGGTTTCGTCTGTGGTACAGCGGCCGTCATAAGTCCGGCCGTAGCGTGTGTGTTTGCTATTAATAGGGGTAGTCAAAGATGGCGGTTCGGTGGACGATTCGAGGGAACGATTCGGGAGACGATTCGAGAAGGGGGGAATCCGCGATTCTGCCAGAATCGCGTCGAATCGCCGGTGCCAGTCTGGAGGAGCACCGCACACCCAAATCGCGATTCTCTGCACTCGATTCCCTCAGCCCGACCTCGGATAAGCCCTTTTAAAATAGGTTATATGTCGAAATTGTACTGGGGTTTGTCTTAGCACGTCTTACGAGCGACCATGGCCCTACTGCAAGCTTGCCGCTTCTCTACTTTTATCAGAATTGCTGGTCTACAGATTCCCTCCACCTTCAAATGTCCAATCAGACCGAAAACCCTACTGTCAGAAAGTCTGGCCGTCTCACTTGGCAACCTTCTGCTGGCTCTGGCACGAAGACCGGGAATCAAGTGCGCCGTGTATCTGTTTGATGAGATGGATAGATTTTCTCTGAGGTCCCAAGAGCTTAACGAAGCATAGTAGGGGGGGAGAGCAACGCGGCACACGGAGAGAAACCGTCGCGCGAGGATGCATGGACTACTACACTGATTTTGATATCACAGACGCCCGAAGGCCTGACCGACTCAAGAATTTACCCTGGAATCGACCCGTAGAAACGTGGGGTGGTCAAAGTGCCCACACGAATCCAGGACAATTCCATTCGACGGAATCGTTGCAGAATCGCTCGACGAACCGTCCTCCGAACCGCCATCTTTGACTACCCCTAATATATGTCGAAGCGCGAGCGCAGAGTCGTTGCAGCCCCGCCAACGCACTCCGTCGACGATGGATTACACTTACCCGGCTAGTATCAGCTACAATATAATTTATAGTTTCCCGTTCAGCTCGTTCCGGATGCTCGAGGATAGCAACTGTGAGACAGGCAGACAAGGTGGCTTCAAGCTGCGCGCGTAGGCGCTCTGGGTTGCTGAATTGCCGCATCGAAACCCGTGGGAATGTATTATGTTGGGGCAACCGTCCACTGACGCATGCCGAGACTCGTCGTATTCAACGTCCACTGCGTAAGTCTTATTGATCATCTCTTCCCTCATTCTCTATTTCCTACCGAAGTGGTAATGGAATAGGTTAATTTGGTTGTCCGCGTTACTTGTGTCCGTCCAACTGACTGTCGAACTGAAATCCATGCCCTATGTCAGGTGTTGCAAGGCCTAAGTACTCATCGAGCCGTAACAGACCATACCCGCTGCGCTGTGAACCAGCCTAGATGACAAGAATGACGATGGCGAGAGAAGAGCGCCACTGACGATTACTTCTGGTAAATCATGTCACCACTCTGACAATCTCGAGCCAGGCGCGGCGGATGACCAGCCAGCGTTCAGGACAGCGTAACCGGCAATTCTACACCATGGATGTATGGCACAGAGGTGAGTATCCATGACTGTGATATGGGAGGCACTGACAGATATACACGTTCAAACGCAGTTCTGCTCGTGCTGACGGTCACTTCTGTTGTCAGATTCTCTCTGACGCCATGAGCGTCATGATTCATGGACACCCATTGCTTATTGCTGATTCGAGACCTCCTTGAACTAATCGCCACTCACTCTGAAAATTCAGCGAGCCACTCTTAGCTCCATCTCACGACGAGCGCCCGAGCGCCGGAATATGCAAACTCGTGCTCCGGCCCAAGCATAGCCAAAGCTGCGTGCTTGAGGATTATGCCTCTCCTATTTTCCGTTGAGAGGCGTGACAGCTGTCGGACAAACCTCAAGGTGAGACCACAGGTGGAGGTTCGTCTTTGTCAGACGCTTAAACCTGCGCAATGCGTCCTAACCACAATGGCCCTATATAAACGATCCTGCCACCTCCCTTTCCCTTCCGTAACCTTCCTCACAACATACCCCAGCGTGGTTTCCCTCCTAGCTTTTGCTATCATGACTGCCCCGGAGAGTTCCATTCAGGCTCTCTACTGGCTCGCAGCCCCCATGACAGAGTTCCCCTTTATTGTTCCACGCCCACGCTCTCTCAACGCTTTCCGCACGATTGAACCGTCTGGCAGTGCAATCAACGGGATGGCACATATGTACAACGTACCACCGGAGTTCTGCCAAATGACCATCAACCCCGCAGACGTCATGCCTGATGACACTTACCTTGAGGTCTGGCATTGTGCAGAGGCGACCATCCATTACCGGGATGGACAATTCGTTGTTGACGGCGTCATGGCGGGAGTCAAACCTTTCGTGGTTGGCGGACTGTCTCCGGTGTACCCTCACGTCCTGCATCATCCCCGACCTGACACTGCCCATGGACCCTTGAGCACTATCGCTCGACAAGCCTCCACTGACGACGTGCAGGATACTCCTATGCTTGTCCTCTGGAGATGTACCCATGGCACCCTCTTCGTGCAAGCACACGAGGCTTCGGTACCATCTCCGCCTGGCTCTGCTTCGGCTCCTACAATTGAGGTTCCCTCTCTTCCTGAGGCTCCTTCTCCTCCTCAGAGCAGCAACGGCGAGCTACAGTCTGTTCGAGTCCGCGACGGCTCCGTCGGCCCTCCCCCGCCCACGGCCCGTCTCACTTCTCCTTGGGCTCCCCCTGCGAACAGCCAATCTGCCGTGCCGCCGGCCACTATGCACCCCTCTCTAAGTTTCGCTACCCGCGCTGCCCCAATATCACCTGCTGGACGCCCTCTATCCCGCCCTACACAACCTCAAGCTCCAGCAGCTCCCGGCACGCACCACGCACCCGGTGTACTGCCTTCACTCTCCCCGCGTATGATTAAGAAGCTGCAAGACAAAAAACGCCGCACGGTCGACCCGCGCAAGCATACTTCTATCGCTCGCTCTTCTGTGTCAGGCTGCAGCACTCTCCAAAGTGGCTTCGCCACCCCGCCACCTCCACCGCCGCCACCGCCGCCTGCCCCTTCGCCCACGGCTATCCCCAGATCACCGCCTCCCCCCATAACTTCGTGTGCCCCGTCGCCTGGTGATGTACCGAAGCAAACGACGCAGAACGGTCAACGCAACGAACAGACGCCACCCCCGCTCACCCCAGCAGCTTCGTCCAGCCTCACCCCATCGTCCTCCGCCGCCCCCAGAACTCCCAGCCCCGCCGCACGCGATGACGCCCCCACGTCCTCAGAGCTCGTATGCGGCATCAACAACTGCCAAGACAAGGTCACCCCCGTCAGCTGGGAACCGCACTACATGCACGCGCACGAGCTGTACGAGAGCAAGTGGAAGCACAAGGCGCTCTGCCCGCACCGCGACTGCTCGGACCCCGCCGCGCTCGCCGCGAAGGCCTCGCGCACGCAGAAGACGACGTTCGGGAGCTGGCAGACGTTCAAGCGGCACGTCCTGCAGGTGCACATGCCCGGCGGCGGGGCGCACGTCTGCCCGATCCCAGGGTGCGGGCGGGTGTTCAGCCGGCCGGACGCGGCGCTGCGGCATTGCGACCGTGCGCACGACGAGCTCGCGGAGAGCGCGCGGAAGCGTGTGAGAGTGGACTGGATCGGGCGGATGAAGAAGTCGGCCAAGGTCGCGCGCGCGAAGGGCTCCGTTAGGAAGGTGTCTCGCGCGCAGGCTCCTTCGGTGCTCCATCCCACGGAGAGCGCCGTTGGCACGTCTCGGATGGCAGACTCGGATGATGAGTACGTCCCGGGCACGGGTGATGACGAGGACGAGGCCATGGACATGGACATGGACATGAGCGATCCGGACGATTACGACTGATTCTCGGCGTGTTCACCGACCGCGGAAAGCACGAACGACTATCCTGATACACCACTGCCACCTATCACATTATCTGCTCCAAACTATGCTACCCTCCCCTACTACTCACTAGTATATGCCATTGGACGCCCTCGCCCCCAAGTGCTCTAGCCCCTATGCTGTACATCCACTATCCCCCACTGTCACTGTATGCTTTCCTGTATCTGTAACCTTACGTATGACCACTCTATGAACGTATGCTACTCTCCACAGTTGGCTCGAGCGTGCCCTCAGGGCATCGGGAACACGATTGCCGGCGGCGCCCTCCTGAGAGCGCGAGCTACGGCAGTAACATGAGGCGCTCACGCCGCACGCGCCTAATGAATGAGATCCTGCCCACTCTCAGCTAGATCCAAACGCTGACTCGAATTGCGAGCGATGAGTGCATGCAACCGCGTATGTCGACGGCCCCAAATCGTCGATGCCGTTCCAGTGGCTCGCGTATACAGCTGGCACCGCCGCATCGGCGGTATGCGACTGGAACTTAGCCACAGCACATCTCCCGGTGAGCAGTGACGGTTCCAGCTTCTTGAGCCTCCGGATGAGGTTATCAAACATACTGATAGTAATAAGTACTAGTACTACAAACCGGACTGCAAAGAGCGACGCATCGACCTGCAAAGCACCTGAACGCATCTACATACGTACACGAAAGCGTAGCGAGCGGAAGCAAATTCGAAGTAGAGTACACGACAGCAACGAGCGACGATAGTTACACTGGTACAGCAACACCCACAATCACATTCACGACTTCCTCCTCCCCCTCTCGAGGTATCCCAAGCCCGATTCATCCAGCTCCTCAGTGCGCCTCACACATTGCTCGACCCCGGCCGCCTGAGCTTCACCCGCCGCTCCTCCCGCCGCTCGCGCCCCTCCGCCGTCACCGGCACGCTCCCCAAGCCCGCAAGCTGGCCGAAGCGCGCCCTCGACTCCGCGCGCGGCCGCCCGCTCCTCGCCTCCTTCTCCTTCTGCAGTATCCCATCCGCAGCGATCGTATCCCGGTCTCCCAGCCCTCCAGACAGCGGCAGCCGCGCCGTCGACTCGGTAGCGCCCGCCGGGCTCCCCTCTATGGCCGCGAGACCCCCTCCGCGGTCCTTGTCCCTCTCCCCACCCCCGCCAAGCGCCGCGGCGCGGAGGTTCGCGATCGACGCCTTGCTGAGCTCGAACACCTGGCTCGCCTTCTTCCTCAACGACGTCCTACTCGGCATCGGCTTCACCCTCGGCTCGTCGAACGCCGGCAACAGCGCGGGCACGGGCGGGATGGGAGGCACGGGGGGCACCTCGCCTCCACCTTGCCCCTGCCCCTGAGGCGAGCGCCGAGCGGGAAGCGGGGGTATGGACTGGTCGTCGCGGAACCGCACCGCGCCCGTCGACTCGCCCTCCTGGAGGCCGAGGTTGACGACGCTCCTGCTCGCGTGCGACAGCATCCGCACGACCGAGCCCGTCCGCGTGTGCTGCTGCTGCTGCTGCTGCTGCTGAGGCTTCCGGCCCCCGCTCCCGCCGGACCTCTCCCTCTCCCTGTCTCTGTCTTGGAAGCTTGCAGACGGAGAAGTCAGGATCGACAGCTTCGGCCTCCTGCCCTTCCCCGACTTCCCCCCAGGGTCCGCCTGCACCTTCGTCTGATTCTCCGGGGTGACCTGCGTCTGCTCCCTCCCCCCAGCAGCAGCGGCAGCCTTCGCCGGATCCGGGGGGGCAGGCTTGCCCCGCAGCCACGGGAGGAGCGAGCGCCTTGTCTTGCGCGCCGGCTTCCGAATCGCCTCGTCGCTCGGGAGCGCGGTCTGCGTCCCAAACGTGCTGTCCATGCGCACGCTCTCCGGCGAGCTCTTCGTCGACGCGGACCGCGCGCGGCTCGCGCCTTGCCCTGTGTCCCAAGCGTCGGCGACCCTCGCGGGCAAGATGCGTTGGAGGAGGGGGGCACACGTACCTAGGGACTGTGCCACGCTCGCCGGCGCAGGCCGGTCGAGCAGCCCGAGCGACCCCTCCGGGATCGCGGCGGGCACCGCGGTGATGTGGCCAAAGAGGCTCTCCTCGCCGTGCGCGACGGCGACGATCTGCCAGCCCGCCATCGCCGTGAGCGCCGCCATCTCGCGCAGCGTGCGTTCCTGCGCGTTGAACGTTACTCGCATCTGCCAGACGCATGTGCATATGATCACCCGTCAGCTTCGCTTCGTTGTTCAGATGCGATGCGTACCGTCAGGTCCAGCCAATACGCGTTTGCGTTCGCCTTGCCGAGGTTCGGGAGAAGCGGAGAGCCCTCGGGTGCCAAGGAGCGCACCATCCCAGAGACGGGTAGCTGTCCGCCAGGTCCGCTCGCGGCCAGGTCTTCGTGCTCGTCGACACACGCGTGCGAGAGGATGTGGTCGGCGATGAGCAGCTTCGTATTTGGTCCAGCAGCTTTCCGCAAATTCAAGAGGATCCTGTGGGGATCCAGTGAGTACCCAGTCACTATAACGCGGAACCAAACGGTTGTACGTACTTGACCACAAACGTATCGGGCCAGTCGTGCGTGACGACCCTCAGAACGTACACGGCGGGCGTTCCCGGCTCCTGCGACGCAGAGCCTGGAAGGACGAGCGGTGGCTGGGGCAAGAAGAAGTCGTGCCCCAGAAACATCGCCCGTCCGGAGTCGAGCATCTCCGGACAGCGTTCGCGCCATGCCTGCAGTCGCATTCGTCATGTGAGCATCTCGCGAGAAAGCCAATCAGTACAGATGCACGCACCGCGATGCCCTGCTCCGCCACCTGGGGCCTGTCCTGGATGACGAACCTGAGGTGTGGGAACGTATGCGCGAGCAGCATCGCCGTGGAGCCGATGCCTCCGCCCACGTCCACTACGAGCGAATCGTCCGGCAGTTCCTGCCACGGGAAAGCTGCAGTCAACCACGCCGTCCGTCAACGACTGATCGAGCAGTACCCCAAAGGGAGCACACACCAACGGTGACAGCGCCCGGGATCTCCCAAGCGGCCGTGCCCGTCATGGCGGGTCCGAATCGCTTCAGGCGCACCTCGTTCCCTGGCCGCTCGAGCCATTCAAAGTACGGCGTGTTGGTGTCAAACGCCACGTTAAAAGGTGCGTGCATAGGCGGAGCATCTTCGGCGGCCTTGCCCGAGAGTGACGGGAGGTAGCAGTCCGCGAGGTACGCTGCAGACTTGAACAGCTCGTCCGTGCTGTAAAATCAGAGGACGTCAGCTGGGGGCGCGTGGTAGGAGCGTGATAGCAGAGTACGTGCCATAGGCTGACGAACGCGGCGATGCCGTTCGTCGCCTCGTACTTGTCCTGTGGGCTGTGTCCGCGCCGCTGATCAGTGTCGGGATGCGAAGAGAAGGAGAGGATAAGCATACGCTTTCCGGAGCTCCTCCCACGACTTTCCAGAATCCACAATGGCTGATATACGGTTGTTCGCGAACACGTTCGGCCGGACCTCGCGAGTGATGTGGTGTGTAGCGAGCAAACGCAGAATATGGCCTGATGATATGGAGTCAGCTCCGGTCCACAAGATGAACGAAGTCAGGCTTACTGAGCTTCCCCTCGTCGACGTTGACGCGCCGACTGAGTTCGCGGACGTGCATACCATGCGGGCCGGCGGCGCGCAGGATCTCGACCGTATGGCTCGCTTCCAGGAACCTCAAGCACGCCGGAAGATGGTACTGTGAACGCCGCGGGGGCCAAACCCGAATCAGGCGCAAAGCCAATCAGTTGTTGCCCGATTGAGCTAGCGCGATGCAGCGCAGAGGGAGAAGCACGCACCCCCATGGCGGCGTCGCAAAGGGTAAGGAAGGGCCGGTGGACGGTCGCGCTGATCTGGCCGCAGGCGGCCACTATCCGGTTCGTGGCCGCGATGACGTCCGGGTGTGATGCGAGGCTCTCCGCGGTGTCCACCTCGGGCTCGTGCGTCTCTGTGGGATAGTAGGCCGCGTCGAGCCCGGGAAAGTCGAGCTGCTGGACCGTGCCCTCTGCCGAGCCCGCGCTAGTGCTCGCGGTCGAGGGCGGGAAGGGGATGCCCCCGATGGAGCCTTGGCGCGCTTGACGGCCCTGGAGAGGGGTCTTGGGGGAGCGGGCGGCGGACACGGACAGCTCCTCGTCCGGTGAGCTGGCTGCTAATGCATCTTCGTCGCGAGAGCCTCTGCGGAGGTAGGGCGTGTAGGGCGATAGGCCTGTAAGGACGGTGTAGGGCGTGGTGGGCGTGGGGGAGTCGGCATGGGAGGCGTCGCGGTAGATGCGCTCGATGTCGTCCAGCGCCTCGCCGATCAAAGTATGCAGAGCACGAAGGGCGGTGAACGTCATGGCTCGGTACCGAGGGCGTGGAGGAGGAGGAGGAGGTGTTGAGGGCGGTCGTCGCTGAGCCGGAGGTCGAGCTCGCTGTACGGGGTGAGGAAGAAGGCGAGAAAGATGGCCAGGGGGATGTCGGAGCCGGGGGAGGGGGAGGAAGCGTGTGGGATGACATGGAGCTATGTTGGCGGATGATATTTAACGAACGAGTACAGAACACGCTCTCGGACGTCAGCCAGACTCGCCCTCGCGTTCTTCTTCTCCCAAACGGGCAGGAGGAACGCAAGCTGTCACGATCGTCTCCTCGTCGGTCACGCGCGCCATCTCGCCCAGCGCTCCAGTCGTTCCCTGCTCGCGTCCGAAGCGCTGATCCTCCCCACCAGCTCGCCGCTGCCACCGTCCCTGCCTGCCTCTGCCGTCATCCGCATTCATATACTGCGTTTACAGATCCATCAGTACTCCGGCCTCTTATCTTCCGACTCCCTTGCGACTCCCACTTCTCCTCCACCGCAAATGCTACGTCTTCCTGCTGCTGCCAGCCTAAGTCCTAGACTCGGATCCCGGGTCCTACGCAAAGAACCATGCTGGTGACATCTCAACGCCGGGCCCACCTTCTAGAACGCGAAGCACGCCCGTGAGCAGGCGGCCCTTCGGCCATTTTCCTTCTCTTTGGAAGCTCTCGACGTCGACGTCTAATGCATTACATAAAATTCAGACTGAGCCGCACCGTCCGTAGTTTAATGGGTACTACTCCACTCTGCTAAAGCCGAGGAATTTCGGCTGCCTATCGTTCGCCGCCGGAGACACCTAGATCAAGTCCACCGACGAGCCACGTTCCCTTCCTCCTTCGTGCCGCTCTCTCCAACTTCCTGCCAACCGCTACTCCTACAACACCGTCTGCGAAACCGACGTCAGCTCTACGCATTCGGGGTGAACATGTCCGACGCACACATCGCCCCCCAGCGGTGTTAATCTCCCCACTGCTCCGTGTACTCCAGATGGATGACGAGGATAGTTGCGAAGACGAGGATGGCTCCAGTGCCTGAAACGGCGCAAAGGATCGCATATGTATCCCGGCTCTGTCGCGCACTTCGAGGTCAACGCAAAATGTGCCACGTCGTTCAAGGTTTGCGCGAAAGAGACCACGGGATATCTCTTTCTCGCTGACCGACTTTAGCGTGACACCGCAGAGTCTGAAGACACTCATGTCGCTAGCGACGGCAGAGCTCCGTCAGCAACCAGCACATGGTGTAAGCGACGTCTCCAACGTACGATTTTATATGCGCTTGGGACCGTGTAAGGTTTAAAGATGTGGGACGCTTGTAGAGGATAGAAATCGCAACGGAGGCATCAAAACACTGCGGTCACAAGCGCAGAATGAGAGGGCGTGGTCGACGTTGGGAATGGGTCTTGCAAAGGCTCGAATGGCACCTTGTATACATACCGTAGCTCCGAGCTCAGCTCACGTAGGATCCTCCGCCTTGAACGTCTCCGCGAATGACTACGGTGAACTTCGGTTCGATGCTATGGGGTCCGGAGTGATAGGTGGAGTGCTCGGCCGATCTTCGCACTCCTGCTAGACGCAAGAGTGAGCGAGGCCTGCACCGCCGGAATGGTCAGGTGCTGCAGGATGGTGTACGTGGGGCATAGTCGGATGGGTTATTATGGAAGGCGGGATAAGTGGTTGTCCCGTTAGTAGAGAACGAACCTGCGTCGGGAGCCCACGAATATTATGCGCTTCGTTCTAGATAAGCACCGTCGACCGGCGACATCATCGGGAGGGAGTCTTCGGCTAGACCGACGGGCGCCATCGCCCCCGCCCTGCGCGGGGTTGTGTTTTGCTGTAAGCATTTGAGCTGGGTGCGTGCCTGACATTCCTAAGATCGTAGATGCCGTGGGTCCTTGGAGACGGACCTCTGAACGGCGTCTCGATATATACGAGTACGGGCATGAATCTGACGCCGTCGCCACATAGACTTGGCTACGCGTTTGCTTCCCCGGCGTCCTTGAGAACACACGACCCACGACGGGGCCCTTAATGGCTGAGCGTGTTGTCGCGGCGACGTCAAGGCGAAGAACACCAACGCGAGGCTCTGCTGCAGCGCCACGGAGACCATGGACCAACTCCAGGACCTAGGTTCCGCGGATGCCAACTCCGCAGAGCAGTACCCATCCACGTCGCAGCGCGCGACCCAGAGACACGAAAGCGGCGTTGTGGACAATGGCAACTCAAGCCCCACCCGAAGACGAGGTGGGAGTTCCCCCAGGTGCATCAAGGTGCGCCGAGAATGCCCGCCTGGAGACGAGACGGGGATTCCACGGCGCAGAATGTGTCCTTTTTCTGTAATCGTATGAATTCGCGGTTTGGGAACGTCGGTGTCAGGGATCGGTTCGCTCCCACAGGCGAGTACGGTGGCGTAGGCCGGGTCGCTCCCACAGGTGAGCACTGAGCACGGAATTCGATTTGTAGAAGGTGAGGGGCTCTGAGGGGAGTCGGAGAGTCGGAGCACCATAAAAGGCCTTTCGAGTCGGCCGTCCATGCCGGTCCGATCCCGGACGGACCGTGGCCGTCGATCTGTAGTTCTGGGTGTTGGGGCGGGATTGGAGCCAGGCCGCGTCCGAGCACTGTAAGGGGGGTAACTGCGAGTTCGTAGACAGGGCTCTCGCAGCTGGGCCTGGATGTTGCTCCCTTCTCCACGAGTTTGGTACGGTCTCAAGCGGAGTAGGTCCGGTCTTGGAGAACAGAAGACAAGGGATAGGCAATCTCCGCAGGGGGAAGCCGGCCCGCTGAAAGCTCTTTCCGCTCCGCATGGCGCCAGTCCGACGCCTCTCTAGGCGTGGGCTGTGGGTGGTGGAATAGAGTGCCAGGTTGTTTAGGAAAGTCTCGTCGTGCCGCGACCGATGTGTCGTGAGAGAAGCCAGTCGTGTGGGGAAAGGTGTCGGAGTCAGACAGTGCTCGGACAAGGGTGATGTGGCGCAGACGAGGGCGGCGTCCTAACGAGCGGCTGGCGAGTCGCCCTTCTTGGAGGTAATATAGAGCTAGCAGAGCGGGGAGGAACGCTTCGGCTTCCGGGAGAGTTGTGTGCAGTGCGACCGCGTTCTGTGTAGTGCGCGGCTCGAGCGCCAGGATCGCCTAGGCGTGCCGCCGTGCACGTTTCCCTTCTCTGCGTAGCTGGTCGTTGCTGTACAGCAGGGACTTTGTTGCGGAGCACGCGTGTTCGGCGGCGTGCGGAGCGCAGCAGTGCAGCTGGCGCCTCGGTAGTTCCGCTCGAGCATGCAGGGCGCTGGCGTCTTGAGCTGCGAACGATAGCAATAGGGATGTACGAGGATTTTGCCAATGGGTCGACTGCATCCGCCTGGCTGAAGATATGCCAGGGTAAGTGATTGAAACCGTCATTGCATGAAATCCGTCAACATAGAGAGGGACGTACAAGGACTTTGGGGGCTAGGATACGGGCCTCTCCATCTTCAGCGTTGAACTACGTGCGGTGAGGACGGCGGGCAGGAAGTACACGCCGCTCCTCGCAGCGAGCGTCCGAGAGGGTCGTGGCGCAGTCACCGTGCTAGCTGATCCATGCCCGTACCCCCTCGTCCCCCGCCTCGTAAGGGGCCCGTTCGGGACAGTCCTCAGGGAGCCCATGCCCGTGCTCGTAGTGATCGTCCCTAGCCGTCGTATGACAGTAGGGACAGTGCAGCTTCTTGAAGTGCAGGTGGTTGTCCCGCACGTGCCGGTGAAGCGCAGACCGCGTCATCACCGAGGCACACCCACTCCAGCCGCACTGCACCTTCGTCGTGCACTTGGTGTCGGAACAATGCACGTCTCGCAAGTGGTCTAGCAGCCCCTCTGGGCTCACGACCGCGCCGCAGTCCCGGACGTGGGCAGGTGACAGGGACCTCGATCCGGACGACGTTCGAGTGGGCGTCGAACCGCGTCCGGAACGCGTCGACGTGTGGAGGGTACGGAGCCGCTTGATCATCTTCTGTTGGCGGCGAAGGCGAAGGCTGGACACAGGGCACCTCATCTGCAGCGGGATAAGGGTAGTCGAGATGGTTATAACCATCACTGGGTGGTTCAACATTTCTTAGCGCATTCAGGTTGGAGAAATTGCGAGTAGGCTGACTTACAATGTATCCGGGGCCTGTGGGACGCAATTGACGTCGGCGGCAGGCTGTCCCCATTCAAAGCCGAAACCGACAAAATGGTGTCTAAGCATAGGTAAATCAGTAACTATACAAGCGGCGTCGCCAACCACTCACTCATCATACGATATTGTGAGATCAGACATGTCCTGGTCTACTACTCCTGGGAGTCTACTTGCGCCCGTACCCGACGGCTCGCTGTGTACGGGTGAGGGCATGTCAACACGCGTGCATGAACGAGGACGTCAACATGGAGCACTTACGTCTGGGCATTCCGTTGTCTTTTTCTGCCCTTGCGCATTTTCTCAAGGGGACGCGGCCCGCTGCGACGATGGCGCAAGCTCGGAGCGTCGCCGTAGACAATGGAACAGGGCTCGTAGGAGCCGTCGTGGTTGATCTAGACGTGTGGGCACCTGAATTGTTGTCACGACCACTGTAAGAGCAGTGATTGAGCATGACGACCGGCATGAAAGGCGCGACATGGTACTTACTGTGCAGTCTTCAGGTGTTGCACCAGGTTATGTGCCTGCTTGAAGCCTCTGCCGACTTGCCTACAGCCGGACAGCATGCAGAACACTTTGCTATGAAAGCCATCAGTGGGTATTGCGGGAAGTAGTTGAGCGGTTACTGACCATGTACCAGAGTGTTTGAGCATGTGGCGCGGAAAGTCGCTTAGGCGGGCAACAGACTCATTGCATAATGCACACCAGTACTATAAACGGGACGTGGTGTTTGTCAGTTCGTGCAAGCGCTTCGCGTAGAGTGGTATGACGTACTCATACTGAGGGGGCCTTTCCGCGGTCGGAGAGCACTAATCCACCAATGTAGGGTCCGTCCGAGACGCCATCCGCATGATTGCGTATGGGGGCCATGACGTTGTGAGGAAAAGGAAGCGGCCCGGGGCGTGTGTTGGCAGTGGTATGGGCGGGAGGGGGCTACGGAGGTATAATACCTTCGGCTGGACGAGACTGCTCACGAATGAATCGGCCAATATGGGGCGGTCCTATAGCCAGAGGCCGCCAAAGCTCCAGTGACGTTACTTGGCGCGTAGTGTTGTGTAGGTCAGGAATGAGCGCTGGGAGGTCTGGAACGAGGGAATCGTGCCGCTGGAAAGGTCAGTACGACCCATCTCAGCCTGGTTGTCATCACAGATCTCAACAAGCCTACCTCTTCGGCAAAGACAAGACTAATGCGGGTGCCTTCTTATGCACCTCCTGACCATAAAGCCCGTCTAGGCCAATCTGGGCGACATCACTCCCTGGCACATCCACCATGAGCTAGGCCACTGAGAGGTGAGTTATAAAACGAAAGTAGTATGAAGAACAAGCACATACTACTCGCGAGGGGTCGATGGTATGCACGCTAGGGCCGGCTCCAGGATCGGGGACGCTGATGGACGGTCGGAAGAAGGAATGTAAGGAATGTCGATGGTAATGGAAGAAATTAAGGGGCGGGGAATTAGGAAAAAAACTAGCAAAGCCGCAAGCCCGCCGCTGCCATGCCGTTGAGGTGCACGGCTGCCATAGGGGCCCCTTGAGATATGGTGAAGTATAGGGACGCAAACAGGCCTACTAGGCGTGCAGTATCTATGCGAGAAGGCGCAACATGCGAACACCGACTGCATTGAAGCCAGAAGATGATGGTCGACCGAGTGAGACCAGTCGCAGTGCAGCCTGAGGTAAATCAAAATCAGAGAAGTGGATGCTGGCGAGTGTGTGAGGAGGTACTAGAAGACTCACCGTTGACTGTCTCAGAGGAACGCAACAATGGGATTTGAACGATGACGAAACATGGACCATAGGGCTTCAGCGTGACGTAAGGAGCGTAGTAGTAACCTAGGTGGGTCAGACTGGTGAACGAGTGTCGGTAGGGAGGTGGGTCGTTGACAGCCGGTTACGTTTCACGCAGGCCATATATACCTTCTTACTATCAAAGCCGTTTGGTCCAGTGGCGCCGATTGATGTGCCATTGAACTACGCACGGAGTGGCAAAAAGATCAATGGATGCCAATGACTTTTCTGTCCCAAACACCTTGCGCGTTGATCTTGGGTCCCTCGTAGTGCACAAAGGCTTTGCTGATCCACATCAGACATTTTGTTTCGTCTTTGACTTGCGAAAAAGAATGCTTTCCGTGTTTCCTATTACAGCGAAGAGAGTGAACTCCCCAAGGGTTGACGCTCTAAGGGGGAGAAAGGACCCTCCGAAATGCAAGATCTAAACGTACACTTCGCATTGCCTGTTCATGTACCATTGACACGCCTTACCTGCTATCCTACAGACCCGGAGAGTCCCAAACCCCATCACTTGCGCTGGACAATCGATCACCTATCAGTTTCTCTCTCGTTCTCCACAAACAAACGCGGACAAAAGACACTTACCATTGTCATTCCCTTTGCCTAAAACCTAACCCTTCGCATCCTGCCCCTTTTCGCCAACAGCCTGGGCAAACAATCCCACGTTCCAAACCAGCCACAACGTTATACGCGTCACCTGCAAGCCATTGAACAGAGTGCCCTGCCAGCGCGCCGTACGGAGATTTGAGAAGTCACGCAGGCGCATCACGGCCACGTCGTGCATGATGCTCGGCCTCGTCTCGTGCCCTGCAATAGTCTGGCGAAGGACGTGGCGCGATTGATTGGACGTCATGACAAAGACGTCCTACGTACCGCTTGTACGTTCCCTGGTGTGGATGTTCGGCGAAAGTCGACAGAGCTCATGTGAGTGCACCACGTACCACGCGCACCACAAGCCTCCGAGACTGTGTGTCCCAGCACAGGTTTAGAATCCGTTCGTCTGGAATGTACGGGCGCTCGGTGAATTCGGAGAAGGGTTCTACGCACGTGCAAAATCCCACGCAAGATAGACGAGGTTGAAAGTCGCAGCAGCGAGGTGGAGAGAACCGAGCTGACCGCACAGTGAGCCCTCATCGATGTATCCCTCGCTCAGAGAGCTAACAAGCGGCACGTACCACATACGAAGCCAGGCTCGTGGAACCAAAGATTAGGCATATGGCTATACATCGGAGGTGGGTCAATTGAGGTGCTCTCGAGCGCGTCATGCCCTCTTGGTTGTGATCGTCGGAAGGGTAAGATGGGGAGTGGATGAAGATGTGGCGCCGCGGCGCGTACTGCCCAGAGGGATTATGCACCGATAGGAAGCTGCCTGACGGACTGTCTGTCTATATCGGTCCAGCAATACAAGCATGTCGGCTTGTGCTTCTACCATTTTCTTATCTAAGAGGCTGCCTTCGGATGTACAATGTTTTGGAAGCCTATAGATGAGAATGGCGCTGTACTGACATACGCAAAGGGGTTCCTTCGATAGCTCCAAGTGCAACGAGATGGGGTTACCTGAACGTGGAAGCGGCTCCCTCGGTGACCCGCTGCACAGAGAGCCCGGTCCGATCGAGACCTTCCAGAGAGTTTCTCCGGTAGCAATATCGACAATAAGGACATTGTCTGGCGCACGGGAACCAATGAATGCAAGCAGAGGGAAGTTGGTGGAGAAAAGCGGTATGCTGCCTCTCTCAGGCGTACTGTCCAGATAGCCGTGTGGAACGAAGTGGCCCCGAGGCGAGTCCGTCACAACCGACGCCACTGCAGCTGCATGAACTTGGAGGTCCTGGATGGCGGCCGGCGAAGGAAACTGGACTGGGGTGGTAACGAGGCGACCGCGACTGTACAGCGGTGGAGATGAGGGGGCCTGAGTATCGACGGAGCGCCGTCATATCTTCAGTCAGGAGTGCTTCGCCCTAAAGACGAGGAAGCCCTGAGAAAGGTCGAAGCGACTCGTCCCGACATGATCCTTCAAACAGGATGATGGAAGTGTGACAGTGCGAGTAAGAAGAGTCCATAACGTACCTGGCTGAGTGCCCAAAATTGTCCTCCAGAGCCCGTACGGATAATCCACCGTTCATCGTCAGAGCGACACTGGTATTTTTCTGCTCGTCAATACTGAAGCTGAGGACGTTACCCGGACTCGCTGGCTGATATCCTCCCTCGTGCACATATCCGTGCCCGTCCCAATTGCCGTTTCAGAATGCACCATAGTCTGTATATGTCCTTCCAGTTCCCAGCCTCTGACAACCAAGGCCCTTCGAATGCAGTTGCGCCCTCGAACAACGTCCTCGACGTCACAAAGCCGTGGTAGATGGCTGCTTGATGATATATGCTCTCTTCATGAGCCAGAAATAGCGAGTGTGCGGCTGGAGATACCAGTTCAACATTGTGTAGATCATTCAGAGACAGATAGGAGAGTATATGTAGAGAGACGTCGTAGGGCAGCGAGTGAAACATTCAGTATAATGGTTATCGTTGAACGTGGAGAGTGGACTTCTTAGCGCCCGTCGCGGTTCGACGCAGGCTCTAAGTGCTAGCGCGCGCAAGATCACTGTCCCCGCCCTCCAGTACATCCAGATACCACAACGAGCTCTCCCTAGCAGCTGGAGACTAAAGGTAGCACTTCTGTCGAATGAACATAATATTGCTCCCAGAAACTCTACTCTCATGATCAGCGATTCACGCCGCCGCCGGCAGGAAACCCGACGCCCGCCAAGCAGTTATCCATCTCATCGCATCCTCGCTCCCCAGCTGGCACATATGCGCCAGTTCTTCTGATGCCAGCTCTGCTTTCGCAGTGGACAGACGAGTATCCGAGCGGTTGCTATCACGTTGGGCGCGGAAGAAATCAAGCAAGCGTAACGCCGGATTCGTGCGCATCGCATCTACTTCGTTTGCCGACCCTTCTCCAGCCCCCTTCTCAAGCTCTGAGAGCCACTCGGAGTAAGGTACGAGGGGTACGCCGAGTTCCTTTGCCATCGGGATCACGATCGCCTTCCACTCGATAGGGCGAGGATGCACGAGGTGCAGGATGGCCGACGAGGACTTGCGCATCTCCACGAAGGCCCGGGCTGCAGGGTGACTCAAGATGAATGCAATCTGTGTATTCTCATGCGAGGTTATCTCACTTGAGCAAGAACCAGGATGTGGATGCTGACCTCATTCATGTCTCCAGGCAAGCAGCGCGTGAACAGCGAGGATTTAACCAGGGCGGGGAACCATTCCTTCTCGTTCCAGTGCCCCAACTGATCGCCGCACACTTGCCCTAGTCGCACTGTCGTGGTAGGGATGCCGACGTGGTGAGCCAACTTGTGCAAGGTCTCTTCCGCTACCCACTTCGATTCCGTGTAACCCGATCCGATCGCAGAAGATGGCTCAACCCGCTCCTCGGGGACCGACTCGGGAGGTTGCACTTGGTAATCTAGCTCAATCGGCATGATGAGTGTCCGCATACACTCGGAATGTCAATACTTACTTGCGAGCACGCCGATAGAGCTGACGAACATGAACTTCGGAGGAACAGTGTAGGGTGACGACAAGGCGAATTCAAGTAGGTTACGGAGACCCTGCAAGTCTCCTTCGAACGACGTGACTTTTAGGTTGAAGTTTACCTGCCATGCTATGGAGTTCCAATCAGCATTGCACGAGTAAGTGCCTCCACAGCTGACTGCTCACCATTGTGCATGATGTGCGTGACCGAGGCCCGTATCTCTCCTAGCAGTCCAGGCTCTACCCCAAAGTCAGCGAGTTGCAGATCGGCCTCGACCATCCTGAACTTCGGCGACTCCAGTAGTGTCACGTCGTGCCCTCTTTGAAGAAAACGCTCTCGCTGCCTTTCCAGCGCGTTTGTCGCCTTCCGGTTGAACGCGTAAACCGTTCCGATCTCGCTGTCACGTAGAAGATGCTCCAAGATATCGCATCCGAAGCCTCCAGTGGTACCCGTAACGAGAACGACATCCTTCGTGCTCGCGCGAGGGCGGAGTCCTGAAGGCCGAGCAGGCAGGTCTGCGCCATAACGCTCTGCCCGGCGGATCAGGTCCTCTGGGGTCGACGCCATCGATCCTGCCTCCGGAGAGTCCGATAGGGTGCGGAGGAGCGCATCCGTGAGAGCAACGATAGTAGGCGCTTGGAACATAACATTCATTGGTAGTCTCTTCGCCGCGGCTGGAGAATGTTCACGTAATGCGCGCAAGGCGATGTTACGAATGTAAGTAGCTTGCAGACTACAGGCATGTCAACGCTTGATCTGTGAATTCCAAGCTGCCGCACGCGGAAGGGACTCACCTGTCGCATCCATTGCGGAAGAGGTCTGCATCCTCGGCAAGAGGCTGACCAAGTACATGCTGCACGACGGTATGCACGAATGTCTTGACGCCGTCACTGTTCCAAGATGAGGGTGCAGGAACATCGCCTTGCGAGCTTTGTTCTACACCAGCATACAACGCTTCGATCTCGTTTTGGTAGTCTTGGAGGACCGGTACGCGACGAGGGAAGCCCTTTGCATTATATGTGAATGGCTTGGAGGGAAGGGTGACTATGATCATCTAGAACGCCATCAAGTACTGCACGTCATCATTTGAAACGGAGGGACTCGTACGAACCTCCTTGAATACCCGAGAGTGCTGAGGAGCAATCGCGTTCGCGCGCTCTATCGTGGGCCTTCGAGGGTACTCAGCATGCGCGACTTGCGAAACTTGAAACTGTTCTCATCGTACCATATCTTGTTCCTAAAGTCCGCCAGCTTCTGCTCGTCTTGAGGGTCTAGCAGGTATTCCGGCATGGGCTCAATGAGGACCCCGTTTTGTAGCCTTCCTCGTCCAAAGATGAGGCAACCGCGGACGTGAGGGCCGTCTCTGATGATGTGCTCGAGGGGCAGCGGGTTCGTCTAGCCACCTCGCGTCAACTCCCGAAGCCAATCACACTCGACGAATGTAGCACTAGATACCTTCTCGCCGTTGGAGAGGATGATCTGATCGTCGACCCTTCCATAGATCTTCCACAGTCCTGGCTTCGTCGGGTGAGGTTCAAGAAGATCGCTTGTGGCATATGCGTCGATCCCGTTGATCCGGTCATTGAATGCCCTAGGTGGGCACTTTGACGTTGCCTATTAAGTCCGTCTCTCTAAGTAAAGGCTTCCTGCTGATATTGCTGTAGTACCAATATGACCAGTTCGTATGTCCCGTCCCCCGCAGGGCGCATGACGGTATCTACCAAATAATTGAAGCCGAAGTATTCCCAATCCATTTCAGGATTTACTGTCTTGCATGTGAGTCAGATGTATCACAATCAACGCAGGTTGTTTACCTGATATTCCAGCTGATATAGATCCGGTCTCCGTGCTATTGGCAAAAATGTTGAGTTATGTATCATGAACATTGCACGAAAGGAGGATGATGATGATACGACGTACCTCCCATAACCTGTGAGCAATGCTACGCCTTGAGAAGCCAGTGAGTCTCTAACAGATTTGTTCAAAGGCGCGCCTCCAAATAACTACGGACCAGACGGCTAAGACACAGGGTTCGTGGTGTCATGAAATGAACTAACCAAGCCCCACATCTGCTTCATAGCCAGCACTTTGTCGGGTTCGCGTGCCCATTGCTGCAGTGCAACCCGCATAAGCAAATGCGTAGGCGAAGTTCACAACCACGCACCTCAAGAAACGCTGGGACAGTGTACATCAACTCTGCGCCACAGCTGACTGCCCCCTCAAAGACGTTATCAGAGTTCGGAACCGTCGGCGGAGATGCAGGGGGGAATACGCAAAAAACCCAACCGCAGGTAACCTTGAAGACACTGATTAGCTACACGCTGGGAAAACCGATTGGCAAGGCTCTGGAACGCACCGCCATGAAGATAATTACACTCCCCATAGCATGGTACATTGGGACACCATGGGCGCTAACAATCGCACAAGTCGAGTCCATTGTGCCTTTCCCTGGTTATGATCAGGTCCCCACCAGTCAGAACCAATTCGAGTGCTCCGTGCAAGTAGGGACATACAAGTGGACATGCCCCAACAAATTAGCCCTCGGTGCGACCAGGTGATAGGCTTCGGATGGCTGGTTGAACCTGGGGACTGGTCTTCAGTTTCGACCACATGAAGCATCGTGAGAGTGAGCTAGATACCAGAGGAATGCAGAATCATAGCAGGGCTGTCGAGGTCGTACTTGGGCATCACCAGAAAGTCACGAGCGTCATCATCGCTCTCCGCTACTCCGGAAGGGAACAAGTCCTCATATTGCGGCATCGCGTGTTGTTTCACGCCGCCCAAGCCGGCCAGTGCGTCCTTCACAAGGTCGCTCATGTGTGGGTCTCGAGACGCCAGAACTTGAGTGCATTTCGTCTTGCTCGAGAGGTGGGCCACGGCAGCCGCCGAGTTGCGCGGGGAGATGGGAAATGCTACATGTCCCGCGCGTAGAATACCCAAAATGACAGTGGCATACGTGATGGTGTCTTACAAAGAAGTGGATCAGTGTGCGCTAGGATATGCTGGTTACCTGATAGTAAACGACGAACCTGCGCTAGCCACAATTGCGACCACGTGGTGGCCTGGAGACGCGTTCGGTCCCACAAGGGAAGAAACGAGCCGTGCAGCACGGAGGATGCCCTTGTTCATCTCCGCATAGCTGATACCCTCTATGCCCTGACCACTATCCAAGCGGAAGATATGGTAGGAGGGATTCTCGCGGGCGTTCCATTCATAGAGCTCTGGGATCGTTGCTTTGCCAGATTCGATGAACGATTTGGGGGATACATAGGAATCAGGAGGGAAAGGCATGTCAAGGCGTGTCGGTGTGGGAGTAGCATTCGGGGGTCACAATAGATATAGACGAGCTATTTGCTCTTTAAAGAGTCTCAGCGCGGAGAGTCCGGGAATAGCTGATATACGATCGTGTCGGCCCGCGTCGTGAGAGGGCAAAGCTGGGGAGCTTGATAGAGCGCGAGTCCCGCGTGACTCACACTGACATGCGCAGCTCAGAAGCCCGAGAGGAACGATTAAACATTGAATTATGTGCCCTTTGCGTCCCTCCCTAACATGTTAGTGGTCAGAGTTGGAACAGTCTGAGCGCGACAAGTAGAACAACATACGCGCTTACCACACCGATAGCTTCAAGAGATCTTCAGCATGCATACGGTCTCTTTGCGTCCGTTCGAACTAGATTTCATCAAAGTTAAAGCCATGAGTAAAAATCGGGATTCATACGACGCCCGAGCGCAGTTTGAGCGTGAGCCTTGCTGCGCCCTTAACTGTGCCAAGTTCCAACAACTTCTGGACGAGATGGTGCCGGCAAGGTTATGTAATCATTGACCTTCTTCCGGTCTCCGATGCGGCGCTAGCGCCGAGCCCTAGTGGCTGCGACTCCTAGCGGCGTGTACCGTAGTGAAGCTTGAGGCTAACGTCTTTATGTCATTTCATTGCTTGAAGCTGCTGCAAGAGGGGAGCTGAGTGGGACTACTACTGTATGCCAATTGAAGTCTAGTGCAGTTTTTGTAGCGCTCAAGACTGCACAGAGGGTCCCGTTTGGTTGTCATGCCAGTGACTTCTCTCCGCTGACCGCCACATGGGTACATGGTGAAGCCTTCATAATCATCATAGCAAAAAGCATCTCCGTGATGCGGTGTAGACACATTCGGCATGTTGTATCGAGCTCCTGTGGACACTATGAGCGCCATCAGTAGTATCGTTCAAGTATGTCAATCGTTCAGCAGACACTGCATCTATCGCGGCTCCTCCAGACCTCCGCTCCCGTCGCGTCCAACGGGTTCATTATCACGTAGCCATCTCTTAGTCGGCTCGAACCATGCACGTTCACCGTACATGCTATGGGGCCGTCGTCGTTGAAGTCTGAGTACACGTCCAGACTTTAGTCAATAGAGGTAAAGTTCGTCGAGAGCAGGCGCACAATTAGCTGTTTGTCGGCGGTTGCCTTTTCAATTCCCGCGCGCTCGCGATGACAAGTCCGGTATGGTGAACTCCCGGGACAACATAAATGGGGTATACGACCCACCCACGCTGAACCCGGGGTCAGCTACATTCGGGAGTTCGAGCGGATCCTCTTCGTCCTACAAGGCAGCTGCGATTTGCCTCAGCATCCTAGCCGTATCAACATGGTCTCCGTCCGATCAATAAACGATCGGAGCGGAACGGTCATGGCTGAAATGCGTTGAGCCGGTGACCAAGCCGAGTCTGGGATCAGTCATACTTGAGTGAAAGGCAGGAGACGACCACTGGCAGGATAGACGCGAGAGTTGCTGAAGTACTGCTTGTCGACTGTCCAGCAGTTCAAATCGAGGGTGCGCGTAAACAGAGTGGTGGTCTTAACGGAGCGAAAGCACGGACCAGGAGGCCAGCATTGTTAGATGCGTCTGGAGGCTGACAACCAGCGCGTGTCGTATCCAAGAAGCAGACGGGTTCCAGATGCCATTCAGCAGTCAAACTAGGTTGAAAACTTGATTAGCTTGACGTCTGAGTAGTGCTACGATCAGGAACATGCACGCCTAATCATCTCAAGCTGAATGACGTGCAATTTGTATGCATATCGGTCGTCAGCGGAGGAGCTCGTCCTATGGACCACACGGCCCCGACCATCACCGTTGTTGGCTCATATTACTGCAACTCCTTCCCCGCAAGCCACCTGTTCACTAACTCGAGTGATTCGATTGGCTTATCATATGGTGCCTGAGTGAGCGCAATGCCCTCGTCAGCAATACATTCTCGCAGAAGGGCCGATCGCATAGTCAGTTGAACAGAGTGCTCACGAAATGCCCAGCACCATCGATCGTAGCGAACGTCAGTCCACCTCCGGTCCTGGTCACGCCAGCGATGCTTCCATTCACCGTCCACGCCCTCAGAGGATCGCGCCGGAAGGCCTCGTTTTCGGTCCACTCGAGCTCGAGCGTCATCTTCTCGTTACCCATCTACATCCCATACTTGTCAGCTAGCACGACAGCGCTGATGAAGCACATTTGGAATGTGAACCCAGCGCACCCAGTGACAAATAAAATCTGTTTTCCCGACGTAAATAAGGACTCGGATGTTCCGTTCGAGGAGCGCCGCGAGGTAGTAGTGCGCTGGGAAGCTCCAGAAGTCCGAAGTCGCGAAGAACGCCGACGAGACCTTCGTTGAGTGGCGCTTGAATGGACCGCGTCGGGCAGGATCAACACCCAAGCGCTCTTGCAGCGTTTTGTCGCTGAGATATTTTATGATGTTGCTATCAGGTATGATGGGTTTCTCAATTTTCGGTACAATGGGAGTACCATACACGAACCACGTACTTCATGATAGGATAGCACTCCGTGTCCATGTCGAGACCGTTGCTGCACATTTCTCGTTTGACCGGACAATCGAGGGTAGCGTGAGAGCAACGCAAACATACCATGGATAAGAACGATCGTAGGGGTTGACTTTGTTGTCTAAGAACGGCAGATCAGCGAAAGCGGCGCAGGGAACGTGGGATGCTTACACAATAAGCCGTTCAGCGACCGGTCGCAGAATTCCGTCGCTGCGTTACAGTCGATCGAATCGAAGACGTCCTCGCAAGATTCCTTGTACCGTTTCTCGCAACGAGGAAGCTATAGCAGCCGTTAATTACGTCAAGGTATCTTCTGATACGCATCATCCGCGGTAGATAGGAGCACGAACCAGCTGTTTCATGCGGACGCACTCGCTGCGGGAGGTCAGATATAGCCCCCGTCGGCTCACAACTTGATCCCTACCTGATGGACAGGGTGGGTGGGAAAGTAGGGTCCTCGCACTGCGCGTTGTACCAGCTAGGCATGATGCTCTTGAAATCCGTGCATCCGTTCCCTAAGAATGCCGTGAGCCTCCCACAGATGAGCACCTTGGATTGGCAATAGTCGTACCAATCATTACAGAAGTGAGGTTGACAGGAGTCAATCCCGCCTCCACCAGTTTGGCGTTCTGGTCGTAGATAGCAGACGCGAACACCGGAAGGTAGCGACCCTATGTCGTGCCGTCAGACTTGATTCCCTGACCCCGATATTTGCGAACGACTACACTTACCCCGTAGGATTCACCGGCGAGATGGAGCGCCCTGCCTTTGAATTTGGTAAAGTGCTCGAAGAAGATGGCCACGAAGGCTGCGACGTCGTCCGCGGCCTCCACAGTGGTCGACTAGGAGCAAATGATACAAAAGAGCAGCCTTTCGGTATCCCGAGAACACACACCACAGCTTCGCCGTACTCGGCATAGGAGAACCCAACGTCGACGGGCTGATCAATGAAGAAGATGTTCGAGTACTCGTTCCAAGATTGCGGATGGAACTCGGTGCTGTTCGGGCTCGTCACCCTGCAGGGCCCTAAATGGTGACATGTAAGTGGGCTGCTGTAGAACGAGTGCCGGAGATGCAAGAATTGTTTACCTAGCTCCATGAAGAGACCCAGGCTCGAAGAGCCTCCGGGACCGCCGTTGGTCCAAAACACGACATCATCCGTGTCGGGGTCGCGGCGGCTCTCAAAAAAGTAGAAGAACAGGTGCCTGGCCTGGACGTCTATGTAGCCGGTGTACGCTCTACAGCACGCAGACATCTAAAGTGAGAAAACTTCTGGCTTGTATATGCATGACGACGCGAGTGGACTCACTGCACAGTGCCATCGCAAAAGTCCGACTTCTTGACACGCACGCTATGGCGAGGGAAAGCCGGGTGCCCAAGCTCCGTAAACTCGGTGAACGAGAGCGTACTGAGCTCTCCGAAGGGAATAAACAGCCCATCGTCGTATCTGCTGAAAGCCTGTTGTTCGAACCGCAGCTGGTCACCGACTCCTTGCGCTCCGGCCCGAGTGCCGTGCGCAACTGGCAAAACCAGCGGGAGGAGTGCAAGCAGTCCGAGGACAGGCGACTTCATGATCTTCCCTCAGACACGTTGGAGATGAGTGTCTAGGAACAGGGAGACGTACAGTGCTATACTGACTGTGTGAATGTGCCGAGGAGTCATGCGAGAGTCCAATCACCACGCGCGGGACCGTCAAAAGAAAACCATCCCCCCGCCGCCGCGGGCCGACAGGCTCCAGTCCGAGCGCCTCGGCAATAACGGATGTCGGTGAACCCTCCAGTGGCCACGACAACGTTGCGTCGACATTGCGCAGAAAGTAGGTAGGTCTGCAGCCACCTCAACACCGTCCCATAAAGTGCATGTTACTACTGATGCTAGCGGTCAAGCCGCGCTCTCACGTATCTACATGAGCTGAGAAACAACAGAACCGGGACCTCGCCCGTGGGTCGACATGACAGAGAACGATAACAGTCGCAAAGGCCACCAGACCGCGGACGATACCGGCGCGCCCGCTGGGTGACCATCCGAATCCCGAAAGCGAGAGGAGAGCGAGAAGGACAGAGGAAGGGAACCAAAGTAAACGGTGGGCGGAGCGGGGGAGCAAGACGCGCGGCGCGGCCTACGCAGCGTTCTCGTACGCCGCCCCGACGGCGTTCAAGCTGCCGTCGGCGTCGACGAGGAGGTTCGCGGCGGCCATAAACCACGCGTAGTGCGACACGCTGTCCAGCCCGTCCAAGAACGGCACGAGCTCGTCGATGAGCGCCGCCTGGTCCGCGGCGGACGTCGACGTGTCGCTCACGCCGATCTCGGTCATCAGTACGGGCTTGCCGTAGCGCGTGCCGAGGCTCGTGATGTACGTCTTGTAGTAGTCCGGGTCCGACGCGGAGCCGTAGATGTGGCCCGCGACGGCGTCGACCTGGCAGCCGAGCTTGTTGCACGCGTCCATGAACTGGTCGAGCCAGGCCGTGCCGAGCGGCGCGCCGCCGTTTGTGATCGCGGGCCCGACCAGCGTCGCTTGGCCTTTGAAGGGCTGCATGTAGGTCATCCAGAGCTGCGCGGCGGTCGTGGGGTCCACGTTAGACTGCGAAGAGAGATCGGGCTCGTTGAGGCTGTGGCACCGCGACAGCGGGAGTGCATCAGTTATGGGAGCCCGTACAGTATGAGCAAGTGGGCTTACAAGAGAAGGTGTGTGCTGCCCTTGGCGATGGCAGCCTTGGCGTCAGCCATCCAGGTGGAAGTGTGGCCAGAATCAGCACCCCAGAGCATGGGGAAGTAGTTGACGCCTGATGCAAGGGTGCCACCAGGCTGAGAGAACCAGTTGTATGCCCAGGAGACTTTGCTATAATGATCTTGAGCATAATTCGACACGGAGTTATGTGATATGAAGTCTGACCTGCTGCTGAAACCCTTCGTCAAGGAGACATCGTTGTAGGAGAGGCCACGCTTGATGCCAGAGCTTGAGCTTGAGGACGTCGAAGTCGCTGCAGGAGCAGAAGTGTGCCTATATGCGAAGTCAGATCAGGACAGATCAAGATCGAAGCAGGTACTCACGTCGAGGCCTTGGTTGATGCAGCGGCAGTAGTGGCTGCCTTGGAGGTCGATGCCGCAGCAGTGGTTGCTATCTTCAAAGTGGATGCCGCCTCGGTACTGGCTACCTTCGAAGTCGAGGCCGTGGCCGTCGAAACCACCTGCGAAGTGGATGCCGCGGCCGTGGTATGCACCTCGGAGGTAGACGCCGCCTCCGTGCTGATAGACGCCGAAAAGGTAGTGTGGACGTCGGTAGAGGACGCCGCAAGGATCGCGGTACTAGTCGACACCAGCACAGAAGATGACGCCTTGGCGCGGCAACGTTTCTGGTTCGTAGGGGCTCCGAATGCGGAGGTAGCGAGGAGAGCAATAGACAAGATAGCGGAAGAGAACCTCATGTTTGCCTTGAGTGCAGATAGTAAAGACCGAGTGATGAAAGAGCGTGTACGATCCCAGAAAGCTTAGAGAACGAGTGGAGGGGACGACTGCAAGCTCAAGACGACGCCAGAGGGAACGAGGATGGAGCTGCCAGAGGCAGGAGATGGAGACCGTCGTAGACACGGAAGTCTTATATAACAAGACCAACTGCGCGCCTGCGAAGTTCGGGGCCTGGCGTTGGCGCGCTATTCACGTCGGTCCACATTGGACCTGGAGATGACGCGCGGTATACATCAAGCCGGACAGAAGTTTTCACTCACCGGGGCGATAGGTCGCTTTATTAGGGCGTGCGTCGCCATAGCAATGCAGATACCAGCAGGGGCCGGAGCACAAGAATACATGAGGCAGCCAACAAGACGCAGGCGTCCATGGGCGCGATCCGGAAATACTCGAGGGATGGGAGTCGTCGAGGCGTTTTGCCCAGGCCGCAAATCGCCGGTACCTGTCCATCCAAATGGGGAAATTTAGACGCGTTTCACATACCCCTCTTCCAGTGCACCGCAGTAGAAACGATAAGCCGACAGACTACCTCTCATGTTGGCGATCAGTTCTTCGTTCTCCGGATAAAGAAGCCATACCAAACTCGAGGGCGAGTCACTTTCCCGACGGTTTCTTCTCTGAAGGCAGTCCTCACTTACTCTTCATGCACTACTAGACCTTCGTACGTACTGCCAACGAAGGACGAACGGGTGCTGAGGTGCAGTCCAGGTTGATGATACCTCAAATTATGGAAGAATCTATCTTAAAGACACGATTACCGATTCCATCAAACTCTTGCCGTATCACGCCCCGACCACCCTTATAGCTCCACCGGAAGGCAGCCGATGGAGACCAAACCCCCCTAAAGAGCATCGCGTCAGTAAACGTACAGATCGTAATGCCGTATGGGCACTACTCACGACATTGTTGTTCTGGCAGCACACGGGCTGAGAAGTGCACGCGCTGCCGCTGCCCGCCCCCACAACGGAGATCGGCGAGCAGCCAAGACCGAGCTGGCCAGTGACGCCCTGTACAGCAACACCGAGCAGGTCAAGCAGGGTCGACGCCGCCGCAGTGTCCGTCTGTGAGCACCGTTAGAAAGCGCCAACATCCGCGCTGCGCATACAACACTCACGCTCTCGAGGGAGTTGCAGCACTGGATGGGACCGGTGTTGCAATTACCGGCGGCCGCAAGGAGAGCAAACGCGAGGGTGGAGACGACGGCGAGACGGGAGAACATGGCGTCAAAAGGTATTGTAGAGCTGAGCGAGGTCGCGAGAGACTTGGACAAGTGAGTTTGAGTTAAGAGGAAATGTAGGAAGTGGAAGTCGTCGAACTGAAGCTGACGTTCTCTACGGCGGCATGAGAGGCTTTATACAGTCTCGCATCGCCGGTGCTGTATCGTCCGGTCGTGAGATGTGAAGCGGTGATGAATAGACATTTAGCCTACGTCTAGACATTTGCCGACATATAGCCTCGGCAGAGAGACTTCGAGACGGGGCGCCCATATATCATCGTAGACGAAGGCTCCGGACGCTGCGTCGGCAAGCCTCGCCCCGCAAGGTGATCTTGTGTTCCAGGAAATCGAGCTATGACGTATATACTGTGCACTATTGGGTTTTATGGACGAGGTCGTCCGGCGAGGAGAGCTGAGCATAGCAGAAGCATGAACACCAACGCAATGTTGAAGACAAAGCTTGTGAGTAGCGAGCATCCCTGGAAACACATACGGTTGACTAACGAACGGCCTGGACGAATTGCGTCCCTGTCACATCCCCGCCTGTAAACACGTAAATCCCTCGTCGGCGTCGGCGCGATACACCTGATACGCAGGGCCGAAGACGTTCTCAACTGATCCGCCTCGCCTCGTCATTCACTCGCTAGACGCAGCGCGCGCCGTATGCGGTCTGGAGCCCGAGTGCGCCCATTCCTGCGGATGAGACACAGCGCCCGCAGCATTCCCGACCGCATATGAAAGTCTATTGTGCTTCGATAGCACCGGAGCGCCGCCGAGATCCTGAGGCGATTGGCAATTTCGAGCGACCACCATCGCCTTGGCCAGTCAGAACAGGCTGCTGCGCCCAACGTACCCTGCCCAGTGCACGAACATGGATCACATTAGGTACAACTGGGCCATGCTGGATTGCTCAGCGGCGTGTACATAGCAACGAGCATTTTAGGGCATCCGACGAGAAAGCGGGGATCCATGCAGGTTCAAATCGGAACGAGTCGATGTCGAAGTTGGACACGCCACGGACATTCAGCGGGACGCCGGCCCTCTCCGCGCTTGAACCCTCCTGTAACCTGTCACTCGAAGCGTGCGGGCGATTGCTACGGGTGTCGTAGCATGCCGGCTATCCGCGATGAGCCCCAAAGATGTAGGGAGGCAGAGGTGAGTCTATCGAGAGCCTGCACAAGTCGGCGGCGGCACCAGGGGATCGATGAGGACGTATCGACGACACCTCGCTCCGACAAGCTGCACCGAGTGAGTGGGTATAATTCAATCAGCCGCGGATTGACTATTGCAGATACCACCGACCGTTAGCGTGGTCGTCTCTCGCACATCGACAGTCGCGGACCCGTCCAAAGACGGTCGGCCAAGCGGTGTTCTTGCAGCACATCAGCGGTGAGCGCACGACGAGCAAGGGCGGATTAGGCAGGCGTCGGGCCAGAATGCCCCCAGTTCGTCGACAGACAACACCGTCTGTACATCAATCGACTCTTGTGAATCGTATCCCAAGCACGGAGGGCCGGGGGAGCGACGCACCCTTTCGTGTTCTATGTAACTTACCGGGTCCGTCGTCGTCAGTTCGTCAGTCGTTGTCCGACCCCCTGTGAAGGTCGGACACGTTACACGAACGTCTTTGGACGACAACGACGGACTTCTGTCAGAGGCGGCGACCACCCCGACGTGGGAATCCCGCTGTAACACCAGGTATGGAAGCTCGGGGGCCGGCACGCACTCACGTTGCGTGCAATTGATTAGCCATTACGTGAGAGAATGAAACCGCCCGGATGACAACACATAGATACGCCTGAGCCAAACTTAGCGGCAGCAACCATCCATGATGCATTGGACAGGGAGCAGGAATGGATGCGCACGCTGGAAGATCGAACTGCAAGGGAGCAATGGAGCATACCACGGCCCCGCCCGGGCTAACTGCGGTCAAAATCCGGACCGCACAACGTTCCCACAGCTTCAGGTTGACAACTATGGCTGCGGTCTCGGACGTACGAAACTGCACGCCTTCGACCTTGCAGCGTTTGCGCGTGCGTTTGCCAGTTAGACGCACGACGCCAACGGCGTTGACGCATGCGACGGACATGAATGAGCACGGAGCGGCAATGAGACCTATACGGTATGCAGCACACGCAGGCTGTGGGGGTATCATTACAAGCGCATTCCCCAGCCGGATCTATCTGTACAACACCGTGTGTCCTCATGAGCACCGCGCGCAACTATACAGTGCGGAGCCAGCAAACGCACCATATTACGATCTATACCCTCTCCCTCTCCCTCAAGCTCATAGAAGCCGTGCACAATCCATCCATAACACCCCCCCAACACTCACAACTCCGCCGCCTGGCTCCCCCAGCCCGCCAAGCTCGCCGTGTAGCTCCCCGCGCTGGCGATCGACGCGAGGGACGAGTTGACCGCGCTCCGGAAGAGGTCCGCGCCGCTCGTGCCCAGGCTCGCGTACGTGCTCACGCCGTCGCGCCCGAAGAGGTAGTACGCCGCGCGGGTCTGCATCTGCGCGAGGTGGTGCGGGAGGTAGAGCGTCATGCCCGTCAGGAGGAGGCCAAGGGTGAGGTAGAAGACCACCACTGCGGGTCGGGTCGTGGGCCGGTGTGAGGTAAGTTGAGGTTGGGGGAGGGGGAGATGCGGGACGGGACGAGCGCGTGTGTGCGTGCAGGCAGGCAGACAAAGTTCCGGTCAGTATTCGATCTCTCAGCGTCGGATGATGGGCGTGGCAGGAGCTACGCATCCGCAGCGACAAATGCGCGCGAGAAATAGAATGAGGGAGCAAAGGTACAAAAAAGGGATGGACACGAGCATGGACGCACGGAGGTGAAAGGCGAGGGAAGAGGAGCATGTACTCACTGACGAGGAACCTCTCCCACGGCTCGAGCATGGACAGCGCGAACGTCACCTCGACCCACAGGCGCTGCCTCCAGAAGAACCGGCCGACGAGGGAGCGCGGCGGGCGGTAGGGCAGCTGGAGCCCGAAGAGGACCTGGGCCGTCGTCGGCTCACGCTTCCACTCCTGGTAGGACATCGCGGCTCTGTAGTACTCGGGGTCGGTGATGGTTGCGTTGGCGGGCATGTTTGTCGTCAGGCGAGTGGATTGCTGTAACCGTGAGTGTTGCGTCTACTCCAAAGGGTGTGTGGAGATGATATTGCTGGCTGGCGGATACGGACGTGTCCCGGGTGCACGAAAGGCAACAGAGAAGGGCGGTAAGATGTCAGACGGGGACAGACGACTTGGAGCAACGGCGGTAGCGGGCAAGCAAGGAGCGACGACGACGGCGGACTGTATCTAGGACGTGGTCGTGGTAGAGAGAAGAGGCGGGAGGTGGATGCTGGGAACGGAATATAAATTGATTCGTTGGGGGTGCGACGTTTCCGCCAAGCGGTCGGCGCCCGTACCCTCCGCCGCTGACGCGACAGCTGCCGGATCAGACCACTGCCCCTGCGTACCAGCGCTGCGCATGCTATAAAACGTGGCTTCGAGTTGCACAACGCAAATGCACATGGGTTTGCTTCCTATGTCCTCCCGTTCCCCGCTACACATACAACGTAGTCTACCAACCTGCAATGGATCGGGTCGCCAAGAATGGATGTGTTCTGACGAGGCGTATCTTGCCCAAGACTTGTCTCCACTTGATCAGGCACGGAGAACAGATACATAGAACGAAGGACAGATCCGCGGGCGAGGAAACGCCATCGATAATGTGGCAAGAGCGCGATGTACAGACGTATATGTATACATATCATACTGATACTTCCCCAACTGCACGCTGTACCTCATCAGACAAATGGTTTGAGCTGGTCGACCAATTACAAACTTGTCAGCTCCGTGGACATGGAATCCTAGGATGCAAAGCTTGAGGCGCATCCTCTCGCTCTCTCCAGCTCATCTGTGTCGCTGTGTCGAGACGAACGTGCTCAGATACAGAGTAATGGCAGACGGGGGTGCTGCGTCGGAGCGGTCATCGGTGCATGTCCGTTCAAAACCGTGAGATGTTGATCAGTCCCTCCTAGGCGGTCCGACGTCTTCAGCTGCGGGACTGTCACGGAGGGTACATAGACCCTCGTCTCAGGTTCCAACATTGGCAGCATACAGTCGGGATCGTCGAGCCAGTACCGGTAATGAATTCACCACCGTGCTGACCGTTTGACGTGCCGTGTGCACAGGGCGTGCTTCCGGATCCCATGTACGACGAACAAATAGGTCCCTACCACTTCCCGTAGCGCAAGGGGCACCACAAGATTTGGGGCACGAAGACGGATTGAAGCCAGAAGCGAAAGGACGAGCGAAGCGGAGTTGCCAAGCCAATGACGCCAGAAGATGAGCCCAGGTGGCTGGCGCCGACAGCGTATAAACGCACCCGTCCGTCGGCCCAAGACCGAGATATAACCTGAAGCTCCAGAGCCACCGACAAGTACTGCCCTTGTCTACGTTCCACAGCCTCACCACCGCCGGGACTGCCCCCAAGGTGTGCGAAACAGAAGCGACGCATATAATAGCTCACAAGGGCGCCGAAACGACGCGATCTCATCACCTCGAGCCCTTCACCACACGGTTCTGTCATCCGCCTACCTTGATTGTGGCTACCTGCGTCCTAGGCCTCCCCTGGTCGCTGCCACCTGCCTGGCGAACACAACGAAGATGTCAAATATTGAACACACAATGGCCCTACAAGGGACATATCGCAGGAGACGCAACGCGTTTCGGACGTTGGAACAGAGCCAATATTATAGATGGTGATATACCTGATCACGCCAGCGCGGCGGGCACAAACCACAGGTCAGTCTCATGTTGCACGCACACTGAGTGGAAGAGCTGAGGAGAAAAGACGACTCACAGTGAAAAACCCATAGCGCTAGCAGTGACCGACAACAGATAACCAGCCTCCTGTCCGGCGTCTATTCGTACACGACCCATCGACTCATCCTCCAATGGCGGAGCGACGACGACACGGCGCTCACAGCTCCCCGACCGACGCGTTGCGGGCCACCCAGCCTCCGACGAGCCGCCGCACGGACAGCGCCGCGGCCTCGCTCTCCTCGTTCCCGAGGAAGTAGTACAGCGTGCGCCGGTAGAGCAGCGGTAGCTCCTGCGGCAGGAACGTGTACAGCCCGGTGAACACCACGGTGAGCGTCAGGTACAGGATCGCGACTGCCGCGCGAAGTGCGGAGTACGCGAGCGGAAAGGACGGTGAGCGTCTGCGGGAAAGGCAAAAGGCTGAATCAGGTACGCACGGGTCAGGATCTTTTCCCAGGGCTCGAGGAGGGAGAGGCCACAGGTCGTCTCGATCCACAGACGTTGCCGCCAGAGGAACGCCCCGACGGCGTTCTTGGGCGGCCGGTACGGAAGGTCGATGCCGAAGAGGACCGCGGTGGTGGTGGGTGTGCGCTTCCAGTCCTCGAGTGAGTTGCCCATTGTGCGCGTGTAGTGTTCAAAGCCTAGTCTTGTGCTATGCGCGCGGCGGAATGATATGCTGGTTCAACAGGAAGACAGAACAGGAATGCACAGACCCAAGTGCGAGAACGTTCGAGGGGACGCGGTTAAAAGACCAAGCACAGGCAGAATGCAGACCGCAAATACGCTCGTAAGGGGGACACCTGGGTGCGGTGACCGACGTGAAAGGTCGTGAGTACAGTGGCGGACGGAAGGAGGTGCGGGGGGGACAAGTGAGCAGAGGGCCCCATGGCCTCCTTTGGAGGCCGTATTAGAAATGCTCGTTCCCTCGTAAGCGCTCGTTCCCGGCTAGTATCGGACAGACGCTCGTTCAGTCCAAGTCCGACGTGATCTTCTCACCGCCCGCGCCCGTCCGCGAGCTGTGCCGCCGGCGCCGCTCGCTGTTTGGCACGACGTCGACGCCCATGGTGGCCATCATCGAACTTTGTCTGCGCATTGGACGTGCACTGGGCCGATTCATGGCTGCCGCTCATCGCTCTCAGGCGAATTCAACCTCTTTCGGAGTGCGTGTCGAGCCACGGCCGATCGGGTGGGCAAGGACGCTGACTGTTCAGAGATGACGCCCGACAGCGGCCGATTGATTTTCGTATTTTCTGTCGGGTTCCATATTGCTTCCATCGGACACGATGGCTGGCGGGGGTGCGACGGCGCCGTGCACGGCTTCGTCTCTGGTGATCTTTCTCATTTGTAGTTTTGATAGGCCCGGTCGAGACGCGATGTGCGAGAGCTGGCCCGCGACGCGAGACGTCATGGATGAGCAACGGATGCGCTCAGCGACCGAATGAAATGGAAGATTGCAGACGTATGACTTTTAGATGTCCATGACTCAGGCGTTTTCGCAAGCCAATCCGGCCTTGCCCGTCTCGAGGCGGAGACGGTTTGCAAAACGCCGTCCTCCCAAGATTTCTCGGGAGTCACACGCAGGTTTGACTCCGTGCGACGCCGGCTCAGTCCAAGAGATATGGCAGGCGGCATAACACGGCTACGAAGGGACCTACGGCATGTTTCGGAAAGGTCGCGTGCATTCATGAGGAGTTGTACTCATTGCCGCGCGCGCCCTGCCGATTGTTCATGGAAGACGGTCGTCTCTCCTGGACGCAGCTTGTACGTTTCTGCTCTCTTGGTATTGTGATAAAATAATCATGAAAGCCAGGCTATTGAACAAGTATACTCCGTAGCCTGAGATAGCGAAGCGGTCAGCCGAGCACACTTCGGATGCTCCTTGGAATAGTATATCAGTTAGTGACGCAATAGAACTTGATTGCTCATCTCTCGAAACGCGTACAGCTCGCCGTCGTGCCGTCGTTCGAGGCTAGGAAGCGGCCACGTCGACGTTATGATTATAAACGCAGTACAATAGGACAAAGCAGTACAGCAAAGCGATAGACTACACGGCATATATACGAATAAAGATAGACCAACTACAATGCGATGCAAACGATAGCACAATGCGCACGGAAGAGATAAACAGCGAACTACCTCACAACTTACGCCCCGATCGCCTGGCACCAAGCGCACTGGGCGACCCATGCCCGCACCCCCTCGTCCCCCGCCTCGTAAGGGGCCCGTTCGGGACAGTTCTCAGGGAGCCCATGCCCGTGCTCGTAGTGGTCGTCCCTAGCCGTCGTATGACAGTAGGGACAGTGCAGCTTCTTGAAGTGCAGGTGGTTGTCCCGCACGTGCCGGTGAAGCGCAGACCGCGTCATCACCGAGGCACACCCACTCCAGCCGCACTGCACCTTCGTCGTGCACTTGGTGTCGGAACAGTGCACGTCTCGCAAGTGGTCCAGCAGCCCCTCGGGGCTCACGACCGCGCCGCAGTTCTGGACGTGGCAGGTGACAGGGACCTCGATCCGGACGACGTTCGAGTGGGCGTCGAACCGCGTCCGGAACGCGTCGACGTGTGGAGGGTACGGAGCCGCTTGACCATCTTCTGTTGGCGGCGAAGGCGAAGGCTGGACACAGGGCACCTCATCTGCAGCGGGATAAGGGTAGTCGAGATGGTTATAACCATCACTGGGTGGTTCAACATTTCTTAGCGCATTCAGGTTGGAGATATTGCGAGTAGGCTGACTTACAATGTATCCGGGGCCTGTGGGACGCAATTGACGTCGGCGGCAGGCTGTCCCCATTCAAAGCCGAAGTCGACGAAGTCGTGCCTAAGCGTAGGAAAACCAACCCGGAATCAACAACTATCCAAGCGGAGTCGCCAACCACGTACTCATCATACGAAATCGCGACATCGTACAAAGCCTGTTGCATGCTCCAGGAGTTGTCGAACCCCTGGACACTCTGGCCGTAGGGCACGACCGGTGTCAGTATTGGTGGCGTGCTAGCCACCGACGAACTGCTGGTCGGCCTGCCCCATGAAAATACTCGTTTAGCTGAAGCGTTCGACGGAACGTGACTACTCACGAATAGCCCGGCCAGTCTGAGGCGTCCCTGTAACCGGAGTCCCCCAAAGCTCCGGTGAATATGCTGACGCGTGGTTAGGTTCCGAGCGTTCAATGACAGCTGATCAGGAGAGCTCACCTGGATGGACCAGCGACAGGACCCTGCGTTGACAAGTCAGTGCAGTACGCCTCCCAGGACCCCTCCATTACAAAGTCGAAATAGGCATCCATAACGAAAGTTTAATAAAAATAAGGGAATGGGGAAAGGGGGTGCGCCGCTCGGGTGGTGGACGAGGTCTCGGTCATAGCGTTTGGCGCGCTTTTGAACCCCGTTGTGTTTGGTCCGACACAACAACGTGGATGCACCTCCGCGTCTTGCACGTGAGTATGTTTATGGCAATCTCTTACCGTTCAACAAACTGAACAATGGGATTGCTCCTGGACCACGTGCAGCGGTCGATTGGAATGTCGGGATCGCCTATTGTCGACGGCGGCACTGTCGCCGAAGGATCCTAACCACGGAGCTGCCGCACCATTCAATCCGTTTATCGACTTCGCACCACCTTCCTCGTCGTCTTGTACTGCATCTTCGCAGTGTCGCTCTTCAGCTCTTCCGACCTGCTCCTGCTCCGGTTCGTTCGCCGGTGGCAGCAAGGAATTATACTCGGTTTAGCTACAGCTTAGACGCTGTACAGAGGTCAGTTCGAAGGATGCCTCTGAACATATACCAACCCACTCACCGCACGGGCCCTAGCGCATAGTTCGCCACTTTCCGCCGAAACCACCAACATGCCCGCCAGCCTGAGACACGCACAACATCACATTCCTCCCACCCTAACCACAAACTGAGGCAGCAACAGGTGGTACGGCCGCTGACTAGCTGTGTACTTAACCATTAGTCGAATCGGTACACTAAAAATCACCTGATGCCCGACTATCAGCTAGAATCTCGTTCCCGACAAGGGAACATCTTGAGAGCTGCCAACTGGATCATCATACGTCCGAGGAGAGGTGAGGTGAGGAACGGTATGCCTCCTTTGAGTTGCGGTCGTCGATGCTGCAGCAAGAGTCTGGGCGGGTAAGGGGCGAGCTAGGTTTACCCAGCGGCATCAAGGCATAGGGGCCCTAGCAGGCGGCTCCAGATCGCCTTGTTTTCGTTCTGGTAGTGGTCCTCAAGCATGTCCATCTACGCCCGGGACAATTTGAGTATTCGTGCGAGGATAACAAGGATAACAAGACGTCTGCGGCCAGCATCGCTTTTACGTCTGTGTATATCCTGAATCCCTGAAGAACGGAGTGTTGAGTACGCGGAAGTGAGCAACAGTACTGGCTTCCTAGGGTCGGTGGACGCGAGATGTTCTCGAATACCGAGTGTAGCCATCTACAGTGTCTGCACCCGAGTTGATGGCGCAGGATATTAAAGCACTACACGGAGAGACGGCTTGTTGATTAGTCGAGCGGGCTCAACGACGCTGATTACTTCTTCATCAGTCCGGCTAGCAGGCGGCCAGGTAGTTTGAAGTTAGGTGTCGAAGTCGTCCATGAAGCCTTTGAGAAACGTTGAGCTTCGCTTTTAGGTAGTTCGTTCCGGATGTCGGCCCTAATCGAATTGAGGAAGATATGAAAGGACAGGAGCCAGCGTATAAAATGCCGACGGGACGTTGTCAGATGAGTGAAAATTAGACGTGTGTCCAACGCACCTCCTGCCGCGCCTTGATATCACTGTTCGCTAAATGCCATGATGCGGGTGGATGGGATTGTGCAAATAGATCTTTGAACACCGAGGAATAACCTTCGAGGATACCTCTACCGTACGTACGCGGGATTTAACATCTCCAGGTTGAAGGACAACGGTACCATCTTCGACGCAGGGCACATTGTCCTTGCGTAGTTGTATCCGGTGCATTTGGACCACCAACGGCAGGTGCATTAGCGAGAAGTCGGTCATCGACACGTCTGGCTTTGGCTTGCATCAAGCTGTGTTTCCTCATGTGACAATATTACGCACTCGCCTCCTGGTAACGCGTGTCGACACTACGGCTGGTTAAGGAGACTTGGAGAGGCACCGTTACTGGTCTAAATCACGACGGGAGCTGCGTCCATTTTGAAAACTGAAGGAGAGACCGTTCTGGCATATTCAAGGGGCAGACTAGAACGAGTAGTGACTGCCAGCTTTACTTAGGGTAGGCGACACTTCCCACTCCGCCACGTAGCTCATGCGCGCGTTCGAACCCCTGCGCCCACAGTTGTCGTATTTATGATTTCCGAACTACGATCCGCTTTCGGGATATCCTCGTGACTACATCACCTTGTCTCGAGCTGTGTGAAACTCAGCTGGAACCCACAAAAAAGGAGCATTAAGCAATGCCATTAGTACGCTAGTAACGAGAGCGAGCAGCAGAGACGTCTATATACCCTTAAGGACAGGAATCATTAGCACTCCAAGTAACCAACCAAAACGACCTAATCGCTCTCCGTATGATACTCGTCGTCGTCATCCTGCTCCAAGCTGGACCGGCTCTTACCCTTCGATTTGGCATCCTCGTCCGTGACAAACTCGACTACAACCTGTCCTCCGCCCTTGAGCACGTCGATGTCACCTATCTTCTTCCCTGCCTCCCACGGGACCTCGCGACGCGGGTAGGCAAGCACGAGCTTGAAGCCCCACCACTTCTCAGGCGACCGTCCAGTGCGCTGCATGTTCCCCACGATGCCCTCCTCCCCTTCCTTACCGCCTTGCGGCGGAGCGACAGGATCGGCGTCCTGGACAAACTCGGGGGGAATGAGCAGCGAGTCGACATAGGCGTAAAGCGATGTCAAAGGGTCGCTCTCCCCAAAGAAGCGCACAGAGCGCCGCCCATCCGGCATCCGCACTCCAACGCGCATAGTCTTGCCGCGCCCGCTCTCTCCAGGGCGCGGCTCGCGCAGGACGAGCCCGCGCCTCAACCAACGACGCCACTCCATGCGATGCGCAACCCACTGCTTTTTTGCCTCCTCCGCTTTGTGCTCTTCTTCAATCGCCCGCGCCTGAGCCTCTGCCGCGCGTCGCTTCTCATCTTGCGCAGCGGCGTCTGCTGCACGCTTCTGGAGGATCCGCTCGGCGTCCTTGCGGCGGGATTCCTCGAACGCGCGGTCCTGCTCGGCACGAAGAGCGCGTTCGCGCTCGCGCTCGGCGGCTTCCAGGCGGAGCTTGTTGAGGAATGGCGTCACACGGGGGAGCAGCTGCTCGTTGAGGTGGATCACAAGGGTCTGTGCAGCAGTCGGCGCGGACGTCGACGGGATGGAGGGTCCTTGGTGACGGGAGAGGATCGTCATGGTAGGCGCAGGCGCGGAAGAGGACCCCGGGGCGCGGCGTGGCTGGAGCGCGATGAACGCTATAAAGGGGTAAGTTGTAGCTTGCAACTTCTGTGCGGCTGAAGACGGAGGGTCAGTAAAGGGCTTGATACTACCATGCAAATGAAACCGCACATACCACTCCAAGCTTCCCTATCGCGAATATCACCACCCCAGACGAGAATCTCGTTTTCTTGGATGATGCGGAGGAAGCTAGGGTCCGTGAGTGTGCTCCTGAAATGCGGGTGAGACGACGCTCAGTGACCAAGCGGAGGGACGCGGGCTTACCGCTTAAATTCAGCATCATTGTCATGTTCGCTGCTGACGATAACGACACAACCAATCTTGAGGTCGCGCTGACAGGTCCTCGCAAACTCCTCGTATCCCCCGAGGAAAAAGTCGGGCAGCAACTTGTCGCTTTCGGCGCTGCCGTTCGAGCCTTCCTCCCAGGCACTGCCCCGCGCAGTCAGAGTTGACGGGCCCGCCACCCCAGAGGCGACGCCGTGCCCGTTACCCTGCGACTGCTTCCGGTTACCGCTTCGACTGATGCAGACCGCACCAGTCTCTTCCTCAAGAGCACGGACCCACTGCTCTGCGACACTTTTAGGGTCTCGAGATTCCCTGCTTCGCCCAGGACCGAGGGGGCGGTACGAGAAAGAGTAGGATCCAAAGCTGGGAAGCGGAATGCGGAGGGCTCGGAAGATAAATCGAAGAAGAGAAAAGAGAGGATATAGCGGGATCGCAAGTATGTTGAAGACGATACGCAAGGGTCGGATGATGATTGTTCCGAAGAAGCTTGACTCCTGCTAACTCAAATCAGTGAATAATCAGACAGACGAGAGGCAGGGTGAAATGCTAGAATTCCAGTATGGCGGCAGGATTGCGATGAAGAACCACTGCGCTTGAGCACCCGCACGACTTAATCACGGCGCAGAAGACGAATGGTCAGCTACACAAGAAGAGCCGGAATACACCCGTAGCGGCGGGAGCAGAGGCATCCCCGTTTCTCTATAGAAACATTTAGGTGCGAAGGAAGAGTTTGCTCAATGCCCGCGTTTGAGGAACTATAGATAACTAATGTTTTCTTGCCGTGACAATCTTCACATAGACCTTAGAGTGACTGCAACAGCAAGAATACTGAGAGCCGATACCTGGGCGCCTGAACGTCTAAGACTGCCCGTGATATAATGTTGGCGTGAAAGAATATGGCATTCTCTGCTGAATGAAAGCTCCTATCCTGTGCAAGGGACGAAAAGGCCGTGGAAGGCCAGCCATACTGGAAAACGTCTATTGATGTGAGGGACATACCACGGGGCGGAATTCCCGGCGGCCTTGAGGGCCGTTCAAGAGACCATCCTGCTCAGAATCATCGATTTCAAACTGTTCAACATGATTGGTAGATTCATGCGCCGGAGGCGATGGAGGAGGGGGTACACCGTCGAATACAACCTCTGCCGCACGCTGTGGGATAGCGTTAGCTTACATTCACAGTTATGCCCAGGCTCAGCATTTGCGACAAACTTGGCCAGGTGTGGACGAATCGTCGCATCTAAGTATGCTGAGCCCATGCTGGGCTAAGGAACTTCAACGTACCTGTACGTCCCAGTCCACGCTGGCCAGAACTGAAATTGCAACCTCTGCGTCACCTCCATTTGTCTGCGCCGGAGACAGCGAGTCGATGTCCATGGTCAGCTGGCGGAGTCAGAAGGAGCGTCAGAGCAGCGAGAACTGCTAGTTGGGAATATATTATGGGAAAGATGTGGCAATGTGCAGAGAGGACAGGATGGAGCATGTGAACCGAGCTGCCACTCTATGGCCTGATAAGTGGGTTATGTCATTATTTTTGATGACATAAGGTCTAATTGGCATCTTGCCGCCGGCCTCGCCGCCACAATTCACGCTTGGTCTTGTCTCGTAACACTCACCACCTCGCTACTGAGCTTCACATCTGCACGGGACTTGCTGAACGGCCGGACGTTATGGGAGAAGTCGTCAATGTTCTTGTTGCGGTTGCAGTGATTGTCTTGGTCGTGCGCTGGGCGACATCTGGTGCGTGCTACCGATTCCTGGACTCGACCACTGGCCTGACGAACTGTCTCCACACTCACTCACTATGCTCATCTCGGACACTTTGGATTCGCTATAGGCATCAAGGACAGTAACGGAGCACCATCGCCTTCCGCCGTTCTGGGCTTCCGGCCCAAGAATGTCACGCCCGAAATGGTATGTCTCTTCCTTCTCATCCCATATCTTCCTTACCGTGGCTTCAGGTAGAGACAGTACAAAGTATGTTCCCGGATATCCCGAGGTGAGTTATGCCCCTTCAGAATCGTGCTTCCTTCTGTCGCCTACATGCGCTCGGGTTCTTTGTGGTCCCGAGGGGATTTATCTTCTCGGTCGGTCTGCTTGATCCTCAGTCCATCCACTCCTGCGCATATTTGCATCCGTTAATATCGGCTATGATTGTTCGATGGCTGGTCTGCAGGATGGGGGAACGCTCAGCGACCAAATCCAAATCTCGGAACACGGACCATGCTCCTCTGCGACCAATGATATGTCAAGAACGTCCGACTGACGACGGTTATGCAGCGACAATATTCGTTATGACCTACTGAGAACGGGAAACATCCAACAAACGTCCAACAAGATTCTAGAACGTGGCTTCTTGCCTGCGGTGCGTCTTCCTCGCCTTCGCCGAGTCATTGAAACCCGTCTCATCCAGACATATCCCGACAGCCTCCACCAGCATATTATACCGTCTATCCTCGAAATGTTGGACCAACCGCTCCTGCCCAGCCAGCTGCTGCATCCGCGGCAATTAGCAACGCTACGGCCGGCTCGTCAAAACCCAAGAGGTCCGAGAACCTGCTCACACGATACCAACTCGAGGCGCATACCTCCGCAACGTCGGTCGGGACGGAGCCGGAGTCGGCGGGCGGCAAGGCTGTGTGGGAGGACACTGCGGAGAAGCGCGAAGCAAGCCTGCGGGAGCGCAAGGCGCGCATGATCCTCGCTGCGAGAGAGTACGTACCTACCTTTGCCTTCTTCTGCCACGGCAAGTGCTTCCCATGGTCACTCTACATGTAACTGACGGCTCGTTTGGTGTTGCAGGCGACTGCTTGCTCAGCAGGCGAAGGAGGCCGGCGGCGCGAGTTCTTGAGGGTGGGGGCGTGACGGTGTTCGAATGGAGGACTGAAAATATGTTAATCCTCCCCTTGTACCCTTGGATCAGTATCCCTAATTTCTCGTCATTGCTCCCTGTCCAATACAACGGATTTTGTGCGCTCATACACACGCGGGACATGTCTTGTCCTAACCGCCTTCCATCCGATCCATATGGATGTGGCCAGGCTTGAGTTGCATCGCGAACCGGGATTGCAACATTCATCCTGTCAAGTACGTTTTCGGCTCCCTGCACGTTGTGGTTTTCAGACCGTGAATGGATACGCATACACCGACCGTAAAGTTGGCGGGATGCCCCGCAACGGTCGGTACTTACGCGATGTCAGCTCGATCCGCAGGGACGATAACGGAATTATGTAGTATGTACCACGCCGTGCCCAGATACTTGGGCCGCAGCAATTACACACTGCACTATATCCGCGCTCCGAACCTACCACGACCCTTCGCGTTTTCATCTCCGGCGGATCATCTGAGCCTGATGCCGTATACGAGACCGCGCCCAAGTTTTACCGATGCACTCAAGCATGCCAGTTGTGCAAGTAGACCCTTCTCATGAGCATATGCGTGTTCAAATTCTTGCACCAGACCAAAAAGGCACTGTAGGACTAGGGTAACGAATGGGGAACATGGGTATGTCGTGACCGAGAGACGACGCGTTTCTCGATGTTGACTGATGTAACAGTGAAAGACATCATGCGTGGTCTTCCCAACTTCCTTGATGTTGCGCGCGCGATCCGTTCATGATACAGTTGCGCATCAATGGTCAGCCGCCTGTAGCCCCATCAAAGCCATGCGGGAGTGCGATGATGTGCTCACAGGCTTCCCATCATGCACCTCCTCTTCGGAGGTGACTGATTTTGGATTACTCGCGCCACATAACAACCAGAAATAGAACACAACGTCTGGGGGAGGCCACAGGCCCCGCCGATCGGTCAGCCATATCACACATTCGCGCAATTCAGGATAAGGAATGGGACTCCAGTATTACTCCGCCTCGCGAGACAGAGGGTATGAACAGGCACCCGGGTATAGCCGCCGCGGTGAATTAGCTACTCCAAATATCTGAGCTCGAACACAACAGTTTCGTAAGCATCAGCAGAACAGTCGTATTCGTAAGAATCGCTCTGGGAGCACCGATCGAAAGGAAGGACAAGGCAACGGAGAGCGGCCTTGTTCCTTAGAGGTGGAGGATGGAGATAACCTCGGCAAGGTTCAGGTTGAGAATGAAGGGGATGACTTCCTTCAGAAGGGGAACGAGGACCTTCAGGAGGTCAGTAAGGACGGTCCCGACAAGCTGGAGGACGACCGAGAGGAGATCGGCAACAGTGATACCGACGACCTTCACAAGGTCTTGCACCGTCGTGTCGACCGCAGGGCCGGCGATGGAAACGACAGCACCGACGGACTTGAACACGAGCTAAATGGGAGAGGCGTGAGCGTAGAACGGCACACATCGCGCTGTGTACTTACGACAACGACACCAGCAACGAGATGAGCGACCTCATCCACGGTAACCAGGACGGTGCCCTCCGTGGAGGCGAGGATGACAGAGACGTCCTGGCCAACAAGGCCCTTCAGGGCAGTAACTGCACCGGTCAGAGTATCGACGATCTCGTGGACAGGACCCTGGATGTTGTTCGCCGTCGCGTTCTGAGCAGTAATGAAGGCTACAACCACAAGTTGAGTAGCACGAGCGGAAACTACGAAAGTGATAACACTTACTGAGAGCGTCAGTCGCAGGGGCGAGGTCCGCCTGCAAGCCGGTGAGGATGGCAGCAAGGCCCTGGGGAGCATCGGCACGGTTGGCAAGACCACCGGCGACGTTGGGAAGGGGGACACTGTTCACAAAGGAACCAACGGTGTTGGCTACGGAGTCGACCGGGGTGTCGATGGGGCGGGCGGAGGTGAAGGCGCCAAAGGCGAGGGCAGCGATGACGGAGAGCTTGCTGAAGAACATATTGTACTGAAAAGAGTGTGGATTGCGTAGAGCTGGAGGGAGACTAGAGTGTCTGTGGAGAGAGAAGTAGGAGAGGAGAGGAGACTACTTGACCGCAGGAGTCAATGCGGTTCCTTCTCCAAGTCGCCCAGGCTTTATACCCATCGGCGCTGCTGGTGTGTTTTGCAGATGCAGAGTCATGCGCGAGTGCGTCACTGTGACAGCAGGTCATGAAAGTGTTTCATTAGACAAATTGCTAAGCGAGGGAAGCAACGTAACCGAGACTCGTTGTGTTAGGGCTGATCATTCCGATCATTTTACTCCACCTTGTCAGTATCTTCCACCGATAGTCATTGGCGCGGTGGCCGCCATAGGGCTTCCCATCCGCGTTATTCATCCCATCTGCCACCCATCTATCAGCAGCAGATGCTTGCGCGCAAGCAGAAGCGCTGTTCTCACCATACCGTAGATGGGAGGTTGATTCGTCCAAAGGGGATGGTCAGAAATGACGTTTCGGGATCGCCCGCCGCCTTCCAGAGCACCTTGAGTCGGCTGCGCCCGTCGTATGCGTGTCGGCAGTCGCTACGCGCTCATACGCGGTGCCCTCCAGGAGGCGGCTGAACGTAAAAGACAAGAGGAAGAACCGCGACCGATGGAGCGGAGACACTAGCGACGCGCTAACCGCTTGCTTGGGTCATGGAGCGCTTCTTGATCTCTCCGCAACCCTGCAACGGCGGATCGGCGGCGCTTTTTGATCTGCCTTGGAACAATCGGCCAATCAGGCGGGCATCTTGTTGGAAGGTGCAATTTCGGCGGGGAGGGTCGGCTACAGTAGAAGATTTGGGGGTGCTGCCGAGACAGCGGAAAGGAAGAGGTCATTGGGACTGCTTGGAAAGTGGGCGTGCCGCACGAAGATTTTGTGGACGAAGAAGCATAGAGCTCTGTCAGTGGATATCGTCCTCGGGCCTCGGACGGCGGCGGATGTATTATCCAGAGATATGGTCTTGGGGTGAGGACTGCGGACATAGAACGGCCACCTCCCGGAACTCTGGAGTTGACGCAATTTGAAGGCACTGTGAGGCGAGCTTTGATGACCCGGGCAGGGTCGCGAGGCATTATGCACGTGTGCTGAGGAGGGACGCATAAGATCTGGTCAACTTGAGGCGCACGAAGCATTGTCTACACAAGTTGGAGGAGAGATTGATGTACCACTCCTTAGGCCAAGTATGTAGACACATAGGGGTTTGACTTCAAATAAGCTCAAGGCTTCAAGTTGTCGGCTTTTAGCGTTTACTGTCCCACGCGGAGCCGTCTGAACGCTGTTGACCGACGGCGATAGACAACAGGTACAAACAACCGCTCCTGTGACGTTTCTCCAGGCGCTTCGTCCTTCAGGACCGTTGCGTTATCCTTGCAGTATGTCCAGCTTGCTCCCTTCAATCGAGGCCTTCGCGAAAGTGGGTACATGCATTAATTTTCATCTGCTGTAAAGATGATGATTGTTCGTCAGGGAACAGCTGCGACCGCAGCAGGCTTAGGGACCGTCGGTGCGTGGGCCTACCAAGTTATGATGCCAATCATTACATTCATTGACGCGTGCCGCCCATTCGGTGCTCCGGCTACCCGACCTTGCCAGGTTTTGGACTGCTATTCTTTGGCCAGAACTACCTCATTTATCCCTCGTCATATCCTCCGGGATCGCGGACAGGTGCGTCTCCCCCCGTTCTATACTCGGGTCTCCTAGTCTCATTCAACGGGAGTAGAGGTACCTGTACCGACGGACTTTGGCTTGCCATACCGTGACCTTCCATTGCAAACACCAGATGGCGTGAAGCTAGCGTGCTTCTTGCTCACTCAGCGGAAAGAGCTGCCAAACATTGGTTCCATGCCTATCGAGAGTCCGGAGGAGGAATCAAATGAAGAGGTGCGTTTCCCACCACATGTACTCCATCCATGTCTGCTGTCCGTACCATGCGCATCGCTTTGCACAATACCATCTCTATCTGGACCTTCACGTCAATGCCTAGCCGGGGGTATTGTACGTAACTCGGTGGCTCCGTGGGTTTCCCTGGTCCCGACTTCCCTCCCGACTCGCGGGATGGCTTACCTTTGAACCCTCCTAGCGCAGTTAATGTGAGCATTGGAGTAGGTTTCTTGAGTTACGGTCCCGTGAAGGTCTATCGACTCTGAGCCGGACTTCGCAAGGTCTGTGCCGTGACACCCTTGGCATGGTGGCTTTTGGTCTGTATTGTCGGACCGTCTTCCCAACTATCTGTCCGACCTGTCATACGGGCAGATCTTTCCCTTTCAGAGATGCCTTCCTCAAGTCAAGTCCTTATGTTTGTCGTTGTAGTTCGCCGCAAGGCGTCCAACAATCCTCATGTTCCATGGGAATGGAGGAAACGTCGGCCACCGGATACCGCTCGCCAAGGTGTTCTTCGTGCGCATGCGCTGTAATGTACTCATGGTCTCCTATCGCGGGTGAGCGCGTTCACCGCTGTCTTGCCGACTGTAGGTCAGATTGCTGACGCCCCCCCGTTCACCCTGTGTCTTGTCACCTTCGTGCTTGCGTTCCACCCACGCGCGAAAGCTACGGCCTGTCTGAGGGTAACCCTTCTGAGAAAGGTCCGTCTGCTATGAGGGTGCACCATCTTGTATCGGCATTAGCATGTTCTGACGGCGCTGAGCACAGGTATCCGCATAGACGCCCAATGCGCGCTCGATCATGTTCTATCGCACCCTTTCCTATCGAAAACCCCAATCGTGAGTCTTAACCATTCAAGCATCCTCATACAGGTTATGCATTGCGAGGCAAGCCAACCTCATTTGATGCCCCCGCCAGATACTGTATGGCCAGTCAATTGGCGGAGCTGTCGCAATTGACCTCGCAAGTCGTAATCCGCATGCGGTGAGTCACCCTTCGTCGCTCTTACCTCCCCCCGGACCTCGCCACCTCACTCATCAAACTAACGCTTCCGCACGCCCCTCGCTCCCACTCGTAGATCCGCGCCTTGGTCCTCGAAAACACATTTCTCTCCCTGCCGCGCCTAGTGCCAACCGCGCTGCCCGTGCTGGGCCCCTTCGCGTTCCTATGCCATCAGAAGTGGGACTCGGCGTCCAAGGTCCCCCTCATCCCTGCGGAGACGCCGATGCTCCTCCTCAGCGGCGTCCGGGACGAAGTCGTACCTCGCGAGCACATGCAGGGCCTCTGGGAACTCGTCCAGAAGCGCATCCCTGGCGGCCAGAAGGCGGCGGCCCCTACCTCGGTTCCTTACTTCGCCCCGGAGCGGGAGGAGAACACGGACAAGGACATCAGCAAGGACGAGAGCGTGCAGAACCCCGCAGCGTCGGGGCACTCGCGATTCGTTGAGTTTCAGAGAGGGACGCACAGTACGTCGTATTTGTTGCTCTTGGAGTTTCGACGATCGTACCTTGTTATCTTCGGAGGCTGACGAACCCCTGGATACAACGTGTAGATGATACGTGCGTGCAGCACGGGTACTGGAGCGCCATCCTGGACTTCATCTCGTCGCTCAAGGATGTCCCTCCGCTATCGTAGGCCTGAGTGGACTGCCGATGGACGGATTCAAGGTTATCGCGGCGATGACAATTTGGATTATTTCGATGAACGGAATTAGGGTGTCGCGTGCCTATCGGTGTTGTCCTGTCCCATTCTTCTTAGTTCGCCTTTGACTCCATCGCCTCCCATGCCTTCGTATGCATGTCGTCTGTATTTGTACGTAGCTCTGATACTACACGTTCACCTCATTTGTTCGGGCCCGGATCCAGTCCGTCACCCCCTACGCCATTCATGACGCCAGAGCGAGTGCGCTCCATGGGTTGCCAGCTTGGCAACAGCATCTGTTGCGTTTTGTGAAACTTGCTTGTGTTAGATTAATTCAGCTCAATCCAACCTTGGCAACTCTCTACAGCGCAACTTCAAAGCGATTCTACGCGTGACCACATTCCGCTTCTCCGAGGCATGGGGCTAATCCGTTGCCAAAGAGACGTTGAGTCGGTGGGCTCCACTTGAATTCCCTGCCGGGTAACAGCCCATACAGCGTGCTGAGAACTAGATTTGAAATCACACGTCTGCATTACAGTAGAGCGGTTGTACGCGCGGGCCAGCAACAGCCGAAGCACTCAACGAGCTACATTGTGGGGTTGTGTTTCCTGAGGTTCTGGGAGGAATCCTGATCGACGCCAAGCCCAAATACGCCTCAAGCTCCCAGCGGCGGCATGCGCGTGAGGTCCGCAGGCGTACGATCCAACGCCACGTCCGCCGCAGACCTCACGATTTCCATCGGCTCCTGCGCGTCAGGCAGGAACGTTTCCGCCGTTGTGCCCGGGCCTGGAAGGAGGCGAGCAGGTGCAGGGCGCGGTGCGCGCGGATGGCGTCGACTTCAGCGTGCGAGCCTTCGTCCATGCTGATCTCGAGCTAGTCTGCGTACGGTATCAGGGGGATGTGGAGCGGGTCGGGGATGGGCGCGATGACGTGCGGAAGGAGACGGGCTGGGGGTCGACAAGGTGCAGGTCAGAGAGTGGGACAGAAGCGTTGTGCATCTCGGCGACCGCGCGGGCGGCGGGGTAGCTCCGGCGGATAAACGAGACAATCTGTCGTGAATGTATGAATTGTGCGGCCAGCGTAGGATGTGGAGAATGATTGCTTTGCTCCTGATAAGTTACAAAGACAATGCATAATCAACCCGAACGTAACGAGGGAAATCAAGCATTCTTCCTCATCCCAGTGTCTGAAACGGCCACCGCAAATTTTAGCCAGTCGCGAATCTACGCTGAGTGGATTAGCACCCTTCGCTACGTTCCCAAGAACGTTCTCTGCGGCCCATTCCAGTTTGGTAATCCTGTGCCTAGAGCATGCGCAGGCGGTATGGGCATCTCGGTGACCTGGGGTACGATTGTGTATTCTGTTCGCAACGGCCATGAGTCACGTAACATGCGGTCACGACTTACTGCAAAGGAACCTCAATAAGCTCAGGAAGTTGATCCTGGGTAACATGTCGTACGGAGAGCTCAGGGATGGCTGCACAATTTCCCGAACAGCGCAGAGGTCGCCCTCGAATGATCGAAGGGCGCGGAAAAGTCAACTCTTCAAGCTCCAAGCTGAAGTGGAAAGCGTCAGTGGGGACCGTGCCATAGACGGACATGGCACGATGGAAAGCACCTGCTTAGGTAGTGACAGAAGGACATACAACGGGGGATTGGTCGAAGGCCTCTTGGCACTCCCAGGTGAGTGTCCGCGTACGGCGCGCAAGATGGTGTTGCGGATCAATATCGCTTGCAGGTTATCAGTGGTCAACACCTTGCAACGTCAAATCTTGAGTGGCACAGAGCATAACATACCTATCGCAGCCGCGAGTCAGGAACAGATACGCACCGATCGTGCCCGTCCGCTGCATGACCTTCTCCACAACCATCTTGACAAACTTTCGTATTGAATTTTAGCCTCAGCTTGCGGGAGTGAGACCCCTCTGGGCGCTGCGCTCCACCTCGATGTATATCGCGTTGATCTGTTGAAGTAGTGTTTGTAGTTCAGCGCCCATAGATGGTAGCCCTCTGCATTGAGCTCTGAGGGCTTAGAGGTTGCCGTGACGCATGTTAGTGCTGCTATAGTGGTGGGAGAGCTAGACGGCACGAGTATGTACGCGAGTGTTGAAGGGCGAGCTCATTGGCACGCTTCACGATACCATAGACAGTTTCTGGCGTCGGGAAGGTCAGAGGAGACGTCGAATAGAAGACGGCTAAGGTGTCGCCGTCACAGTTTTCAAGGGCATAAAAGCATCAGATACCATCTGAACAACCAGAGGCCGGCCCAAAAGCAGCTATGCAGATTATATACCCTAGAGTGTGTGCTATGGATCAGATAGCACTACATCTGAGGTGATGTATGCACATGAGATGGTTCCATAGCTCAATGCTTTCTTGTGTGTCCAATACGCAGGCTTAGGGTAATTAGTCTATCCCGAGGGTTCGCGACGTCAACTAAATTCCTAGAGAAGCTCGCAAGGTGAGCAGCTCTGTGGCTGACTCGAGGGCCTCCAGACGGCTTGAGCACTCGTAAGGAGGGTCTTCCAATCTCTATGACCAATATAGAGGGGAATCGAAGTGAACATATGGACCTAATACGGTACGAACCTCAAACTTCGTATTGGTTCTAGTGTGACGCCTCCGGCTCAACCTTCGCTGGCAGTCGGACTGCTTGAGAATCTGCTTGAAGATGTTTGTTGATAGACCATCGGGCCTGATGAGTGCAGTCACATTCATCAGTAGACGGCGCAGCTAGATGATGAATTTGGCCATAGCGTCGAGCTCCTTGTGAAGCATTTTGTTGGCATGCCGCTCGGCATGCCGGTCGTGCCAGTGGCCGGGAGGCGTTTCCGTCTAGGTCGGAGATCAAACGGCGGCTAAAGGCTCAGCGCTAGATACTCCGCTATCTCTGCCACAGAGCGTCGTGAGGCGTTTCCGAGTCGCTCTTGGACATTGCATGCGATCGGAAAGCCTACGCACTATACACAGCTCCATATCTCCCCACAGTCAACCCTGCACAGTAAGCATCCAGGGTTCCGCTGCAACACATCAAAACCGGGGAATCGCTCATTAGCGCTTAATTGTGGTTCTTTCCTCTCCTTCCCGACCAATTACTACAACCTATTCTTCTTGAGCTTTGGGACCATTCAAGATGGCTATTGCAACCGCAAAGCTCCTGCATGAATGTCCTTCTGAGACCCATATGGTACCGATCTCTAGGCAATACAGTATATGGCGGGACAACGAAATTTTACGAAGTTGTTCGCAGCACCAGCCAACCGTCCGAATGCACTTGCTTCGAACTCTCAAGGTGCGGCCGCTGACACGTGTATGTTTCCCATGCTCCACACGTAGACTCACAGACACCGGCTTCTGTCTCCCACAGCCCCGATTCGTTGCAGCGTCTCCGATGCTGAATCCCTGTACACTTGGTACAAAACACCGAGTATGTATTGAACCAGGATTTCTGCAGGTCGTTGTCGGGCCTGTCTTCCAAGCAGAAGGCAAGGTATGTCCCAATGAGGAGGCATTATTTGGTACTTAGCCTTTTGAGCTACGCACACGCCTACGGCAGGTATACGGCATGGGCGGTTCGAGATGTACAAGGCGGCGTGTTGCCAGTGAGTCTCGCACTGCCCCGCGAGTACCGGAGCTAATCTACAGCGGGAAACGCTGAGGTAGCACCTTGCCCATCGACATAGCATTCACCGCCTTATACCTGATGAAGGAGAAAGTCGCATATTGTGGAGATCACTTTGTGGCGTCTTCACGATCCCACAATGTGCGGCGGTAATCGCGGGGGACATCTATCGTCCGACCACACTTTGATTCCTGATTCCTGCCATGGCAAAGACATGCGAGTCTAGGAGATTGCGCGCACATGTTACGAGCGGCTACCTCGGTGACTTTTGGGCGTCCACAACCCTCGTCTATACGTGCGTTCTCCGATGCTGAAGGGCGCCATCGGACTGGTAGGACACGAGGCCGTCTCTGTGCGGATCTGAGCGCGCCGGCCGTCACGACCGCTCGGCTCCCTCCTTGCTTGGACACCAGTCCTATATAAATTCGCTCTCATATTGCGATCTACGGCTACCTTCGAAGGGATCCTGTTACCGTGTTCGCCTCATAGCTTCCGGAGTATTGTGTAGTGATGACCATATCAGATCAAGGAAGTTGGAAGCCAAGGCTTTTGTAAAGTTGACGCTTCGGAGTGACGTTGGCTCCTCAGCTGCTATCATGAGACAAACTCTATCTAAGCTCTGACGGGAGCCATAAGTAGCCGACTCTTCAGTCCGTCCGCGAGCGGGCTCTTCCTTGCTAACCATGTCCGATGGGTCGTACCAGCCGCCTGTCCCCAAATCAACCGTCCTAGAGTGAGTGTCTACCTTGGGGGCCACGAGAGCGTTCTAACATATCTCACGCTGACGCGCTTATAGGATTGGTCCCATCGTACGTTGCGCGGTGTCTCGCTGCGCGCCCCGAAATCTGACGAGACTCACTTGACCAGCTAATAGGCGCACTTCTCTCTTGGATGTTTTTCGGCATATCCATTGTGCAGCTTTGTGGGTCGTCCCACTTGCGTTATCTCTCTGTCATTGCGCTAACGAAAGTCCCAGACATATATCATGTTTCGTTTCCCCACGACCGCAGGTCCATCCAGGCCGCTGTGTACCTCATTTTCCTCTTGGACATCTTCCAGACAATAGTCGCGGCCTCGGAAGGATGGCAATTTCTGGTCAACGGCTGGGGTCGTCAGATCAACCTTCAGTTTCCCGGCTGGACGTTCACAGCCCTTCCCATCGTGTCGAGTCTAGGTGCGCCGCTTGCTCTCCCTCGCAGTTCCATCTACTAAAGAAGTGGAGACTCACTGCAGTGTCACTTGGGGTACAGACCTTCTACGCTTGGAGAATTTGGCAACTTGGGCGCTGGAGGTTCATCCCAATAAGCATTATACTTGTACGTTCCATATACATCTTCCCGTTGAACAATATCATCATTCATATTTGGGATATAGACTGCTTTGGCTTCCGCCGGTGGAGCATTCGCCATAGCTATCACAGTTTGTTTCATGCTCCACCTGTGCTCCTCTTCAGTGATTGATGTTTCTACAGTTCGCGTTCACCCACACTATCGCGAGTCTGCATGAGAAGCGGGTGTTCGAACCCACTATAGTAAGCCACGAAGAGCATCCTACATCGTGACTATGCTAACGTTGGACACAGGTATGGCTCGGCGGGGCTGCGTTGACGGACATTGTACGAACTCCCTTTCCTTGACATCATCGATCTACTGACGGAGCTGCACCTCTCTCAGATGATTATGTGCTCCATGCTCTACTTGGTTTGTCCTCGTTTACGTCAGATCGGCTGAAACTGGGCCATCGTGTCTGACCTAACGCGCGAATGCAGCTTTACTCAGCGAAACAACACACACACTCCTTCGAGCGTAGCGGGCTCATCGTCAATCGGCTCATCCGGCTCACGGTAGAGACCGGCTCCGCCTGTGCGGTTTCTGCCATCGTTCAACTAGGCTTATTCCTGGGCTTGAAGCAAACAAACCTCCATCTCATAGTGTAAGAGTCACGCCTTCTCGCATTCTCGCAATCCTCAATCTGACCTCTCTATCACGCAGCGCGCTGGTCCTGAGCAAAAGTCCGTGTGCAACGTTATGTTCACAGCTTACTCCAGGTTGCTTATGATTTCGCAGTCTACTCAAACACGCTCATGACGTCGCTCAACTCACGGGCGACCAAGCTCTTTACCCCGCGAGCGACCGCTACGAGCTCGAGCTACCGATCGAGACATGCCCAGTCGACGTCGCATCAGTTTGCCAGCACCACCGGCACGGGTCCTCTCGCCATTCAGATCACTCACGAAGTGGAGTCTGACAGGGACGTGGCGGACCACAAAGCGCGGCAGGTGTGTACTCAATTATCGAAGAGCATGAAAGCACATAGCTGATGGTCCTCCAGAATTGGGAGATCGAGTTGGATGACGTTCCCTCGTCCCAGGAGACAGGGTCGAAAGATCCGATAAGATCTGTGTAAAGCACTAACATTGTATCATTCATGGGGCTGTTCGCGTATCTTCTGTATAATTTCTACTGATTTATTGTGCAGTATCACCGTAGTTGTGTTGCGGATGTGCGACATACTCTGCGAGGTAGCGAAGCTGCGCCAATCCTATTGCTTCTATGTATGTAGCACTGCGCTTCCTCGGTAAGATCGTATGCCAGTCAGCGGGAAGAGCTTATCTATCACTTTGTGGTGGTAAACGAGAGATTGAGAAGATTGACCTTCGGCCATGGGATAACCCGTGGCTTGTATATGGCAGGAGAGTTCACTTGGGAAAGACAAGCCTGACGTGCGGTAGACGATGAAGAAAATGACAAGACAAGAAAAGCTAGACGTACCGCGGGCTTCACGCGGCGACATGTCTACCACCATGTTCTCCGTGGGCTTGACATTAGTGCGACCTTTGTCGACTTTAAGACCTACATACAATGGAGCGAGCTTGCAGAGCATCATGTACATCCGCGCAATATGTACCGAAGCGATGAGGTGATTCGGGCAGTCCTCGGTCCCGCAAGAAGTCCGATTCGAAAGCACATCGAGGTCCATCACCAATCTGTAGCCTATGGTGCGTCGCAGTCCGTGAACACCAGATCAGGGGAAAGGAGAGGGGCAAATCATGCACTTACCGCTGGCAAGGAATGCTAGGTCAACTGCCTGATGCCTGAAGTCATGGGTACGCTTCCTTAAGTGGACGGAAGCTATTCCATACTGGAGGAACTATCGTGAGCATGGAAACGATACCAAGGTCGTTTGCGGCCATCATGAGACCACCGACGGTAGCGATAGAACACTCGTTAGAAGCAGGCATGAGAAGTGCTCTAGTTAAACGAAATCACTCTACGGCAATGACGTTCCCTTGCACGAACTCCCAGGGCTGTCTCGCCGCACCTCGCGCAACTGTAGCCCGGCCGACGGCACCGTCTCGTTTTGGAGATTGGTAGAGTTCCTCTTGGGTCTCCTAGTCTACGAGGCGATTACGAGGATGAAGTGGCAATCAGAAGGCCAGTGGGAGCCTGGGTGCTGTTGCAATTGAGTTGGCGGGTTTGATAACATCAGTATCTGAAGTGTTGGGCTGGGAGTCGTTGTTCAGCGAGTCATTGCATCCTCTGTCACTTGATGTCGGCGTCCGGGTGCAATGGGGAAAGCCGGAGAATACCCCAAAGCGTACCAGAAGCGCCCGTTTCGCCCCGACACATTGCGTCGCCACAGCGGAGTCCTGCTTTGCCGGTGCACTGTATACTCCAGTGTCCTCAAGCCCTGTCGGCTACCGCTGGGAAGTTGTCGAAATACACTGGACGTCTGAGTCAGCCTCCAACGATCTAGACTTTCAAGCTTATATGGTCTTCGGGCTTGCTAGAGATGAGCTGTCGCTTCCATGGGAACGAGGAGCTGGCACACTCATATTTTGGTGAGTAGAGTAGACCTAGGTATATAGTCAGTCAGTCTAAATCCAGCTGACGTCGCCGGGTCTCGACGCGCTGCTGCTGTTACCTGAACTAGCGCTCGTGGGCTCCTCGAGCTCCCAGGCATAATATAACGTATACTTCGTTCACATGGTGGTGCATTCCTTATCTTTGTCCCTATCGCACCTCTGCGCGAGACCGTAGGCTCTGAAGGCGACATGCGATTGCTTCGTGCTGGTCTCTTGGGTCTGCTAGTACAGACCGGTATCGTATCCGGTTCTGCTCAGCTTCCCTTCGGAGAAAACGCGTTCAGCGCGTACGATGACGGGCTGTTCACGCCTCTCGGTGATCTGAGCTCGCTGAGCTCTACGGAGTTCACCTCCTTGGGCCACCCAATGTTTCCGCGTCACAATGTCCGCATCAAGCAGTCGCATTTCTGTGACGCTTCAGTACGGTAAGATTCAATTGTAACCTTGAAGTCGAGAAGAGGCTGTTGACAGTATTCCATCTGCTCATAGGGCATATACCGGCTACATAGACGTCGAAGCCAGGCACCTCTTCTTCTACTTCTTCGAGTCTCGCCGTGATTCCGATGCAGATGATGTAGTTTTCTGGACCAATGGTGGTCCAGGAGCGTCCTCAACCATGGGTCTTTTCATGGAACTTGGTACGCGACGATGTCCAACTAATCCCTCACCCTGCACATAGAGTCTTACTAGGGTGTTCAGGACCTTGCAGGGTGACAAGCCCGAACAGCACAGCGTTCAATCCATACGGTTGGAACGATAATGCGAACATTTTCTTCGTTGACCAGCCTGTAGGCGTTGGCTTCTCCTACGCAGACTACGGGGAGTCCGTGGTAAGTACGCCTTCACGAACATATTGGGAAATGCGATCAACGTTCGTTGTGTAGGGCACCACCCAAGAAGCTGGGGAGGACATTGCGGCGTTCATGGCAATCTTTTTTGCGCATTTTACTAAGTTTAAAGGGAGGGCTCTCCACCTCGCGGGCGAATCTTACGGGGTATGTCTCTCACCTCGGACTCAACTATCACTATGACACCCATGTTGTATTGCAAGGGTCGTTACATCCCGGTCTTCGCCGCTACGATATACGATAAGAATCCTCAGCTCATCGAGGCCGGACTCACTCCCATCAACCTGTCGTCCATCATGATCGGTGAGTCTCTCATTACCACATGTTTGGTCCGTACGGCCTGATGATCGTCGTCGACATACTAGGAAATGGATGCACGGATTTCAGTACCATGTTCCCGTCCTACTACTTTGCTCAATGTGAAGACCCAACCTTTCCAGCTGTTCAAGGAATCAGGCAAGTATTGAAAAGTCTGGAGACCCTGCAGGTTACATGGTTAATGTCTCTACAGTGATTGTGTACGGATGAAGCAATTGGTGAAGTCCCCGTGATATTGCGTGCCTCTTTGAGGCGATAACAGGCTCGTATCACTCAACACTCTCACAGGTGCCCCGCTGCCAGAAGCGCTACAAAGAGGCATGCGTGGACAAGCTCGATACGATCGACTGTGCGGCTGCTGCGGACTTCTGCCAGACGTCCCTCGGGGGTTTGTTCAAAGGTCAGAGCACTGTTGTCGCAGAGCGGACATCAATTGACCTGTGTAATCATCCGCAGATCTAAACCACTACGACCGCTCAAGGCCATGGTGAGCACATGCGACATTGTACTGCTGTTGGCATTCCTGATGCAGCTTGCCTCCAGCAAGGGTCTGAACATCACCGAGTGCTACCCGATCGTCCAGTGCGTCTTCCTGTACGCTACCGTAATCGGTGACTGATGGCACGATATCGTATCAGGAACATTGGCGACTTCCTCAACAACAACCACACCCAAGCTCTCATCGGCGTAGACAAGTCGCTTCGAGGCCACACCTTCAACTGGAGTTCTCAGACCGTCCATCAAGCATTCGTAGCGAACCTGGACCACTACGCCTTCCCCGCGCAGTACTACATCGGGGCCCTGCTCGAGCGTGGCGTCCGCGCGCTCATTTACGTCGGCGCGACGGACTACATTTGCAACTGGGTGCGTCCTTGACCTCTTTTCTGTATACAAACGGGCGAGCGGAACCGTGGGTAACTGCGTTTCGTGTAGATGGGCAACGAGGCGATGACGCTCGCACTCGAGTGGACCAAGCAGGACAGTTTCCGCAACGACCCGCTGAGGGTGTGGACGATCAACGGGAACCAGATAGCTGGCCTGACTAGGAGCGGCGGTGGGCTGACGTTTGCAACCATCGTCGGTGCTGGGCACATGGTATACCCATTTTGTGTCTCCATGCGAGGCAACATCTCTGACAGGCCGCGTTTGGGGTTACTACAGGCTCCGTATGATAGGCCCGTCGAGTCGCTGGAACTGGCCAATAGGTGGTTGGCGGAGGTAGATCTTTGAACGCCAGGAAAGCAGTCGTCTGTGGGCATAAACTCTTGCAGATGTTACGAGGGAGGAGATTAATGAAGCGGATACAGCTGTCGAGAGTGCCAGGGCGATAGAAGGAGCGAAGCTCTCGCGGACATCCAAGACTTATATGTGAAACCTCCCTGACGGCTTTGTTAGCAGATGCCAGCCTCCCAAACATGTAGGGCATCATTGTCCCAGTCGCAACAACCTGTAGCACCTCGATATCGTCCGTCGATGCTTGCATGGTCGCGGTATATATTGAGGCATTCTCGACAGCAAAGTTCTATCGCAGAGAGTGATCACCATACCAGACTGCGGGAGATAAACATTGCGAAGACACGGTATCATCACGGGCTCACAGCTGCTCATCGTTGAGATTCGCCGTCAAGCGCGACCCATTCTGTCTATGGGGTATTTGTGGATAAATGGGAAGCAACAACTCCTGACCGGGACGTGGGAGAAGCTCGGATGGGGTTGCATGCAATGAAGAGAGGCGGAGTAGCGGCTTTCTTCACGAACTGAACCTTGTAAAGATACTATCCCATGAGGTATTGACCCGGTGTCACGGGTCTATGGCTGGCACTGAACGAGCGTAGAAAGAATGGCATGCTGCAGACACTGACGTGGTCGGATTTCCATACGTGATGGAAGGCATTCCTGAAGACAGATCTGCATGAAATTGGCACGGCACAAAGAACAAGACGCGGATACTAATCACTGTACATACAAAGCAGGCCGATATTGTGTACACTGGGGAGCTATTCAAAGAGACGTTGTGGGACATTGTGTGTCGTTCGTAGGGCGCGCTAACAAATGACATCGATGACCATGTCAGTCACTGGAGGTTGAAGAGCCCCTGAGGAAGAGGTCAGCCTTTCAGCTCGGCAGCGAAACTGAGACGTACAATATTATTGTCCCAGTCGAACCACCATTTTGCCTTGAGTGATTTACGCCCTTCGACTTCGGCCAAAGCATCCGTCACAATCTTGATGACTTTCTCGTCGTCAGGGCAATATGCGTATCGTTCGTCGAAGTTGTAGTTCGTCCACAGAGAGATAATACCGTCCCACTCCAGGCTGAATGGGCGACCGTTGCTAAGGGTAAAGCGACATTTCTGACTGAGGTCCTTAACCATCAGAAAGGGAGACATAGAAGATGCGAAGTCCCGGATATCCTTGTCGGCTGCTAACCACGCATCATCGAGATCAGCCATGTCAAGCACCGTCCGACCACCAACCGCATCTCTGTCTTCATCTGCAATAGCCATGGTTAGGTGATTATGGCGAACGTAATCTAGTGCGTATTGATCGGTGTATGGGAAGCCATAGTGGTAGAGTGGGGGTTTACGGTCAGGACCGGGGAGGAGCTTCCTCGGAAGGACATCCCGAGGAGGCCGGTTTGCCATGAGCCTCTTCCATCTCTGTATCGAGAAGCCAGTCAGTCGAACAGAACGAACAGGCAGGAATGTGACTTACGGCTTCTTGAGCCTTCTCTGCAGCCTCCGTATACCTATCGCCACGTTGGCGGTCCCACTCGTACAGATACTGGCCGTTCTCCCAAAAAGCAGGATCTTTCACGTCCGTAACTGTGTTGGGCATGGGAGTGAGAAGAGATAAGTGGCGCGGAGGGATGAGCGCACGACAGTATAGCCGTGGTGGTCCAGGTCACGTTTGGCCGAAGGCCTAAGGTCCCATAGGGCGCCAAATATCCGATAGATCTCCGATGCGCCCTACGGGATCGTAGTTTCACTAACTACAGAGAGTGATTACTATGGCCCGGTCCATAGTGAGAGGGCGACTTTTGCCAAGCGGGAACCCGCATCTTTGATTGAGGTCCTTCACTGTCAGACTGGGGGGACAAACATTGCGAAGACACGGATATCCTCATGGGCCCACCACGCATCGTCAAGATCCGCCGTCGAGCTTCAAGCTCAAGCACGACCCCTTCTGGTACAGCAATGGTTGGTGGTGACGGCGGGCGTGAATATCATGGTACGTATTTGCGGGTAAACAGGAAGCCATAATGGTAGAGCGGCAGCGCCTGGAATGAGTGGCCATTCACAACAAAGGCCCATGTGTAGCGGGGCGGCTTTCTTCATAGCTTCTAAGAAGTAAACATCGTAGGAGGGATCCTACAGCATGAGGTGTCCCGTTATCACGGATCTATGGCTGGAGCGAGCTCAAACAGGTGGAAAAGAGGGATGCCGCTCGGAGACCATGCCGCCAACACTGTCCTGGTCGGATCTTCATAGACGATTGGAGGCATTTGTGAATAGGACTGTCGTATAATCTGCGCACAATTGGCATGGCACAAAGAATAAGACGCGAATACTAATCACTGTACATACAAAGCAGGCCGAGCTATTGTGTACACTGGGGAGCTATTCAAAGAGACGATAGTGTGTGGTTCATGAGGGGCACTAACAGATGACATCGATGGCGATGTCAGTTGACGGAGGTGAAGAGGCCCTGAGGAAAATGTCAGTGACCTTTCAGCTCGGCAGCGATACTGAGACGTACAACATCATTGTCCCAGTCGAACCACCATTGTGCCTTGAGTGAGTTGTGCCATTCAGTCTCGTTCATCGCACCCTTCAGAATGTCGACGACTTTCTTGTGATCATAGCACCACACGAACCGTTCTTCGACGTCGTAGTTCGTCCACAGAGAGACAATACCATCCCAATCCATACTGAAAGGACGACCGGTATCGAGTGTGTACCCACACCTTCGACTGAGGTCCCTCACCATCAAATTGCGGGAGACGGACTTTGCGAAGACCCGGATATCCTCATCGGCTGCTAACCGCGCATCGTCGAGCTCCGCCATATCAAGCACCGCTTGACCGCCAAAAGTCTCCCTGTCTTCTTCTGCGAGAGGAATGGTCAGGTGGTGACGACGGGCGTATTCTATAGCGTATTTGTAGGTAAACGGGAAGCCGTAGTGGTAGAGTGGCAGCTTCTGGCCAGGACGCGGGAGAAGCTTGTTCGGGAGTGCATCTCGAGGAGGTCGGTTTGCCATGAGCCGTTTCCACTTCTACATTACGGATTTAATCAGTCCGAGGAATGGACAGACGAAGATAGGACTTACAGCTTCTTGAGCCTTCTTCGCAGCTTCCGAGTACCTATCGTTGTGTTCACGGTCCCATTCGTTGAGATACTGGCCGTTCTCCCAAAGAGCAGGATTTTGCGAGACCATGGCAGTAAAAGATATCAAAGCGGGAGTAAGAAGACGAGTGGCGTGAGGGGAAGAACGCTCGACAGTATAGCTGTGGTGGTCGTAGTTGAACATGTGCATCCGCGCGTAGCGATGATGAAGGACCTAGGAGGCGCCCAACTTCCGATCTCCGACTATCGGCCAACCCCGAGACGTCTCAAGCAGTACTCCTAGTCCCAAACCTCTGATACTAGCTGCCGATCACTTAGCTGCAACCTCAACACGATTGAAAAGTATTCAAATAAGAACTCTCTATGAGAGAGAGTAAACTCAAATCCTGAAGGATTCAGGAGGGTCCAGTGTTACCACCACCTTACTAAGGCCAAGCCATACTAGGACTCAGGACGATGCAGCTAGTATGGGAAACAATGAGTTGTCTTTTGTTGAGTCCCGTTGTTTGTACTGTCAGTACCGGCGATGAAACTTAAAGTCCCGATTCCCGATATGTACACATGCAACGTTGCGCTTACGCGCCTAATCACACTGTAAACTGGGCCAACCACCCACATCCAACGCCGCTCAGTCCTCCTGTCCATTGTCTGCTATCCGCGCTCCAAAATATGCCCACAAAGCCTGTTACAAAAAGCTCAAGAGTTGCGAAAGCTAAGAGTCCTGAAAAGAAAGCCCCAGACCCTCAGGTTTGCTTTCGATTTCCACAGGTGCTTGTATTTTGTGCTAACCACGACTCATAGTTTGGTCCGAGTCTCATCTACACTCAAGACGACTTGGAGAATGACATGTCAAATGAATATACGGAGGCTTGGCTATGCCGTAGCTCAGAGCACAAACTCTACTCACTGTTCAACCTCATTCTCTCGCTCCACTCGCTCAACCTTCGTCACCGAAACGACTATCGGGTTTCCTTGATTTCTTGCCCGCAAACCCTGTTCGGCGCCATACCGCCTATCGGTGTATCGGAAGAAGAAGACTCCAATTTGTTGCAACAGGCAGAGGAGAAAGCGAAGGCGAAGTCGGACAACGGTTCGGAACAGGAGGAGCAGTCGATGGGAGACCTTCCTCCGGAGAGATGCCCCGACTTTGCCCGCTTTGTCATATTCAGTGACAAGGAAGAACTTCTGAGTCGCTCCGGACTATCTGCAACTCGCGAAATTGTCGATTTCTACGAGCTTAAGGCCCTCAATTGCCCGCAGAAGTGGTGGACGGAGGAAGCGAGGATCGCCGCAGAGGCCATCATGATGGCGACCATTACCCAGGTGTACGAGACGGCTATGGCTGCATTTGCGTATAACCCGGATTGGAAGCAGTTGTTTGGTGTCATCGTTGTCGGTGCTTACTTCACGCAGGTAGTCTGGAAGAAGCGACCGTCGGACGATGTATTGAGGCCGATCTTCGACACAGAAGTCCCCGAAACTGTGAAGAAGGGGGTCTCCTATCGAGAACTCATTGGGAAGCTGTTGAATCAAATTCCCCAATATGAGGAACGGGTGCTGCCTGAGATCCTCTATTGGAATGCACCCGTCTTCAACTACCATCGGGTTGAAGACAGCTGCGATGATCCACGGGTTTCCCTCACACTCCAGTTCCTCTGGGCTATGGGATCTCCCATCAAGACCAACTTCTCGCAGCTCGTACCTCGCTCGGGCTTGTTTGAGATGCCGGCCAAGAAGCCTTCAATATCTTGGGGAACGAGGGTGAGGAACAACGTACACTAGTATTCTTCTGGGCTCACAGCGCTAAACCATTTACAGAGTCAAGCAGAGGACGCCTTCAACAACATCCTGAAGATCATCCCTATTTGCAGTTTGAAGGAAAAGGCACGGTCGCTCGGTCACCGCTTCGATGGAGATCCGGAGCCGGCCTCCCCGACGAGTACCCCGCCCAACTCCGTGGCTGACGAGAGGTACAAGGCCTCGTTTAGGAACACCAACAACTTGCCTCCGCGACATATCAGAACTCGTCTGTGGCAGGCGCAGTTGATTGAAGCGGACAGTGACAATGTCGAGGACGCCAGTGCTGCCTAATGCAAGGGATGGAGGAGATAATTACTTCTAGCACTGGCATTTCAATGTGCCATTCCATACTTGTGCCCTAAAGATTGTACTAATATCGCGTTATGCAACGTATGACTCAACTCATCCATAGTCTGGTGCGGAGGACCTGCTCGACGAGGTATTGAGAATAAACCCTCGCAATAACTTGAAGGAGAAGGCACGATCTCGCGGACATCGGTTTGACGGGGATCCGGAGCCGGGTAGCCCTACGAGTACCCCGCTATCACGCGTCACGGCTGAGGAGAGGTACAAGCCCTCCATGAAGAACCGCACTAAGTTTCCGCCGCCATATATGAAGCTCCGTCGGCCGAAAGCAAAGCACTTCGCAGCCGACGACGGTGATAATGAGGGCTGTCTAATGCAGAGTGATTGGGGCGGACCTACTCAATGGCGTCCACTGTTAACATATATGCTGTATTTGTACTCCGTGAGCGAGCATGAAGAATTGTGACGATATTGTACTAGGTAACGAACGGCCTCATATGTCCGAAGCGTGGAACGATGCATGTGTAATATGCCACAACTTGAAGTCAGAAATATCAGAGCGTTCTGCCAGGACGATGCTCTCAGAGCAAATGGAAGCTACACATCACAAGGGAACGACATGGAATGTTGCATGGTACAGCCATCTCAGTGCACTCAAGCTCACTGGTACCCGCCTTCCTCGCTTGTCTCTTCATACTGCTCCCACATCGCCGCCGACGCTTGCACGTTCTCAGGCATCGGACTCGTTGCGAGAACGGCAGGAGGCCGCTTCTTGTCCTCGGCTGGGGTCTCCCTCCAGTAAGTCGGAACGATGTCCAGCTTGCGTCTTCCGCGGACGATGAACATAAACTCGGCAGAAGGGGGCTGGAGGGATTTACGGCGGCGGCGAACGAGGAACGACGCGATTATTGCAAGGAGAGCGAGGAAGGCGAGTGTTCCGATGACACCCCCCACAATCGCGCCTGTGTCCCCGCGGCTCGATTGTTTGTGGTAGGACACTGCGGGTGAAGAGGTAGCCTGAGGGGCCGGGTTAAACAGAGAAAAGGTTGTAGCTGTGGCAGATGTCCCCGTCCATGAGCTCGCGAAGGGTACTGGCTGCTGCGTGGACGAGGATGGTTGCTGAGAAGATGTGGGAGCGGCTGAGTCTGCAATTGGAGAACCTGCAGAACGTCAGGCAGACGAGTGTCACATCATGCAATAGACAGCTCACTTGAAGAGCAACTCTTGGGATCGCCCGTATTATGTGAACGTACACTACTACTGCTGGTGGACAACGGACTGGAGCTTTGGGAATTTATTGAGGTGAGGAAAGTAATCGCTGGCGTGATACGCGGCGGTAGCCGGTCAGATTGGATCTGATCAGTAGAGAACATGGGGAAGCTGTCTCCAGAAGCGTTTGTGGGCTCCGAATGCGAACTTGGATCGAGACACGACAACCCGCTTGAGATTGGAAAGTCATATGCAGTAAGGTTGCAGCTTGTGAAGGGAGGGGAGATGACTGGCTTGCTGAACGTGTCGTCAGACTGCTAGAGAGTATACGCAGATCGTCAGCCAGATTTATTGCGTTTACGTGACCAACTATCTCCTTACAAGTAGACGCTCTCGAGGAGAAGCTGTTACCGAGGCAGACAGTGGCATTTGCAGAGGACTTCTTGGGGAGACGAGGGGTAGGCAACAACGGGCTAACGTGGATGACGAACGAAGGGGGCGATGACCGACATAAGTCATACTAGTCATACATATAAGACCACTTGACAGCTCCCTGAATACTCGCGGGAGTTGCCTTGGGCGTCGAAGCACGGGTGGCCAACAACTTCGTGGTGACGCCATCTAGATGATTCCATGCTTGGGGAGGTCCAGGCACATACCGGTCTGTTGACCGTCCATCCATCGCAACGGGGAAGACAGAAGCGCGCATAAGGTTCGAGGCTGTCGTCTTCAGCACGTGTGTAAGCTGCAAAGAATACGAAGTGGACTAGGACATCGTATGCAAGGGGTAGTTTTCAGAGAAAATGACTCGAGTCGGAGGGATGCATATCATTCTTGTCCCCAGATGTAGGCGAGTCTCAGGTAATGAATACGAAGACGCCCTAAGAATAACTGTCAGCGACTTCTCAACTATCTGACGAGCCAAGGACGCACCAGATCATCTTCCAAGTCAAGCAACCGCTCTGTCTTGACCAAGTTCCGCGCTTTGATCTCCTTCAATTCAACCTACTCGACGTTCTCTAGAGGTACTATGACACCAGAGTCCGGGAAACGGTCATCGCAAAGAGCCAGGTATCCCTACCAGCTTCAACAATTCTATCGTCCAAGTCAGCTATTTCGAGCTCGGATCGAATCCGAGTTCTCCCTGAGCTCCTCTGGGGGAGTATCAGTGATATGACAGCGACGAGTATGATAGATGGCTTACATCTGCACGAAAGAATGGAAGCCGTCATGACACAGCGGGTGCCTCAGACGGAGCGAAGACGAGACTGAAACCTTGCGCGGAATAGTGCCCCTGAAAATTCGATCCGCCAAGTTTCGTTCAGTTTTCTTCAGTTGTCAGTTCTCGTGTGTGATATCGAGCGAAGTCAGTGAATGGGCTTGGCCTCTCTTGCACGAGTCTGCGCTACCTCCCCACAGAGCTGAATTCGGTTTTTCCGTGGCAGATTGTACTACCAATTAATGAAAAGCAATCACCAGAAGGGGACGAGTGCCCATCGGAGATGGGAAGGCGAGAATCCGTGACGGTGGTCGAAAGGCGACCCTATTTATCCACGTATAGGGATGTGCTCGGCTGGGTCAGACCCGCCTCCTTGACCCAGGTCAGACCCCTTGGGGTCAGACCCTGGGTCAAGCCAAGGCGACATCAACGTCGGAGCTTCCGGGCACGTGGACCGCCGGGTCGGCCGGCCGTCCGCCACTCACTGCTCGAGCGAGCTCGCCTGTAGCGGCCACGAACTGTTCTTTCCAACTGCCCACTGGCAACATCTCGGCCATCCATAAGCGGTAGGGTGAAACCAATGGCCTTCAGGAACACTGCGAGAGACTTGCCATGATGAAGATGGATGCCGACCCAGAGGAGTGTGTTCGGGAAATCAGCGAGGACTCAGAGAGGTGCAAGGTGTAGCGTAGATGCATTATCCGACCTCTGTGTCTGTAGGAGCAGTAAGGATGAGCGAATATATACAAATGACATCTGTTGTTGGCATATCCCGTCGTCGATGTGGCATATGAGTCTGCCATGTGCTCGAGCTGCCAGCTGGGCACTTTCACCCTTCCAGCGCTCTCGGTAGTCCGCGGTCGACTATTCTACGCGAGGGCCGACCGTGCATCACGTGTTGACCCCTCGAAAAGGTCAGACCCGGGTCAGACCCCGACTCAGACCCCGGGGCCAAGCCGAGAGGGTCAAGGGGTCGAGTCTTGACCCGCACACCTCTGCCCGTGTATGTCCGGCAAGAGAAGTCAGTCGAGATGTTCTCGTCATGGCAGTAGTGGCCACGTACAATCGCCATCCAAATGGCTTCCGACCAAGCAGGAACTATCACTATAGAGTATCACATTCCGACGAGTCTCGCTGAAATGCGTTGCAATCACTAGGTGCGACCGTATGCATGATTTGTCACATTCTCTGTCCATATGCAGGGAGGGTCTTTGGAGCTACACGATATAAAAACACGAACTAATGATGTATTGCACATATTCATATTCCACCAAGTCCCAACAACCGCCAGGCACTGACGGCATGCTCACTGATGTCCGCCTTCCTCGCTCGTCCCGCCATATTTCTCCCGCAGCTCGGCCGACGCCTGGACTTTCTCCAGCACAGGATCTCCATAGCTCCCAGGGGTAAACGCAGGTGGTCGCTCATCGTCTTCGAGCGAGCTCTGGCGTGCGAGAGGGATGAGACGCGCGAGGCTCGGCGTGGTCTTCCCGTCCGTGGGTACAAACCCTAGCTCGCTTTGCCCACGGGCGATGTGCATGAACTCGGCGGAAGGCGGTTGACGCGATTTGCGACGACGGCGAATTATGCACAGTGCGCCCACGGCGACGAGACAGAGGAAGATGAATGCTCCGACGACACCACCCGCGATTGCGCCTGAATTTACCTTCGAAGTAGGCTGATTGCTAGAACGATCATGATGACCAGGCGATGGTGTTGCAGATGAGGGATTCTTCGAGGAGGCGGCGCCGATGTGAACGGAACTGGAAGTGGAGGACGTCAACACGCAAGCTGGGAATGACGACGAAGCGAGACTCGACGTGGAGGAAGTCGGGCTAGTAGGCGAGTGACTTGTTGGGTATGACTGCGAAGAGGGACCTGTAGGAGCATTGGTCAACAACTGGGCAAATTGCGCCAGATAGCTCATCTGAATATATACCGGATGAAGTAGTCTCGTTCGATGGCATCACACTGTTGTCATCACTGGATTCCAGTAAATGCGAGATACTATTTTCGTTACATTGAAAGACTTACATCGTTCGTGTCGAAGCGTCTCCCTGTGATGAGGTCTGGGTTACCGAATGTTGCGCATTCCTCTCCGAGCCCCGACGCCGGGTACGCGATGGATGGTACAGCAGTGGAATGTCATGAAGAGCAGCATCTCTAATGCCGCAGACCCATGAAAATATTGCGGTAGCGCAGTCTACGCGGATGGAGGACACTGCACTTCCTAGCATATCCTGTTCCTGCTGAAGTGAATGGTCAATGGGGAGCGTTAGGGTACTGCAGCCAAGTTCGCAAGCTTCTTACAGCTGGAGGTCCCAAGGGCGAGGGTGTCACGATTGGTTCAGCTAGCGGCATTTGACTGAACTAAGCCCTCTCCTCCTGTGAGGTAATGACAAGCCAGTAGCAACCCGGTGGGCCAACCAGAGACGACGAAAGGAAAGAAGGAACGACTGACAGAGAGCCTGTACTTATAGGCAACCACTTGACAGTTCCTTGCTCAGGTGTGGCAGTTACTCGGTCGTCGAAGCCTGGGCGGACAACAGCTTCGGGGTGACGGAAGCATGATGGGATCGTGCCTCAACGAACGCCATCCCACACGGGTGCCGCCTGTCAAGTCCATCGCAGCAAGGGTGATAGAAGCGCACGTAGGGTCGAAGGCCCGTCATCTCAAGCCCGCATGCAAGCAGCAAGCCAGAATTTTGATAGGTACAGCCGGGTACCGGCCGACATTGAGGGCTCATGGATAGGGGCCGCTGTGCCAATGCAAATATCTATCATCATGACCTGCCGCAAAGCGATGGGTGGGGACGCGACTGGCCAACGACATTGATGGCCTGCGGATACAGAAAAGACAAACCCATGGCTGGCATCGGTTTCTACGTTTGGAGGCGCACCTGAGACTGCGTGCATCAGCAGAGAAGAGATGGGGGCCACATACTCGGTCTCACTGTTCCATGTACTTTTCGAGATACCAAGACTCGCGTGCGACAAGGAATGAAATTCGGGCACCATCAACGATACAGTGGCCCAGACCGCACTACCGGAGTCATGCCGTCGAGCAGATTAGTGAAAGCTTAGGTAGACTGTAGGATGCTTGCAATAGCTGGATGCGAACATCTTGATACCGTGATAGGATTCGGCCGTAGCAGAGGCAGAGATATATCATGTCAGTGTTCAGAGCACCTGTTGCCGCGCGGCGCGCGCCGAGGTGATGTCGCCCTTGAACGCCGGTCACGTGACATACGCGACGCGCTATTGCCGATCTGGCAAGTGCTCACGGAGCTTATTGTCAAGTTTTGTCAACCAAATCTCGGACTGGGAACTGAAAATCAACGCGACCAAGTCAGCTTTCCAAAAAAACATCGAGGAGCAGTGTAGCTTCATGGTATTCATCTAACCAGGTTATAATATCTATTTCCTGGATCACGCCGCAATCGTGCCAGCTTAAGGCATCGGGCAGAGAGAAAAGTTTCATCAGCTTCTAATGGGATATGCTACGCGATGTTCGGAATGTATGCGTGTCTAATATGAGCTCATTGTAGATGACCGCCCAACTGTCTGCGAACGTGCACAAGGCGTTCCTCCCACTCTCGTCGCTGCCTGTCCATCCGCTTCCTCATCCACACAGCACGGAGCAGCCGTACGATCTTCTCCCTACTATCCTCGAAGTTCCCCTATCCCTGATCGTTAGCCTCGAGCGAGCTGGTCTACGAACGGCATCTTAGGGTCACCTCTGCAACATCCAATAGCTTCTGGCTCTCCTCGGTAGAGACTTCACGCCTCCAAGTCGAGATGCTGAGCGGATCAAACCCTGGCACGTGACGAACATTTGGGATGAGGGGAATGTAGACTACGCCGATGCCATCCCGTTGTAGGAGCGCAGCCTCGTCGAGCTCGTCCAGACGAGCGGACATCTCCTCGGCGGAAGTCGACGACCCGATCCACACCTCGCACGAGCTCAGCGACTGCGGCCGAGCATCGGGTTCGGAGGAGTCTACAGAGATTCGTTGTGATCACACGGAACACGAGCATAGCAAGTGGTGACGCACCGGTCGGTAGCGCTCGAGCCTCGGTTGAGTCCTCTTTGTCTGCCTGCTTGGCAAGTGCGGCTTCCTGAGTTTGGGCCAGCTTCAGATTGGCAGACTCGGGAGTCGACGCTTCGTACTCGGGAGCCTGTTCAGACTTCTGTCCGCCTGTATCACCGCTGAACACGCGAGTCGGCCACGTTGCCCCCTTCGGCCAGGTCCTTAGGCCGCGCTTCGCGGCAAGTTCTACACCAAGTCAGAACTGACTAGAGCGTATACTGTGTCCGAGTCCATCGCACCTTCCGCACGAGAGAACCAGAGATCCTGGATATGCCTTCCCGGTCAACAGCGGTGATACACGAGTGGCAAACATTCAGTACCTGAGAGTCTGCACTGGCATCTAGAGCGATGATGCAGTCCACATTCCTCCTCAGAAACGGATAGTAGGGGATGTTGAGCTCGGCTGTGGAACTTGCGTCAAGGACCGCCCTCGTACCTCAAGCGAATGCTTACCTCCGGCATCCTGCCCCCAGCGTCGCGTCATAGGTGGCAGTGGATGAGGCTGAGAGACACTCACCATGAAACTGAGATATTCTTGCTCAGTGATATCAGGCGGACTGCCATCGCGCAGTTGGCCGGCGAGACCCTTGAGGAAATTGGGGAACTAGGAAAAGTCAACTCTCGTTCAATGATATCAGCATAATGCTCCACTCACCTGATCCGGGAGAACGGGATGGATCAGTCCGAGATCGTGCTCGTTCTCTGTTATGATGTCCGCCAGCCAATTGTATAGCTGTAGTGGCAGAACTCGCAATGCAGGTTCTACCTCCCGGAAATAATGCTAGCCGACAGCCAAGCCATCAACTACGCGATGCACTTACATCGTGCGAGCAGTACAGACCTTTAAGGAGGCGCAAAACGCAGAGCCGAAAATACTGGGCAAGGTAAGTGTATTGTTGATGACCATGATAGTGCTCACATACCCTGCCAGTATCGTAAAGCTCGTCTCGGGCTGTGTTGCTGGTGAGTGCGACTCAGCCATAGCGACCGAGTGCGTGATACGCACCTTTCGTTCTATGTTCTTACCATACATATACCGACGTCCTAGACCCCATGATGGAATCCATGCTGCGGAACGCTAGTCGTGCGGTGCAAGAATTTGCAATAATGCGTGTACCCACCTCCTATTTCGTCGCAGCCAATCTCATACGGAGTGAACTCGTACCATAGCCAACGAATGCTCCGCGCTAAGCTCTCTTGTTCTCTCTGCAGCAAATTGGAGCGATCACTGTCGACGCTGCGGCTCCGCGCTTCTTCCAGCGCCTTCAGCACATTAGCCTGCTCTTGAGTAGGATGCACTGCGTATTGACGTTCATTTCTTTGTCTTACTCGATAACTCACTAAGGCTAGCTCGGACGCACCATTCTGTATGGCGCTGAAAATAGGGAGAGGGAGAGAGCCATCATCGATGTGCCGGCGGAAGAAGTGGAGGGAAAGATGGCGAGGGTCTAGCCGGGTCAGATCTGAAGGAACGTATAGCCTGTACGACAGCAGCGTGCCGTAAAGATCGACCAAGGACACGGCGCCAGCTTCGCCAACTGCCTTCCTGAGTAGGCCAGTCTGAGGAGGGAACAAAGATGATCGTTGGCTCCCGAGAACAATGGGTCGGCACGTACTAAAAGGTACTTCGAGCAAGGAGTCAATGCTTATCACCACATGCGGAAAGACAGAGAATACCTTGTTGGTCGGAGGGGTAATCAGGGCATCCAAAGTCTCTATGTCCACATAGCTCGTCGCGATACGATCTTTCGCATGCGCTGCCGCATCGCTCGGAATAGTAGATCCAGCGACTCCAGAGTAGAGGATACCTAGTGCCCAGCAACTGCCTAGGTACAGATTGCTCGAAATGAATGCCCTGGATCCGCACTAGTTCTAACACCGCACCTGACACTCCAGCCGTGTACGAGACACAGTCGAGAACTCCAGTAGACTTCGCGGCAGTAAGAGACCCTAGTGTGTTCAGCATAGCTCGGTAACCTGCGTGTGCCGATTTATGAGTCAGCGGCAACCGCACTCGGATGATCTACAGGGACGGGAAGAGCGAGACCGACCTCCTCCTGAACCCGCGATGGCGACGATGGGCAGATCGCGCTCGTCAACATCGTTCTCAGGCACGCCCATCAACTTTGCGAACGAAGCCCTCATCCTTCGCTTGCGCTCGCCCAAGAACGCCCGCTCGGAGATACACAGGTCGTCCCCGACGCGTACCTCCGCGTCCCACTCGCACTCGGGGTTGACGTCCAGATCTGGGGGGCTGTTCACGATGGTGTCATACAGCGATCCAGGGCCGCGCCCTAGCTCGAGAAGCAGGACCGAGAACCGTTCCTGGAGTTCTGCCACGCTGAAAGACGCCGGCCATGGGATGTCAGGCGTAGGCAGTGTGGGCCACGTCCACGATGAGATGGAGGTTGATATCGTCTGGATAGGGGCTGATGATTTGAGGAAGGAGAGACCCTTCGATTCGTAGCAATCAGATAGAGTGATTAATTGAAGGCGTCGAGAATCGGAGTACGCCGGTTTACCTTAGTTGATCCCTGTCAGAAGTACTCAGTGAGCCTACACAGGTAGCCCACAGACAGATGCGACTCATACTATACCTGGCCGAATACGTCCGAGATAGCATCTATCTGGAGTTGTGCGTCATAGTCAGTCACAGCGGCTTGACCACAGACGTGCGGTTCTATGACCGTACCCTCTTGGTGAGTTCGCTTGGGACAGACGGCTGCAAAGCGGCCTGTGTTCGAGTTTCTTCGATGGCGTTTTCGGAAGTTGTCCGCAACAAAGGGACGCCGATGGCGAGACATGCCGCAGTGCCGAGCGCAAACCAAAGACGTGGTGTCTGACCTGATCCCAGGGGTGACACCTGGTCAGAACATATCAATGGAGCGGTGACAATTTGTCTTACGAGCTAGGGGGCGTTCAGGCGGCCTTTGGATGAAGGAATTAGACCAAAGCTGGCGCTTCCACTTAGTCCCATTGAGGCCAGAGGCATATTGACCACGAATATTCCTGGTGTAGATGGTCTTCTGCACGAGTTTCGTCGTATGATTTGGGTTCACTATGCTGCCCATACGCGAACCGTTCCGTCGAGCCCGGTGCTCACAATGGTCTAGGGAGGAGAATGAAAGGTTTGAAGTGGTAGTTTCGAAGGAAAATGATTCGCGATTGCAAAAGCAGACTCCGCTCGATAGGTTGTGACGTCACAGCCCACTGACACGCGCCTGCGGTGAGTATCCGAGTCTATGTAGACGTGTTCGCAAATATACTGGCCATTCTCCATGCATTTCGAGGTGATATGGCATGGTTAATGCCGAGAACATTTCAATCGATCCCTATGTGCCGAGGCATCGCTATCACACGCAGAACATTGCAACACAAGCGAACACAACTTGCTACATGGAGAAGGGAATGCAGCAGCACATTAGCCATGTATTATCGTAACCGGTACGGAGGGAATCAACATCTATGCCCCTATTGCCTATTGTCAGGCATCCGCGCCAGCTGGCTCTTGCTCCGTATGCGCATACGGCGTTTTGAGTACCACTCCCACGTCAATCGGACAACCTCCCCATCAGCGTCCCACGGCGTCGGGACTTCCGAGTACCCAGGGCGAGCTGTAGGGTGTCGGAGATAGATAACAGAACACGTCGCGAACGAGGGTTCGAGGTAGGCAGGAATGAAGAGGAAGGGCGATGCGTAGGGTGGCAAGTTGAAGGGAGTCAACCCAGTGTTGGACGATGACGACGTGCTATGTTTCTTGGAGAACCGCGAAGTCGAGGGAACCGTCTTGGACTCTGACTTTGATTCCGAGGCTTCACCAGCGGCGTCTGCGGCCTCCTCGGCTGTGTCTGCATCCTCTTCGACTGGGTCTGGACGGTCTTGCAGGAAGCGAATGGCCTTGGGGTCGACAGAGACCATGTCCCCAGGAGCGAGACGCGTATTCGGGTTCGTGTGCTGGAGAGCGTTAGGTGGCATGGCAGCCATGTACGCGACGAAAGACGTACCTTCTTGCCGTTCAGCAGGACATCCCCATGGATGACAAGCCGCCGCGCCTCATATACGCTATGCGCGAAGCATGCTCGGAAGATGACCACGTCTATCCTCCGCTCGACCTCCGTGAACATCAAGCTCCCAACTGGCGCCAGTCCCTTCTGCCTCTCCTCTTCTGCCCGCTTCTCCATCTTCTGCGCTGCTTCCTGCTTGTTCGCCCACCTATTAACCTCCAAAACGGGCTCGACCTTCTTTAATGCCTCAGTCGGGCGCACATCGGGCAAAGTTTCGGGGAGATACCACCGCTTGAAGATCTTCTCATTGATGAAGTCGCCGTGGTACGCACGAAGAAGGGCTTTGGCTGTCCATCGTCGCCAGTTTAGCGACTCCTTGTACTCGACACGGTTCGTAATCTTTTCTAGAGGACCATAGGACCGCCGCCATAGGTTGTACAAGTTGTGTGGGTGCCAGCTCTATAGGGAAGTCAGTGCGCGGAGCAGGCGCAGAACGCGTCGTTCGTACCATACGGGGAAGGCCTCTTTTGAAGTTGTAGATGTGAGCATCCCGCATGGTTGCGGTCGTCTACAGGAGGGCAGACACAGAAGACGTGGTGGTCGCAAGACAGGGAACAGTCGCGACCCGCCCACAGAAATTCAGGCTAAGCGCGCATTGAACTTATTCCAAGTCGCATTAGACAGATTAAGCACATCTTATTCTGTGTAACAATGTAGTAAGCATCCGTGTTGATACAAACTCTACTACGCAAGTAAGCAATTAGACGCCAACAAGTCGCGTTCTATGACCGCGAGCTTAGTACGGTTTCGTCTCAACCACATCCTCCCATTCCGAACGCTTGCCCCACCTCGACGCATGGATCCCTACACCCCAAGAGCCAGAACTGGCGGAAAGAAGAAGAACCTGACGCTATCTACGAAAGAATACAACAAAGTAATCGGCCCGATTTATGTTTCAACTATTTGCCTCTCACGCGTCCTTCGCATAGATCACGGACACCATCGCGTCCGTAAGGCGTAATCGACAGTACATTGACGACGACCTCGGTGAGGACATTGACCTGCGCATCCCCGTATCTCGTGAAAGCGGGAGAAGGAGTCTGTTCAGATTCATACCTCCATGTCCAATCGCTCATGCTCTTTCACAGGACGTGACGAGGCATCGTTCGAGGCGGAGAGGTCGTTCGTGCGCGCCCCACTCAACTCGCGCGTTGTGTCCGGCAGTGCACAGAGAGAAAAGGGGAAGGGCAAAGCGAAGGAGAACTCCCTCTATGGCATCCCGGTCGAGATCCAGGAGGCGCTAGTCCTTGAGGATCTGCTTTTCGTGCTTATGGTATGTGCTCCTTTGACGCCTCTTGCACCCTATGCCGAGAATGCCGGCGCGCCGCCATGTCAAAGTCAACTGCTGCATGTTCCTGTCGTTGATTGCACGAGGTGGCATGACTATGTTATAGCCTCGTTCGTGACCTAGTGGCGAGTACGTCTCGCGGGATTCAGGCCTTTCGCCGGGAAGTACTATCTATCTCCGGATGTGCCTCTATACTGAATTGGAATCATAATTGGGCACCGGAAGTCTTATCAGCGCACGACGAGGGCCAGGATGTTGGCGAGTCAGTTGACCTCAGTGCTGTCTTCGCCGGTGGGCGGAGCGCGATGCACGTCATTCGGCGCTGTGGCCGCTACATGAATCCGGAACGCCACAGGTCCAACGGCGCCCTCGGACTAAGGCATGAAAGCGTCACTTGCAATTGAGACATATCGATACGCAGCCTGCGGAGCCTTGATCAACAAAGCGTCAAGATAGGGCAAACTAACGCTATCCGTCTTCCTTAGGGCATTGAGGGGAGCTACATCACGTATCACCAGGATTACTCACCGGACGATGATGACCCCCTCAACGGCGTCAGGTTTGTCGTGTCGCCGTCTTTAGGTGCGTGGAGTTTCTTTGACCTTTGTGATCATGCTTGATATCGTCATAAGATCCATCGCTTCGGGACCTCGTCGAAAGGATATTACCGCTAGCCACTTACTATACGGCTATCAGTTCGTTCATCGAGTTGCGCAGTCACCTGGACTTTGGACTCGTCAACCATGCGTTATGCGCGTCAATGCGCGACATGCTCAAAGTATGTGTCATCGCTGCTTAGGCTCCGATGCCTGTCTGAACGAATCCACAGGACTATCAGACATTATTGTCGCAGCTCGAGCACGCGTTCAATACTTCGCCACACTTCACCCTACAGAAGCTCTGGTTTTACGTCCATCCTACGTTACATACCTTGTCCCTCCTCTACTTGCTCACGACCGATTTGGCCACGGCGGATGACCCAACAGCCGAGCTGTCTTCGTCTTCTTCAAGCAGCTCCGATGCCGAAGAAGACGCAAGGAACGAGGCGTTAGGTCTCGGCGGTGCCAAGCTCAAAGCAGTCCTGTCGGAGATTAAGACGACAGGCCTGGGAGTGGACGGTGGCGCGAGTGGGATCGCGGTCAAAGGCGGTGAGGTCCTCGCAATTTTGCACGAGCGCATGCAGAACATGTCAGGAGACCCCGCCGCTCGGGAGCTTTACGGCGCCCTGCTCCGGGACTCTGGGAAGCCTTACGTCGAGATGGTCCAAGCTTGGATCACAACAGGCAAGCTCGATGACCCGTACGAGGAGCTTCTCGTCAAGGAGAGCAAGTTCATCAATCGCGGGACGCTGGAGATGGACTATACGGACGAGTACTGGGAACGGCGTTACACGGTGACCACAGAGTTCATCCGCGCCCGTGACTGTGCTGTCTGACTCAGCTCCGCGTCCAGCTCAGGGACGGATCGACTCTAGGCGGCTCCTCGAAGCAGCACCAGGCAGGCGTGCCTCCTACCCGCTCAGTCGGCGGCCGTCTGCCAGGCGGAGCTTGCATTCCGGGTGTACTCGAAAGGTGGAAGCACAAGATCTTACTTGCCGGAAAGTACCTGAATGTCATCCGCGAGTGTGGCATCGAGATCCGGCGAGACTCTGGCCAAGAATACGAAGAAGACCTGTCTATGGACGATGAGAGGTATGAGCTAGCAAATCATTCATGTCTTGCACCCTCAAACTCCGCGCAGGTTCTACAAATGTATCGAGGATGCCTACACCCATGCGAACCGGACATTGCTCCAACTTCTTCTCCGAGATCAACAACTGATTCCTCGTCTCCGTTCATTAAAGCGGTACTTCTTTTTGTCTCAATCATCGTTCCTTACACACCTCTTGGACCTGTCTCACAATGAACTCCGCAAATCTTCGAAGTCCGCGTCTCTAGTCAAGCTGCAGAGTCTCTTGGACTTGGCGCTGAATACAGATGCTCAGGGCGAAGACGCCATGTTCCGCGAGGATGTGAAGGTCACGATGGCCGGCAATGGCTTGTACGAATGGCTGCTGACCGTTGTGAATGTCAGCGGTCTCGAAGATGGCGAGACTGCGGAAGGGCACGGGCACGCCCACGAGTCGCAGAAGAAGGATCGGGAGAAGGAGAAGGACGACAAGAAACAGATACTTGGTGAGTCAACTCGTTCAGGTCAGCGAGCGTGCACATGCGATTGATACGCATCCCGCGATTCAGCGATTGACGCGCTCACTTTGGACTATCATGTCAAGTTTCCGTTATCTCTCGTCATCTCGCGGAAGACTATTCTACGATATCAGCTCATTTTCCGCTTTCTTCTTCACCTCAAACATGTCGAGCAATCGCTGTCCTCGATGTGGATAGAGCATAAGACGACGGCGTGGCGCCGTCCCACCCGTCCCAGTGGTACTGGTCCCGACGCCGGTCGCCAAACGCCGCATTCCCCACAGAAGGATTGGCATTCGGAGTTCGAGAACTGGCGCAAGCGCGTGTTCTTGCTCCGTGCACGCATGCTCGCGTTTGTTCAGCAGATCCTTGCTTTCACGACGTTTGAGGTCCTCGAGCCGAACTGGAGGAAACTCGAGGGTAAGCTTGAGGCAGGCAAGGTCGAGACTGTCGACCAGCTCCTTAGGGACCATGTGGACTTCCTCGATACATGCCTTAAGGAATGCATGTTGACTAGTTCGAAACTGCTTCGGGTGAGTGGGTCCACTTCTCGCGAGCTTCGCGGATGCTGATTGGGTCGCCGATGTCTCTCTCAGGCGTACTCGAGGCTGATTGTCACATGCTCGACATTTGCCTTATACACTGCTTCTTTCACTAAGTCCGCCAATAATGCTATAGCTGCCGCCGACACGCCGGACGGGGATCACTCGATGGCGAAGCGATGGGACATCTTGGGGAAATTTGAGACCAATTTCAATCACTGGTAGGTCTTCTTCAATGTATGTCACGCAACCTATGGCGGCTGATCGTTCCGAAACGTCTAGGTTCAAGGTCAGATAGCTGCATTCGCATGCCACCATCGCGCGGTGAATTAACCGCTGTTCCTAGGTTCACCTTGATTGTGTGCAGTTCTACGCCTCCAGCGAGAATGTGTCGCTGTTGCCTCTTGTTGTCAGGCTCAATAGCATAAAATCTTCACACTGAAGGTGTCGTGTATTCACATGTTCGCTTGCTGTCTTTGTTTTTCATGACCTGCTGTGACGCCATCTACTGTATTCTGTAACTATATCGCCTTCAGCAAGTGCCCTCGGCGCTACGTTTCCCTCCGCCGGCGCGAATCCAGGTAGTAATCTCCCAATGCGCTTGGCTCATGCACGTAGAAGGCTCGGAAGGGCTTTTGCTCGCTGGGAGATATCAGGAAAAGCAGGCGTCATGCATTGTCAGGGTGTCCTGGCGCACTTTCTGGCAGGGTTTTGCTTGGCTCCGGCAGGCTCAACCGGCATTCCATCCGGGCTCCCAGGGGCGGCATCCACCCGGTACGTCATGCGGCTACGGACACGCTAGTCCGTTTCGTGGAAATGCTGAGCTTGTATGACTGAACTTAGTTTATTGCAGGGCTAGGGGTTTTTTCCACGGTGAGCAGCGTCTTGGTGGGATCAGGAACCTGAGGCATCGTATTCCCTATGACTCTATTTCAATCCTCACGGGCCATTGACAAGGGTAAATGCTTCAAACTCAGCATGGCATGTGTTGTCCGAGAGTGATATGCGCCAGCATTCTCTATGGCAAGCTAGGGCGAGCTGCCCTGAACGATATGCTTCTACCAGGGTCCGGAGTGCGGTCAAGATCTCCTTGCCGTTTCAGATGGTGAAGTATCGTGACCTGGAGTGCTGTATCTTATTACAGCGCCATCAAAGCACTCACGTCGTGGAAGTGCCGTGCGCGAGATCATGAACTGTACCGATGCATCCGCGATGGTTCAGCCGTCAATAATCAGGTAGAGGTAAATGAGGGTTGCAATGCCGCGGATTTTGATCGGCAGGTGGCTGGGAAGATCCTAGTGTTCCGATACCATATGCACCAGTAAGCTCGCTATTATCTCGCAAACGCGCGTTCCTAATGCGTCTGAGTTTGTCTGTCCAGCGGCTTCTCACTTGCGTGCTAGCCATATGAGTGTGGGATTACCCATGTCTCCGTCAACCTTGTGGACATTGTCACCTGCGTGTCGTGCCAGCGATCGATGACTGAAGCAGGAATAGACGTATACCACAATTCGGACCCGAGCGAACGCAATACTGAAGCCGAGAATGTTCAAGAGCCACTGCAGATGTGATGCAATATGTGACCAGTCTGGCGCTGAAGGAGTGGCCGCTCATCGTCCACATTTGTCCTTTATCAGTATTGTTTTGAAACGATAGCTAGCACCCGGCGCTGCGCGTTAAAGGATCGAGGTATAAAGCTGGGCAGACCCTCTGGGAAGCCCCACAAAGCATTGCCGTTCCTATACTTCTAGCCCCATCTCTGGCCACATCTACCATTCGATGTCTGACAAGCAAATTACGTTCTATACGTCAGCGGTCAGTACCTACCTTATTCCCCGATCCTGTCTCTGACAATCTGGCGTATATTCTAGTACTCCCCTTATACGCAACGAGTACAGATTGCGCTCGAGGAGACCAAGATCAAGGTCAGGAAGTACGAGATCGACCTCCGACCAGGCTATAAGCCAGAGTGGTTCACGCGGCAGGTTAATGCTGCGGGCACAGTGAGTTCGGTCGATACGATTCACTGTCAGCGGACTTTCTTAAGCAGGAGCGCCCCTGATGCGCCCGCAGGTTCCAGCCTTCACGTATGGTGGCCCCATTGTCCCTCCTGACCACCCTTCCCCCGAGTCGGCGAAGCTCTCGGAATCTCTGGTGTTGGTTGAGTTCCTTGCGGACCTCCAACCAGACGCTGGGCTGATACCTAGGGACCCTGAGATACGTGCAAGGGCTCGTCTCTTCATCATCCAAGCCCATGAGACGCTTCACCACGCTTTTCGCGGCTTCTTCTTCCGGGGAGAACGCACTGATTCTGTTCTCCCGTCTCTCGAGGCCTTCCAGGCACTGCTCGCCCCCAGTGGGTTTGCTGTCGGTCCATGGTCCATTGCTGATATCGCGGTGGCGCCTATGATGATCCGCTTCATGCGGCTTTCCGGGTACGAGATTGGCAAGTATCCCATGGGGGAAGGCAAGAAACTTCTTAAGGCCCTCGCGGAGCCGAAATTTGCACGATTCATGCAATATTACGACATGCTGTGGCGACGCCCAAGCATCCAGGCGTCTTGGGACGAGGTCCGTCATCATTACATCTTCTCGGACGTTCGCAGCACGTACACTGACCTCGTGGGTGTCTGTGATGTAGCCTACCAACGTCAGGATGTGGAGGCTCCATCCCAACGTAAACCGGACCTCTTCCTCAGCGGGCCATTAATCGGCGGTCCCCCGCCGCAACATGCGATTGGGCACGTCTACAGCGTGCTCACGATCTTCTTGACCATATTTCTATCAGCTCGCCGCCTTCTTGGCCTGAAGCGGTCTCCCGTTCCGTTACCTTCCTCCACTGTATTAGCGTACCTGTGTCCATTCTTATTATTAATTACCTACTTATTTCGCATGAATCTATTGGGCTGAAAAGTTACTGGATACCCTGCAAAGAATGACCAACCCCCGCGACATCTCAGGTACTCCATATGTACGAGCAGATGTTCTGCTCGGAGATCCGTTCGAGATGTGCAAAGGCACATGCGGTGTTACTGTCCTAGACCTCAAAGGCATCGCGGTGGCGGATGTGGCCCGCCAATGGGTATCGGAATCTTGTTTCTTTACCGTACCGTGTGAGTCATTGGGCTTCGTTCTATGATCGTCATCCTATAGTGGAGCACCCGAATGCGGCCTATCTGAACCCTCCCCCATGTTTCCCCATCGCATAAACACCTTCGAGGGTACACTCTCGTAAGTGGGGCTATAAGAACTTACATGCGGGAGAGCAGCGGAGTTTACGATCAATCCGCAGCGGCGTCCCGCACGCTTGTGTCGAATGTCGCCTTTCCAGCACCCAAGCAATCGGAGGTCTCTTCTGCTCCGGCGACTGGGGGGGCTGCCGCGAGTCTTTCCCTTGAACGTGTACAAGGCGAGCACTTTAGCGCTGTCATCATGGTCCTTCGATGGCGGCGGGCTGCTAGAAAGACCGCTTCAAGGCACTTAATGTATCTGTAGCGGCTCGCGGTGAATCTTATACCATGCGCACGCGCAGCCTTCGAATTCATCCGCAAGGGCCGCCCGGCTTCATCGGCGAACGTGGCGGTGAATCCTGGGAGGTCCTTTTCTCATTGACTCGCGCATCCTCAAAATTGTGCGGGAGCTGTATGTCGAAGCTGAGTCCAGATCTCTCAGGGCACATTAGCACGAGTTCGGCAGCCTCGTGGTAGGGCAAAGATAGGATCTTCACTGGCTGCCTTGGAGCCCTTTGGAGTGCCTAAGTCACATTGTCACCGTGATGGTCTCTATCTGGCTTATAACTACGGAACTTCAGAATAGGTGCTCCTATTCCAATTGACATCTATGTTATGGTAGTGGCGAGGGGATCCCATGTTGAAGCCTACTTTGCGGAGCTTGGGTTAGTTGATCTATTAGTGGTGTCTTCCAGCGTCACTTTGAGTGGCGGATCGGACGAGTATGTATCTTGGTCGGCTCGTTGGTCGACCGGCTCGTGTTGTTTCTTAGAGGGGCTTATCGATGCGTAACCCTCAGTACTGTGAGACCACGTGAGATGTGGATGTGGATGACATACTGACGATTGAACTGTTTACCGTGGACTTAGGATGCGAAGCAATAATGTCGACTACGCGAATTTCGAAGTCAGCGATGCGAGTGTTCAGGTATGCCGTAATCTATGATTATAGTAAGGTTTGATGTTCATTGAACAAGGAAATAAGTATGTAGATTACAACCGCAAGACAAATGTGCACGTTCTACCCGAGCTTGAGCTTGTCGTCGGTTGATTATGCGAGTGAATCCATGTCGTGAACCATAGACCGCAAATTTGAGTGATGTGGGCAAACACCACAAGTCGTCCCTTATCTGCCTCCCGATAGGCAAGTACTGACCACGACCTGCCGCGTGACGGTTAGCTCGCTGTATCTAGGTCTCAATTCCTCACAGTGATTCGCTGTATCGCACAGTACAGATTCCAACCGCCAAGCCATGACGGAAGAAGTCAGGAGTCCAAACTTTCCGACATTAGCCATTCCACTACTTCACAGCTTTGGTCCACTTCTGTACTGTCTTGCTCACGAGAGCGCCACACGCCCTTGGGCCTTGGCCTTGGAAAGCAACAGATTGACTATCTTAACCACGCAGGTGAGAACTTGACGTCCACACTGTCGCCGGAACAAATAGCAGTCGGCCTGCGTGCGTGATAGTACAAGGCCATGATCACGACTTCGGCTCCAAGCAAGCTCTGCCCGTGTTGAGAAGACGAGAAGCCCTATCAACGTAAATCACTCATTCCAGATACGAGACTACAGCTCACATTATGGTAGATTGTCAGATGACCGGAATCGGAAGGCATGTTCTCGCTTGCCAGGGAGCCACACCACATCTGTCTCCTCTGGCATTGTCCTCGCGCGCTGTCAATGGCTTGCCTCGAGGACAACCAAATGGTCTTGATCGGCCTTCAAGGAAGTGAGTATGCCCATAGAGATCTATCTCTCTTTCCTTACCTCGTGGCGAGCTTCCATGTCGAGCCACAACAGGAGCACGGCTCGCCATCCGAGCTCACCGCTTCCTTGCTCGCCATTTGGAAGTCAATTGACACCTCGTTGACAAGGTCTACCCACGCTCTGCAATGTGGGAGAACAGGCGGGTCGGTCTTTCATTCATGAATCAGCATCTGACTGTTCGATGAGCTTCGATCCGGAATCTTACGCCCGAGTACTCCAGCACTCCGAACGTACTATGGACCCAGAGAAGCGGACACTCCGTTCTGTGAGTACTCTCTAGAATACAAGGACGCTAAGTCCCCATATGACATCCAGACCGACAATATCCGAGTCGGCATGCAATATGGCCAATAACGGCGCGGTTAATGCCCTGCAAAGCTTTGACAGCACAGTTAGTGGCTTTCTAGCTTGACCAGATTTGTACGTGAAGGTGACATGTTGGAGAGCACGCACCATAGATGCGTTCCTCGCGGTTCTCTCGTCCCTGCCGGTGTCGTGACATGTAAGGGTGATCCAGCTGGTGTACTTCAACAAATTTTATGTCGACCAGTCCGCATGAGTCGGTGTCCGCCCCAAACCCTAGAATGAGGTTCCGTAAACAGACGCCGCCGGACAACAGCTGGGACTCGGTATAGTAGCCTTTCTCCTCTGTACCACACCCTCTGCGTCACGGTTTCATCTTGTATCGGTGAACATCATGGTGAGTGCGGCCTCAATCTGTCACTTGTTCCTAATCTGACCGACACATGACAGAGCGATAACGCAGGTACGACCTCACAACCACCCACTCCGTCCCTTTGCATAGATTGACCGACGGCGGAATAGAGTACAAGGAGGCATTCGCGCTGTTCGACAAGAAGGGAACGGGTGCGGTGCCTCGTGAAGTATTGGGTGACCTTCTACGGGCCCTGGGCCAGAACCCTACCCAGGCGGAGGTTGCGGATATCGTCGCGGGTGCCCCTCGCGAAGGTACGTACCCATGTCTGCATTCCCAGACGTAGTCTCTCACGGTGTCCTGGCTTTACTATCGCAACCAATCCTGGGAATCTGCGTGCGTTTGCATGGGGTCGGTGCGGAACACATGCTGGTGGCGCTCTAACGCGTGTTTCTCTGGATATGAATGCATGCAGTTGACTACAAGACTTTCTTGACGATCCTGAACCGTCCAGACGGCTTCAAACCTGCAGGAACACCCGGTACGTGCACACTTTCCTTGTGGTCAAGGCTTGTTGCCACCATCATACCCTTAAACGTGCTGTGGTGTCTTCAATGCCCCTCTCCTCACCATCTCTATCCATGTTATTCGCGAATGATGCTCAATGATTACTCAACCACCCTCAGAGGAGTTCATCCGCGGGTTTCAAGTGTTTGACAAGGAAGGCAATGGCTTCATCGGTGCCGGCGAGCTGCGATACGTGCTCACCCAGCTCGGAGAGAAGATGTCGGACGAGGAGGTGGACGAGCTACTGAAGGGCGCTCAGATCGGGCCGTACGTTTTCTCTCTGCTTTTTGTGTCCAACCCACACCATGGTCCTCATTGACCCTCCAGAGACGGCAACGTGAACTATGAGTCGTTCGTTCGCACGATCCTCAGCCAGTAGTATTGCGGGCCATAAGAAGGTGTTGTCATGACATGTACTGATACCATTATTCACTTTGTCTTGTCCGTTGTCTTTCATAAGTAGGAATACTCACGACCTCGCTGCATCAATACGTCAACTTCCCTTTGCAGCAAAGATTGTTACCCAGATCATAGAACCTCTTACATCCTCCAGGACTCATCTCTCCGTCTCCGAATCCCTGATCATTCGGTTTGTCGATCAAGCCTCGTCGGGTAAGTGGCACTGAAGCCGTTCGATAGAGAGCCGAAAACAGTTTGTACAGGTTTACCGGCTTCACTTGGTATAACCGTGCCGAAGGAGGGTTGCTGATCGCGACGATGAACCACGCGTAAAGGGTCACCGGACCCTGGGCATCAGTAACAAAAACGAGCCTCTGCAAGAACGCCTCCTGCTCATCCGTGGAACTCGTCGCACCGATCTCTGTCACGACTCACGAGCACCGGACGGTTGTAGCGCGAACCAAGCTGCTCGAAGTATTCCGCGTAGCAAACAAACTTGGTTGCAGAGCCGTTGACCTGCGCTGCGATCGCGTCGACCTGGCACCTGCGACTGTTGCATAGGCCAATGCTCTTGTCTAGCAACGCTGTGCCCGCCGGGTTCTGCCGTTAGAGATCGCGGGCTCGAAGGGCGTCGCGCAGCCTAGGAAGGGCTGCATGAGCTATGTCCGAAGCTGGGTGGTCATCGCAGGATCGCACAGTAAGACACGCACTCGCAGCATGAGTATGGGGCTCCGTTAGCGATAGCTGCATTGACATTCGCCGACCTGCCGTCAGTGTCCTAGGAGGAGCCCCTCAAGAGCACAGGGAAGTAGGTGACGCCGGACTGGAGGGTCTGAGAAAGTAGAGTTCCAGTTGAACGCCTACGACACCTCTCTACGAGGCGCATGGGAGAATGTCCGACATGTCTAGATCTGGCATGACTCACCCAGAGGTGCGTTGAGAGGTCAAGGAAGCGTCCGTGGACCAGAGACCCTTTTTGATACCTGCGTGGGCCTGTAGAGGCTTGGAGGGACTGTTGAGGTCAAAGCGCCATCGACTCCACTTACCCCAGCTGGCCGGCATGCGAGTGCCACAAGAAAACGAGTCGATGCAGGAGTTACCTTGTGCAAGCACTGCTCTCTGGGGATCCGTAAACCCGTAGAGCACAAAGTGACCTGCTCAGTCACATCGAGTGATCTGCGACCGCTGAGTTGAGGGTCCACAATGATCAGCCCAATGCTTTCCAATGATCGAGGCACTCTCTGTCGAGATCCCGGGACAGGCGACGGAGGTCCAACCATAGGAAGTTGGCAAACTTTCCAAGCGCTACCAGTATCGCTGCTTCTCGAGTGGCCGCGGCGCGGGACTGCGCATCCAGGGCCGCTATTCATAGTGTGCTTCGAAATATTGGAAGCCACCGAGGTCCGCGGATGTGCCCCTGACGAAATTTGTGCCATCTCATATTGTATGGAGAACAATCATACAACGCGAGCCCAGCCTTGGCGACGATGAGGTGCGCGTGCTCGGATGATAATGGTTGAGCAACTATAATTCCGGGGAACCCAATTCGTCCAGGACAGGGGATAAACGGTCTGGAGCGTAACAACCCAACGCTGAATGTTGGAAATTCCGGGCCCAGAGAGAAGACTGCAAGCAGTATAAGTACCTAAAAAGTCGGAAACTAATGTGTACACAGTGACAGTAAGCCGAAAGTGAGAGACCTGGAGACAGAGATTTCAATTAGATTGGTGGAGACCATTGGAGACAATGAGACTAGAACACACTCAAGTGTTGTATGTGAAGCCGACAAGATGTAAGACAGAAGAAAAGATGCAGTACGTGGAGGCCAGTCAGTCAAGCCTCTCTAGAAAGTCGAATAGGCTTCCAATTCGGTCCTGATCAGCAGCCATCCGCTTGTTGCCACTCAACCATTATGAACGTCCGTTGCTTCTTGGTCTAGAGCTGAGGATATGGGGAGGCACTCATGTTCCCGGCAGACTCTAAGGTGGGGTCATCGATGCGGGTCAAGGTAAGCGAGAGGTACCGTTTCGAGAGCGTGGAGTAGACTGTCATCGTTGAGTTGTCGAAAATATTGACGGTCGACGATGGGAGAGAACCGAGCCAATCTGCAGGCGTGGCCATGCAGGTCGAAGGCGTATTCGGGTGCAGGACGATGTCCGAGCGGAGAGCGCTGTCGGACCCCTTTGACCAATGTGGCTAGCAAGGGACATCCCAAATGAGCCTCGCTCGTCGGCTTTGAGGGAATGCTGGTGAGGGCAGGGGCGGACGAGTGAAAGCGCTGGAGTTCAGGGACACGAGTCTCATCGCCCGGGGGGGGGGCGAAGGTGGTTCAGATACAACCACGGAGGTAGGCGTGTCTACAAGACTCTCCACAGGGAGAGCAGCGAGAGTCAAATTGATGATCGAGGCGGAGCTAGAAGAGGCGGCCACAGACTCCATAACATGGAATACTGATGAGGGAGCGGGTGTCTCTGTGTCTGGACAGGCAGACGTACATCTCTACCGCTGTGCCCTCCCGGATATCCTCGGCAAGGGCCGAGCACATCGACGTTTCGTTGGCGGAGTAGTCGTTATTTTCGGACTCCCATGTGATAATTCTATGCCAGGAGGTGTGAAGCGCACGGAGAGCGTGAGGGCGGACGGCATCGGCATCCAGTAGGTAGAGCCCATGTACTCTATAGGGGGGGGAGATGGACTGTTCGAGATGGTTAGGGAAGGAGTTGTTGAAGTGAGGTTGAGGCGCATTCTTGTTAGAATACGGCTCTCCCAAGCTGAGATTCTGTATCTTCGCGGAGGACTGACAAAAAACGTGACGACATGAACAAACCATAGAGGGTATCTGACAACGTGCCTGGAAGTCGATTACGATTGGTGCGGGAGGTTGCTCCGTAGGTCGGACGGCGTCTCAGACGTTGTCTGTTGACTATGAGTGCGATCTCAGGCAAAAAAGCGTGAGTGCGTACATACCATCGAGTCACCCATTGGTATCGCTCGCATCCTAGTCAGTGCGGTCAAAATGTTTCCGTATGGGGCCTTTGGGAGCGCGACATTCGAGACAGGCTTGATCACATACGGGTTCCTACCGCGGAGACCTGGCGACCTAGACCACACCTTCTAAAACATCACCGAGTTGGCACTGCAAGATGTAGTCGTCGAGGCACGGTTCATGCTCAAGGTCACAACAGGTTCAAGAGATAGAGTCCCTGAGTGTTGAGGTCAACAGCGCAACATCCTCGCCGTCGGACGGCGGCTCGCCGGTTAGTGAGAAATCGGCATTGGACATGAGGGCCAGATCATTCATCGCTAGGCGGCGTCCTTGGCCTTGACAAACAGCCGGAGAGAGGCTGGATTTCCGACATACTTCAGTTAAGTGCCTGATTGAGGAGCTATGAAAGAGCTGGAGGTCCTTAGTGACCAAAGGCCCGCGACCTCAAAGTTCATTCAACGTATGCTCAAGTTAGAGACTGCCCGAGACGGGGCGCAAGAACAAGAGCGTAAACACACCATGTAACTGCACTGCTCGCAACGCGCGCAGTTTTCTTCCCATTGTCTTGACTGGGGACGACCTCGGGGACGGCGAGGATCTGAGGTGATGGAGCGCGTGGGCTCGTCCTGAAGGAGAAATTGCTGCTGAATTGATGCGTCAGCGGGGAGCCCTTCACCTGGATTTTAGCGCTATCCTTTTCTTCGTTTCTCAACGTAAGGGTATTGAGCGTGACTTAATCAGTAACAGGCTGTCATTTCGGAAAGCGTACGGAGACGAAGGTCGCTAGCATATCTTCGAGCTCATTAGACGTAGCATACTCTTGTCTACGCAATGGCTAGCACTGACATATTTCGGCCGCCGGGCTCGCTTGAAGTAGCAACGAATTGCCATTCAGGGGCTGCCGGATGGCTGCGTAGTCGCAAAGTTATATTGTTGTCCTATAGTCCCGTGTGTTGGATGCAGCTGGTCTGCACACGGAACGGAAGCGCAAGAGTGGGTTCGCCTCTTCGATTGGCTTATGCATTACGAGAGGCAGTTAGTTTGGCCGCTAGTACCTGTACCGGAGTATAGAATGATTCAGTCAAGCAGTCATATCTTCGTTATATCGAGTATAATCCCGTAAAAAATAGAGTGTAGCTGTGAACAGAATAGCTTGATAGGTGACGAACATCGTCGAAACCAAGGAGGTGAGCTCCAGCCACAACAACAAAGTTTCCGAGTTGACATCGCCGACCTGGGCGCTCCATTTGCCACATTAGGCTTTTAGACGCGCGCACGTGTTCATCGCGTGCCGAGACCCGGGTGGGCCTCGAAAAGAAGTCAAGACCTTAGACGATCCTACATGATTAGCACGCTGAAACCTCCATCCTTAGTCTCCAGCCCTACCTCTCTCTCTCGATTTCAGGTAAAGCTAAAAGGCGTAGGACCCGACCATGACTGCACTAGCCGTGGATTCTATATCTCTGGTTCTTTGTCGTAGGGCGCTCAGGATGCATATTTGCGCTTATTCCAAGGTTGTTTAGCGTTGCTCCCTTCGCTGTTCTAAAGTCTGTCCTCCCCTTTGTCCGACTTGTACGCTTCAAGGACTGCTGTACGCTGCTTCGCTATGGGTTCCTCCTGAGCTCGTAGACGTCGTCACAGGAAGGGCTACCCACTCATGAGGTCAGGTGTTCGGAGTCTGCATCGGTGAGTCTCCCGGTAACCTTCTTGGCCGAAGATTCGGCCATGCGATCAGCATGAGGGGTGAATCAAGTTAAATTACCAAGCGAACGAAAGCGGATACTATGCCAATCACAGCGATAATCTACATCAAAGCATCCTAAACTATCATGGAGGAGTCAACGAGCACAAGCATAGTAATCGTGAAACATACAGTACGTGGAAGGTGTCATTACCCGGCTTTAAACCCGCGGGCCTGCGCCTCCTCGCATTTCTTCCTCAGCAATCCCAGCCATACACGAAATCGTGCTCTCGCGGGCTGCTCGCGCCCACCTCGTCCTCAGTCGTGCCCGGCTTGCACAGCCCAGCGCCGTATTCCTCCTTCAAGAGCAACTCGACCACGTTCCGCGCCGCGATTGTCTCCGTCTCCATCGTCGAGATCAACCTGTCCAAACAGCATCCTTCAGTATCCCCGACCAACCACGTCCACGGAAACCCAGCCACACTCACGGCTCGAACGCGTTCACGTAGTACAGCCCCTCCGCGAGCTTCACCGGCGGGAACTCCGTCGTGGGCGGTAGCACCGGGTACGCGTCCCACTCCTTCCGCAGCACCCACCCGACCTTCCCTCCAAACACCCCCCGCAGCCACTCGTCGTCCAGCCGCGCCTTCGAGAAGATCTTCACGACCCACTCTTCCTCCCCCGTCTCCGTCAGCCTCTTTTCGCCCTCCTTGGTGAGGACGTGCCCGTGATAGGTGAGCGAGTTGAACTCTGGCTCTGGGCGCCCCCGCAGCCGAACGCCGTCATGCGTCGTGAGGACGGTCGTAGGCGCCTCAGCATGCGGCGGGAGGTTGAAGTAGGACGCGTTGGGCGTGCGCGCGGATGTACTGAGGAGCGTCACGTGCAAATGCACGTAAGGCTGCTCGGGGACCGTCGCGGCAAGGTCTGAGGAACCGGTAGTCACTTTGAGCCCCGTTTGGTGATACGGCGCCGCGATGATGACCGCGCGGTAGAGGCGACCTTCGGAGGAGGAGGCGGTTTGGATGATCCAGGGCACTTTGGAGGAGAGCTTCGTGACAGACTTCACCTGTGAAGAAAAACAGTTCGGTATTCTTCCAAGACAACTACCGAGGCATCGTGATTACCGTCGTGTTCAGGAAGACCCGTGCGCCAGATTGCGCGATGAAGTGCTCGAAGATCTGCCAGTTCCCGCCCTTGACACTGGATGCGCCGGTCGGCGCGAGAGAGCACATGCCCTCGAGCGCATGGATTTTGTCGACGTCCTATATGACAGTACCGAATCAGAATAAGTCGGGCGACCAGTGGAACAAGAGCACGTACGTGGCCATAGTTCACCCGAGTTGCGGCTTCCACGAGCTCGCGGGAGAATCGTCTGTCAATACCCTGCGAGTCAAGGTACTCTGCTGTTGTCTGAGCGGTAATCTCCAGCCATTCGAGGTCATTCGCGACCGATGTGATGTTGGACCACCGCGGGGGCGACGGTTCGTACAGGGTCACGAACTTGTCGATCATTGACTTGACCCTGCATGTAAGGCAGGTCTAGAAGAGCAGCGTGGCTTTAGGGTAAAAGAGACTCACAGAGCTTGCGTCTTCGTCGGGGCCTTGTAGCCATACCTCCACAGAATTTTGATCTTGTCAAGCCAGTCGCTGTAGAACCCACCACCACCTGTCTATGCCGACGTGAGACTGCTGAGAAAGCGGAGTTGGAGCGGGAATTATGTACCGTCAAGACGAACTCATGGCCGTCCCATATGCCCATAACATCGTCTTCGTCTTCACCGCTGAACCCGACGCGCTCAAGGCCGAACTCGTCTACCGCACGCCACATGTTCTTGTTCGCCTTGATGAATATAGACGCGCCGAGTTCGTGAGGCTCGAGAGTGGGGTCATCGTAGGGATATACAGTCGTGCTGCCTGTCAAGGAAACGTTCACTCTCAGCATATATATCCAAAGCAAACAGACAAAATAACGGTTGTCGCATTGCAAGGCAAAAGGGGCGCGAATAGTGGAAACGACGGGGCTACAGTACTCACGGCCTCCAATGTAGGTGTTTTTGTCGTACACGTCTATCTCTACGTCCAGCCCATACCTCTCCTTCGCTTTGGCGATCCAAAAGGCGGCTGATGATCCAGCTGCGCCCGCGCCAATGATAGCGACGCGGTTTGGGATAGTCTGTGTCTCCGGGACTTCGGGAAGGGCAATCAGAGGCGTTTGCGAGTCACTAGAGAAGAGGTTGAATGGGAGCTTGAAGGGAAGCTGGAATGCGTAGGCTGGAAAGAACGCCGCGGTTGTCGCCAGGAGAAGCACAGGAGACTTCATTGTTGTGAAGCCGTGCGGGGTGGATACGTAACAGTCTGGCGAGACATCAGCTTCACCTCACAAGGGTAAGACAGGCTGTTGACGTACTCGTCACAGCCAGACACTGCTTCTCTCAGGCAACGACGAAGAGCACAAGAGTAGCAGAACGAAGGAGAAGAGAACACCGTCCTCGACGCACCGCACTCGCTCAGGCTGCGGGGACACCGTGACCTCGCGATCGCCTGATCTAGGCATGGCATCACCTCGGAGCGCCCAAAGGATGATGGGCGCTCCGACAAAACATCCCTAGCCACCGACGACCACGCTCCTCGGATTGGCCTCTTGGTTTCCTGGGTCACAGCGAGAAAACGAGGACACATTATACGCATGGAGCCCAACATGAACAGCACTAAAGGGAAACAGCGCGCAAGGGAAGTGCTCGAAGTGGAGGACGAGGAACAGCGCCATGAACGCATGCGTGAGTCCTTTGCCCGGTCTCCTCGAGCTTCCATGAAGACCGAAAAGTCATACAGATGAGCTGTTGTCTAGGGTGGATGGAGACGCAGGCGCTAGTCCTCCTCAAGTGCCTCGATCTTTTGACTTTGGAGACAGGAGCACATTCCCAGATGCTCCTCCCTTAGAACGTGCGTGTCCTCCCTTGTCCCAGCTCATGGCGGAGCATCTCTTCACATTGCGACCCCCTGGATCTCTATCATGATCAGTGTTGTCTCGCGTCCAAGCGTTCCTGCCAGAGCTGGCGGCGTCAAATGCCGAGCTGCTCCGACGAGCGAAGGAAGACCCTGATAGCGTAGATATCGAAAACCTCAGTGAGGATCAGGCGCAGTACATCGAGATGGTAAGTGCTCCTTCCTTTCTCTCAGGATGTCGCCGTCTGCGATACGGACGCCGTCCGAGCCTCAAATACCACCGAAGACACGACGACTAGCAGCGAGAAGTGCCCGTCCTGTTGGTTAGTCGACGCCCGCGGTCGAGCGTCTGGCTGGATGGGTATCTCGTCTGTTGGGTGGTGGGATCCTTGGCTTTCTCGTCTCTGTTAGGCGGTGTGTCGGCAAGCTCAAAACGTCTCACTGACAAAGCATCCCGTAAGACAACATCCATGAGCGCGCTGCCCACATGTGTGCTTCGTGTGTGCACTGGTGGGCAGCGGCCTATGGTCATCGCCATGAGGATGAGGTGAGATGACCCGTATCTCGCATGCCTCCTGGAGGCTTGTGTCTAACTGAGCCGTACATCCACGGTGCAGGGTTTCCCACCACACCATAACTGCGCGACGGACCAGTATCTCGCACCGTTCTCGCCTAGTCGTCTCTCACGTCCGGGACGCAGCTTTTCCGAGACCCACACGTCACCTATTATTATCAGCCGCAGCCAGCAGTGCGAAACCGCCAGCTGCACATCTGTCCACCGTACGACGTCAAGGCGTTTTCCGTTCCCAAGCGTGGCACCCGAACTACTATAAATTCCCGAGCGAAACGCTTGGTGTTCTTCCCCGCTCTCCCCCCCCTGTCCGCTCGCCCTTCTCGTCATGATGCATCTGCGTTTCTCTGGCATCCCCGCTAACACATCTGCCTGCGCAGAATCTCGGCCTGGGAGTATTCGAGAGTCGCGGGCAAGCTCCTGCGAACATTCCTGTCGCAGACGTCGACCTCGACGACGTCGAGATGGACAGTTCTGAACACTCTTCCTCCACCTCCGACTCCGACTCCACCTCTTCCTCCTCCTCAAGCCCCTCGGACGACTCTGGCTCCGACTCCGACTCCGACTCCGACTCTGACTCTGACCCAAGTGAAGACTCGGACGTCGACGACATCGTCCTCCCCCCTCTAGCCCCAGGTCCGTCGGCGACGTCTAATGCCGACGCGCGGCCCATCAGACCGCTGCCCAAGCGCACACGAGGACAAGGCGGCCCTAGCCCTGGCCAGAAGCCAGAGATAGTCGTGCTATCCGAGAGCCATCACAGCGACGGCGATGGCAATCCGAGCCCCTGAGGTCCGAGGACAGCTCTGTGACGGGACGACCGGGGCCGAGTCCCCTGGCGCGGAGATGCCTCATCCCGCATTCCGACGCTCTGATGTACCTACCGTGCGCCTGTTCATGTTCGTCAGAATCTGTTGCCCGCGTTCCCTCGCGTCCCCTCGGTGCCCGTCCCCGCCGAACTAGCGACGTACATCCCGGGCATGATGTTCGCACATGCACCCACACATCCTCGAAATACACTAATAACAACATCATCTATTCATCTGTTCCGTGAATAGGCATCTATGATACAATGCGTGTGCGTGTACGCGAGAGAACATGCAGTGAAAACGTAAGGAAGCGCAGAAGATAACTGAGTGTGATAAGTACATCCATGCGGCGTGGAGAACAGAAGCGAGCGGCCGCAGCTCGTGCGGTGCTCTTAAAAAGGTCAGAGTGACAGCCGGATGGGAAGCGCAGCGTCTCGTCCAGACGTAGATATCGCAGGTTCCCATACGGGCCACTATAACGTAGCGCATTCTAGCGCGGGGGCGCTCGACGCCCGTTCTAGAAAGATTCTTGTTCCAATTGAAGTTGCGGACACTGAGAAAAGAGCAACGATGATGAAACGGGGGCAAGATCCAAGAAGAACATGATACATGATGGGAGCAGGGAGAGAGAGGACGGATAGCAATGTTGTGTTGCTGTTCCAACAGAGTCGATGGTGGTCAGAGTACCATGTCTGCGTTCTGTGATGTCCAAATATGCTGTCATGCCACGGGAGACGGGCTCGACCCAATCGCCACGGTGACAAGAGATTGGATGCCGTCAGTCGCCTATGGGTGAACGAGCGTTCACCACCCGAACGCCCTAAGAAAAAAAGTGGTTAGCGCCAGCAACTCACACGCCCACGCACTCGAACGGAGCGGCGCAGCAAGGCACCGAGATGGAGGTACTCACTCTTCGTGGAGCTCAATGCCGCCGATCGTCTTCCTCCGCTTCGGATCAAACCCAGCGACCGCCTTGCGCACGTCGTCGCCGAGCCCCGCAGGGCCGCACACGCCCACGATGACGCCAGTCAGACCGCCCCCGCCCCGCCGGCGCTCGTGGCCCCCCGAGAAGAGGGCCGCGGCGCGGTCGACGACGCCCGAGAGGACCTTCCCGAGCTTCGGGCGCGCGGGCGAGAGCGTGAGCCCGGGAGGCAGCGCGCGGAACGTCTTGAAGACGTCCGGGGACGCCGGCGCGCGCGTGTAGAACACGGAGATGCGGAGGCTCGCGTACCCGTCGTACGACTGCGCGAGGAGGGACGCGAAGAGCGGGAGGAGCGGCCCAAGCGCGGCGGGGTCCTGGATGCACCACACGAGCTCCATCGCGCGCACGCGCGAGCGGTACTCGAGGTCCTTCTTCACCAGGTCCTGCACGGCCGCGAGCGCGAACGTGATGCCCGAGCCGCCCGCGACGAACATCGCCCCGGAGAACGAGGAGAAGATCGCGTGCCCGGGCCCGCCGTACGGACCCTCGATGACGACCTGGACGGAGGAGCCGAGGCCGTTCGCCTCCCCGTAGTCCGCGCGCTGGGCGAGGTCGTAGAGCTTGCCCGTCCAGTCGCCCGCTTTCTTCACCATGAGCACGAGGCCCTCGCCGCTGGGGCAACGACTGACGCTCGCGATTGTGAACGGGTGGGCCTCGGCCCAGCCACGCCAGCCCATGCCCCAGGAGAGGACGCGGAGGCGCACATGCTGGCCTGCGCGCCAGCCCGCGTTGATGGCGGGCACCTCGACGCGGGTCACGCCAAGGTCAGGGAGGGGACGGAGACGGGCCATTGATACGCGCGACCGGATGATGCGTAGCAGGCGGTCAAGGCCGTAGAAACCGACAGCGCAATAGACATAGGGCTTCGCAACGGGGACGTGCTCGCAAACCGACACAAGGAGGATGACCATCGAGGCGATGTGCGACGGGATGAAGATTGCATTGTAGAAGTTCGTCCTGATGAAGTCCGTTGACAGGAGGAGGAGCAAGTCGGCGCAGATGAGCGCGACGAGTGCCCACGAGAAGGTGGGCTTAGCGATGTCCTGAGCGAACGTTCCGGCAGCGGTCCACTTATAGACTGCAGAATGATGGCGGAAACGATCAGTGTCTGGCGCCCTCATGGAAGGTAAGGGCAGAAAAGCGCCTACAGTATCCAATGGCGTGGACGTTCGCGGCGAGGACGAACATGCGGCCAGCAAAGCGGTGGAAGTAGTTGAGCTGCGACGGCGTTCAAGTGTCAATTATAGCACAATGAACGTCAAATGAATGCAAAGCGCAGCACGTACACGCTCATAGCCAAAGCCGATCAGCATGCCCAGGAGGTTGTTTTTCGTGCCGAGAAGCATGACCACAGGAATCTGGCTCGCAGCCACGAAGCCTGCGCGCAAGGGATCCGTGAAGGGGTTGGACATGTAGAGCCCGGCATAGAGCAAAGTGCCGAAGTAGCCTAGGAGGATGATGCTCTTTCCAATGGTGAGGCCGGGACGGATGGTGTTCCGGAGGAAGGCGGCCGCCCTGGGCAGCATGGTAGACCAGCCGGGCATGTGCGTCGGAACGTTCTGACTCCTCCGCTCTCGTCCACTTGCGGTGGAGGGCTTACGCAGGATGTCGACATGCGAAGAGACGTACGTGTGCGAGGCGTCAGTGGTAGCGCCCCATTTGTCGGAGTACTCGTGGGTGTAGGCCGACTCCGCGCCCGTTTCGCGAGAAAGGTGCACGGGGGAGATGGGGGAGATCACATCCTGACGCTTGGCCGACGGGCGGCGGACGACGGGGGCAGGTCCGTCGAGGCGGACGGAGCGGAGGAAATGGCCGTCGATCCATTCACGCTTGTGTGTAAACCGGATGGTCGCGCGAGGCAGAAGCAGAAGAACAAAGGAAGCGACGCAGCAGAGCAAGAAAACATCGATGTTGAACACCAGGTTGGAGACGTTGAAAGGAAGAGCGGCAGCTACTGGCGCTGCCGCCTTGCCGGCCGTGGTCGTCGCGTTGGCTGCGGCGAGAATGGGCATGGTAAAGGAGCGAGTGTGGGTAAAGAGTGACGGTGGGGGGGACCGGGGGACAGTCTGTTAAGTATACCGGATGAACCAGGTCAAGCCCGCAGTCGATTGAAAACTGGAGAGGCCGTGGCGGTAGCAGAGGACGAGCATCGGACGGACGCACGCACTGGCACGCACGCTTTCCCCTGCCAACCTTTGCTGCGCCTATTCCGCTTGTTCTCTTTCCCCGGCCCGGCCAATCCCCCGCTGGTTATCTAATCACCTCACCTCCTTCGTTACCGGTGCGACAGTCACCACTTCATTGTGTATAGTGCTCCACCCCAGGTGAGTTGTTCTTGTTGGAGCTCAGTTGCGAGGTCCGCACACGACAGTTCACCCGTCCGACCAACGGCACTGCGCCATAGCCAGACCAAGCAGCAACCAGCTCGGCTGACGACTGCCTGTGCTCGCCAACACGACCAGCGTCGTGCCGCTGGCGAGCAATCTTGGCCTTGGGCTCCTTGGAATGAATGCCAGCGACCTTCGGACTCGCTCCATTCGTATACTCTTTCGCTTGCACATAGCGTGGCCTCACAAACGCGGACAGTTGCAGTGGACGGCAGGCGTCCCTAGATATTCGCACCATCGAGGGCCCATCGTGCCCAGCGCTCGCGTTGGCCTGCGCCAGCTCATCCGTAGGATCTATCCTCGGAAGTGTTCGGTATTGTGATGACGTAGTTCAATCCTACTCTTCACATTCCAAGTCCGTCCCCTGGTGAGCGCCTCTCTTCCGTCCTCTTCTCCATCTCCCCTATACCCATACCCTGCTTTTGATATGTGTCTCTGCACAGCTGCGGATCGTTACTAGACAAGAGAATGCGTGAGCGCACCCTGCGTCGATATAGGTCATTTAGGTCCCACTTCGATTTTCACCAGTCAATTCGTGATGGGCCCAGCGAGGAGGTCAGCCTACCGATCACCGCCAGCCCCCCCAATCTGCCGTGAAATTACAGTCCAAGGGCCGATACACCTCATCGACTGCGCTACCTGTGAAACCCTACTTACCGGCAGCTTCAAGACACAAAGCACGCATACGTGCGACGCGGAGCCATGCATGCCGTCATGAAGCGCCTGACCCACTCCTTCAAGCCTCTCCTCGGTCGCGCCGGCAGGAGCAAGACATCCAAGACGGGCTCCCATCTCGGTGCTGGCGAGGACCGGAAGCAGGCGCCGGACTCAGTGCCCATGATCGCGGTCATACCGCCGCTCGAGGACATGCACGTGTACATGGACGAGGACAATCTGGGCAACCTGGTGCGTCGCATCCCCGTTCCTCGAAACACGGAGCGAGGCTAACGAGTTTGTGCACAACAAGATCATGCGTGATGTCCAGTGCCTCCCGGTCGTTGAGGATATCTTCGTCGCATGCCGCTCGACCACGCTCGCGCACATCTCTACAGAGGAAGCCGTCGACTCTAAGAGCAACGTGCAACCCTCCGAGCTCACGAAAGCCTCGGAACCCGAGCAGCCGAAGCCGTTGTCCGTCGCGGAACAGAGACGCAAGTTCATAGCTAGTCTGCCTCTACCTCCACCCCCGCCCATCAAGCCTGCCTGCCAGATGCCCCCAGAGCTCCTCACATGGATGCAGCTCTTCCAAGGGGACATCCTCGACGACGAAGAGAACGGCGAAGGACGAACGCAGTTCTCCGAGACGCTCAGCACGCAGCAGCTCCTCGTTCTCAGTCTCCTCGGCAAAGGCGCGCAGGGCAACGTCTATCTCGTCAAGCACCGGTCCAAGATGGTCTTCTACGCGCTAAAGACTATCCCGAAAAGCACGGACAAGAATGGACACTATGCGAACCTGTTTGCAGAGCAGTTCGCGCTCAAGATGGTGGCGGGCGACCCGCGGTTCGTGAACTTGCAAGGGTCGTTCCAGGATGACGAGTGTTTCTACATCCTGACCGTAAGTCATTCTTCTCATAATCCGATACTGCGTTATGCTCAATGCGTGTATAGGACTTGTATGCCTACGGCGACCTCAGGAGCGAGATGCGCGAGGTGGGGAAGTATGGCGAGGAAAAGGCCCGTCGTTACGCCGTCCAGATTGTACGTCTTTCTCGCCTTCCCCGTCATAGTCCCATCATTACTCATTTGCGACACTATGCAGGCCGTGTCAGTCGAAGCCCTCCACAAGCAACGTATCCTGCACCGCGACCTCAAGCCTGACAACCTCTTCCTCAACTCCCGCCACGACATCATCCTTGGGGACTTCGGCCTGTGCCGCATTTTCGGACGCTCGATTGCCGAACAGCCGTGGCGTGGGGCTGGAGTCCGGGCGTGGATGCTGCCTGAGGACCATCCCAGTCAAAAGCAGAGGATGGGTGGAGCGGACAAGGCGAAGAGGGTTTGCGGCACCCCTAGGTACATCGCCCCTGAGGTGTATGGACTGGAGTCGGACGGATGGTATTCGTATTCGGCGGATATCTTCTCGTTTGGCGTGATCTTGTATGAGTTGCTGCATGGCAAGGTGCGTCACCATTCTGCGACCCTGTTGGGTACTTTGTGCTGTGAATTGGCTTGAATAGCTGCCTTTCGGGATGAAGAACGACGACGTTGTCGAGCATCTAGTCGTTCGTACTACTCGCGCCGAGTTAGAGGTCGATCAAGATGTGAGCGAGGAAGCAGGCGATCTCCTTCGCTTAGTATGTTCCTCTGTTCATCCGGAGCGTGGTGTCGTTGACCGGCTGTTCCAAGATTTTGGCCAAGGATCCCGGCAAGCGTCCGAGCTGGGCCGAGATCAAGCAGCATGCATGGTTCCGGTCAATGTATGTTCGTCGCGCCTATTCGCTGGATGGAGCTCATTGACCTCTACAGCGAATGGGATAACGTCGCACCCAAGTCTCAGCCTCCGACGCCAATCATGTTTGAACACTTTGATCCCGTACGCTCTTCCTCTCATCGACGGTCATCTCGTAATCATGCCATCATCAGAGTTCTGAGGCCCGGGCCACCAAGTTCGGCAAGCAAACTGCCAACAACGACCCTCCTTACTCTTTCTTCGACTGGACTTCCCCTGAGATCCGTTGTCAGCCCTCCGTTTCTACCACCAGCATGTACAAGGTGTCCCGCGACTGGGAGCCGAATGCGGACATCCTCGAGGTCATGGGGTGGCCGGTAGGCTGCTCCCAGAGCATCTTCGCCACCTGCCCTCCCACGAAGCCTTCGCCCGTACACCGCACTCCCCTTGTCGTCCCTGGTCCTCTCAGCACACATCAGTCGTCTTCTGCCATCGTCGTTCAAGCGCATTCTGGTGGCCCTGATCCATCCACTTCCGACCCATCGTCAATGTCGCCGACTTCCGCAGTCTCCCTCAAGGGCAAGAAGGCTCATAGTCAGCATGGAACGAGCAAGCGTAGCACGCATTCAGAGCCCCAGGCTCTGACCCGTGCAGTGTCAGCTCTCCCTGCTTCCTCTCCTTTCTCTGTTCTTGAGGTAATAGATGAGGCTCCTGTGGCCTCTAGAGCTTCCTCGTTTGACTGCGTTGACATTGCGAAGGCCCTGGACATCATGGATTCAGCCATTCTGATTCACACACGCGGCGAGGTTGGTGCACACTGTTCTCGTTGGAGCTCGATGCCGAGTAATGCCAATGTGGATGCGACTATGACCATGCCCTCTACTGGCGTCTCTCCCTTTTTCAAGTGCCTGGGCATAGATCGGGCTGCCGACCTCGTCACTGGCTCAATGGCGCTGCAGCCTGTTCGCATCCGGAGAGATTCTTCGACCATCCTGCCCTTCTCGGACACCGTCCCACAGACGCTCCTAGACGCTGGTGTAATCAAGAGCATGTCGCTGGCCTCGGTACTCATGGACACTCCCATCATGCCCTTGCGGTACAGTTCCAGCGCAACATCCTCCAGCTCCCAGGGGTCAGCCGACGACAGCACGTCTTCGACCGCCGGCACCGGCTCGAGCACCCATTACTGGAGTAGGAACGCAAGCTCATTCTCGCCGTCGTGGGGGTCGTGGGGCAGGTTAAGCAGCCGCGTGAAGGGCTGGTGGTCGTCTGTGGCGGGAGCTAAGGAAGCTCGTCGTCGTGAGAAGCGGAGAGCAGCCGCATGGATGTAATCGAATTTTCCAATGACAGTCGCCGCAGAGCCTTCTTCTCGGCCATGCTATACGGACGCGTTGCGCTCCATGAGTTCTGATGCGCCTGGGTACAGTACATTAAGTTGTATGTTTTCGGCCACAGTGATCTGTCGGTCGTCGCGTCTCTCGTTCGTCATCCATCTCAGTCCGCTGTTGCCTACCCCTTGCCTCACCAAGCAATAGAAGCCCTCTGCAATGCCACTGTCTGCCTCGGTGACAGCTTCCCCTCCAGAGCGTCTACTTGTAAGCAGACAGTTGGTCACGCGTAAATGCCATAAAATTGGCTGACGATCTGCGTATACTCCCTAGCAGTCTGATGATACCTTCAACACGCCAGAAATCTCCCCTCCCTTCAGAAGCTGCAACATCGCTACATATGACTTCCAATTCCCAAGCGGGCTGCCGTGTTTCGATCCAAGTTCACATCTGGAGCCCACGGCCGCTTCTGGAGACAGCTTACCCTTCTGTTACAGAATATTTAGTATTTCGACAACGACGGCTTTCCCTACGTCAATACAACCCCAAAGCTCTCCAGTTCGTTGTCATCCAGTAGTAGCATACGTCCACACACGGGCGGTACTATCAAGAGTCGCTCCTCACTTAAGCTGTCTATTGCATCATGTGACATTCGTCGGCCGGACATTGTGCAGATTCTCCAGTGGCCGACTCAGCCGCTTCCACATCTTCTCAGCAACCATCCTCGTTGACGCCGCAGTCGGTCGCCATCGCGAGCTCCTGGACGATGACATCTGCCACAGCTACAGCCTCTTCTCTCTCACCCGGGCCTGAAGGCTACCTCTTCACTCGTAGTGTCCCACCACAAACAATCGAGCAGCGGGGGCACGGGCGCGATTGTGGGGGGTGTCATTGGAACATTTACCTTCCTCGCGCTCCTTGCGATACTATTCGCGTCGTTCGTCGTTCGCCGCCGCCGTAAATCCCTCCAGCCCCCATCTGCCGAGTTCATGTTCATCGTCCGTGGAAGACGAAAGCTGGACATCGATCCGACTTACTGGAGGGAGACCCCAGCTGAGGACGAGAAGCGGCCTCCTGCCGTTCACGTAACGAGTCCAATGCCTGAGGACGTGCAAGCGTCGGCGGCGATGTGGGAGCGGTATGAAGAGACGAGGGAGGAAGGCGGGTACCAGTGAGCTCGAGTGCACTGAGGTACCATATTGGAAGAGATCACACTATTGCACTGACGAAGTCGCTGACATTTCTTCTCACTAGGTGTCTTCATATTCATTACCTGAGACACGCCTATGTCTCTGAAAAGAAGGATATGCATTCATCCGACTCGAGTCATTTACTCGTAAAGGTACCCCTTGCATACGATGTCCTAGTCCGCTTCGTATACTCGCATACGTGCTGAAGATAACGGGCCTTAAACCTTATGTGCGTTTCTATCTACCCCGCTGCGATGAATTTGACGGTCAACAGACCGGTATGGCTTGCACCCCCCCCCCAGGCATGGCTCCATCAAGATGCGTCACCACGAAACTATTGGCCACCCGTACTTCAACGCCCCAAGCAACTCCCGCGAGTATCCAGGGAGCTGTCAAGTGGTCTTATATATATGTGATTGGTATGACTTCTTTTGTATTATAGGCATCCGTTCCCTTTGCGAGGTCGTATTAGTTTGTCGATATTAATCTACCACTAATGCGCGTTGAGAATGTGGACTTCACCTATGTCAAAGGAGTGCGGCTTCAATCCCTTGAAGTATTGCATATAACAAACCGCGTATCGTGCACAGCGCTACGGCAGGTCGTCGAAACCATTAAGGCTAATTTTCGTACCGTATCGTATTAGCGCAACCTGCGAATCAAGACAAGCTAAGACATCTGGACTCGAAACACACAAAGATATATGGCGGAGTCCTCCTAGTCCGTGTCCGACGAATTATTTGCATTCGACTATGATGGTGTGCATAACTTGACGTGACTACTGGTGATCCTACATATAGGGAAACGATGCACATAGGAGATCTTCCAGAAGAGACTGTCTGAAAGAGTACTAGGTTCGGAGGGTGCGTATGCAGATGTCATCAACAATGATGTCAGAGATGAAGAGGCCCTCGGTAAAAGTCAGCGACTTGTCAGCCTCGCCGAACCCGACGCGTACCACATCATTGTCCCAATCAAGGATAGCCATTCGTGAGGTATTGACCATTGTCCGCGGAAAGGATGGCATGCTGCCAACACTGACATGGTCGGAGCTCCATGTGATGGGAGGCATTCCTGAAGACAGATCTGCATACAATTGGCACGGCACAAAGAACAAGATGCGGACATTAATCGCTGTACATACAAAGCAGGCCGATATTGTGTACAGTGGAGAGCTATTCAGAGACATTGTCGTTCGTAGGGCGCGCTGGCAAATGACATTGATAGCGATGTCAGTCATTGGAGGTGGAAGAGCCCCTGAGGAAGAGATCAGCGGTCTCTCAGCTCGGCAGCGATATTGAGACGTACAACATCATTGTCCCAGTCGAACCACCATTGTGCCTTGAGTGATCTACGCCCCTCAACCTCGGCTAGAGCATCCTTTATAGTCTTTATGACCTTCTCGTCGTCAGGGCAGTATGCGTATCGTTCGTCGAAGTTGTAGTTCGTCCACAGAGATACAATACCATCCCACTCCAAGCTGAATGGACGGCCGTGATTAAGGCCAAAGTGGCACTTCCCCTCAGGTCCTTGACCATCAGGAAGGAGGATATAGACATCGCGAAGACCTGCATATCCTCGTTGGCTGCTAACCACTCATCGGTGAGCTCGGCCATGTCAAGCACCGACCGACCACCGAACTCCTCTCTGTCTTCTTCTGGGATGTCAACGGGTAGGTGGCGATGGCAGACGTAATCCAGTGCGTATGTCCGAGTAAACGGGAAGCCATAGTGGTAGAGCGGGGGTTTACGGTCAGGACCGGGGAGGAGCTTCCTCGGAAGGACATCCCGAGGAGGCCGGTTTGCCATGAGCCTCTTCCATCTCTACATTGAGAAGCCAGTCAGTCGAACAGAACGAACAGGCAGGAATATGACTTACGACTTCTTGAGCCTTCTCTGCAGCCTCCGTATACCTATCGCCACGTTCGCGATCCCACTCGTACAGATACTGGCCGTTCTCCCAATAAGCGGAATTTTTCACGTCCGTGACTGTGTTAGGCATGGGGGTGAGAAGAGATGCGTGCCAGCGTAAAGATCCCAAGTTCTATGAGGCGCTGGAGATCCCATCTCTGGCCCCGGCCCACGGCCCGGGAGAGCCAGACCTTCTCAGCGCTCCGTTCCGCCTTCAGTACTCCTTCACAACGCTCAGAACTGTTGGAAGGAACCTCGATGCACACGCTATTCATAACGACCTATGTGGTAGCAACATAGCTTGGGAATCCATGATCTTATTCATAAAAGCAGCGATTAATGTCGAATACGTTACGAATCGACTTTGTCGCCACTGTCCCTGGCCGGGTCTACACGAACACGGTCGGGATGCGTCTCGTGTGTTCTCAATAGTCGTCAGACGAGAGCGCGTCGTATACAGGACAAAGGTCTGACCAGGCATGGGGAGCCGGGTCGGCAGACTTGACGTCCGGGATGTCCTCAGCCATAACAACGGCGAACCCAGTGTCGAGATGGGAATCGATGTGGCAGTGGAGGAACCACGGGCCAGGGTTGTCGGTTCGGAAGCGAATCGTGACATTGTCGGTGGTGCTGTTACCAGTCGAGACCGTGTCACGCCAGACTGGGTTGTCATAGTTGTATGCAGTTGAGCCGGCGCTGCGGACCACAGCGAAGCTAAGCTGTAAGGAAGATCAGCTTGAGGGATTGGACGAAGGATAACATTGCGGGAGGACTTACACCGTGCAGATGGATTGGATGGGGGAAACCCACAGCACTAGCGGACGTAGGGAAACTGATCTCGATGGATGAGTGCATCGGAAGCGCATATATGCTGTTGCGTGGCATGAGGTCCTGCGCGGACTGCGCCCCGCTCAGAATCTGCAGCAAGACAGGAGTGGTTGGAGGAACAAAGGAGACATTGTTGATGTAGTAGTTATAGCTGCTTTTGTTAAAACTGAAACGCATGCTGATAGCCTTGTCGACACCATCCTTCGTAGGAGTGCCAGGCTGAACGACGGGATTAGTAGGTAGCCTATGAGAAAGGACACCATAGGAGCCATTGCAACTGACCGTCTTTCTTGGGACGAGAGGGTGCAGATCGACTTCATTGAGAAGGTTCTGGGTCGCCTGCTGGGACGTCTTGGGTTCGACGGGAGGTGCCCCATCGTAGCGCAAGATTGCTGAATTATAGCCTTCTGTGTAGCCGACGAGTTTACCGTCATTGGGATGGGCTCGGATCCAATAATTGCCAATCGTCTGGTTCGCAGTGAGCTGTTTACATTGGTTCATTATGCCTCACTTTTTAAAGCAGACTACCTCAAAGAGATACTCACGACGACCGAGTACCGCTGAGAAGAAAATATCTGGATGGCGTTGATGGTGACAGGCTGAGTCTCAATGCCATCGGTTTCTATGACGGTTAAGTCGTGATTGTCAATGCTGAAGACGAAGTTTGGGTCGCATGATATCGAAACCAGGCGTAAGCGGTAGCTATGGATCTGCACTCAGTATGATTCCAGGATTATGAACTCGATACGAGCCTACCGCTTCCCCCAAGTCACTGAGATCACTGCGAGTTCAGCTGTTGGCGTCTCGCGGCTACGACCTCGACCGTTGATGAGAGTTGCGTCGAACCCAGTTCCGGGCACCGCATTACTGCAATGTGATATTATCACCAACGGATCCAATGGCACAATGACGGTTCGCACTCACGGGAAGATGAAACCGACTTTGGCAGCAAGGTGGTACCAATCCGCAAGGGTGATCACAGTCGAGTCTATTGCACGTAAGCATCATCTCTGCCGTGAGCACGTCACTGAAATTCACCGTCGTCAACGTCGTAAAGAGAAGCGTGAGGATCCTCAGGGTCGTAGATGACGAGTGGGCCTCTCAGACCATCACAATACTGAGTCGAGAGGTGGCTATGATACCAGAAAGTACCTACGGGAAAGGACGTAAGTATTACGGGGCATACAGGGGTGTCTATCTTACCGGCCTGACCACGGACCTGGAAGTCATACAAGAATGAGTTCCCGCTGGCGATTGGACACTGGTTGACAAATGCCGCCCCGTCCGCCCAATTCGTACCCTTTTGAGTGATGCCATGCCAATGCTGAACAAACATTATATGAGCAAGATACGTGGACAGAGTTCAGATATACCATACAACACTGGTCGTCTTGTTCATAGTATGGTTAGTCAATCGGTTGATGACGTTGATTTGGAAGCGATCGCCCTGTAAGCAAGCAAAAAGATAATCAGAAATCCTAGACGTAACTAAATGCTGTCGGGTGAACCTTGTTGCCAGTGATGAGCGGCCCGGGAAAGACGCCATTCATTACAATCGCAGGGCGAGGGAAGTTGTCCGGAGCTATGTTGGCGTTGGAGATGATCAGATCAGCATTGGGTCCGATGCCCGCAATTGCAAAGACGGCAAACAGGATAGTGATGAAGCTGAGCAGAAATGGGGAATTCGCCATGGTGAGCCCTAGTTGAGAAAGGCGCTCGAAGGTGATCGTAGGGCTGGAGTTAGGGACGTCGATGCGAGTCTGCCGATTGATTCTTTTATATTATATCGTATAAGCGACGATGGGCGCGCCAGTGGAAAGAAAAGTACTGGCTCACGCTGCGGATTAGGCGGCCTCCACATGACGCTCGATGATAGTAAAGGCCCATAACGCCTGGTACCAGTGCCATAGTACCGGTGAATATACCGCGACCTGGATCTACTACAGCCGGCCGTGGCGCGAGTGCTACGGATCGTGCAAAGATCGGCCTCGTCAATATTGTGACCTAAAAGACGTGGTCGTACCATGTATAGGCGTCCGAAGTATAAAACTAGTAGGCCTTCTGAACTTTAGCAATGTTCTAGCGCGCGCGAATCTACTACGAGACTGGAGGTGCTTACCATCGCCTCCTTGTGCTCCTGCAGCAGAACCTCATAGAGAAATCCTTGGCGTGAAGTTACTCTCAGGCTTTCAACAGCACTGCGCTGGTGGTGTCCAAGGCGACCGACGTTGATAAAGTCTATTAGGACAGTTCCTGGGAGCGTTCACGAGTGCAGAACGTTGTAGATACAGTAGAAGAGGCGCACATAGATACCACGGCAACGCACCATCCTTGAACCTTACGCTAGTGAGCCCTGGGTTGGAATGCGCTATTGCTGTTCGCAGTGCTATCAGGTACACACGTAGGACGACCTACATGACCTATCAGCTGGTGGTGATTCGCCCACTGAACAACATGAAGATAAGGACTCAACATCGCTCTATTGAGATACAAGACGGGAACCGCTCGACATATTAGCATAGGAGAGTCCAAGAGCATAGAGACGTGAACGTTTGAACCGTAGTCTAAAGACTAAGCATGTTGAAATGTGGCGCATAGTCAGGCAGTGCATTATAACAATTACGTAAGATGATAACCTATAAGGGAATACAGTGGACATCCGTCAAGCACAGCAGAAACCCGGGAGAACTATGGCAAGGTGCAATAAAGAGAAGCGAGCACGGCGGAACGGCGGTGCGCAGGGTATTCAGACATTCCAGCCGGACCCGTTCAAGATGTTGTCGATCCAAGAGAGATCGTCCGAGGTTGCAGGCGCTTCGCTGGCCGTCGTAGGGGGTTCTGGAAAAGCTTCTCGGAACATAGCGTCCAAAGCAGCTTGTCCGTCTAGAGCCCCAACATCGCCATACACGGCGCCGTGCATTGGCATCGCACTAAGCTCTGACGGCTGGGACAGTGCGACCGGCGCGGACACGGTGGAATGATGGGTCGCAGCAGGCAAGTTCCGAGGGGATTGTGCGGGCACAACCATGTGCGTTCCAAGTGAAGAAGAGCGGGAGCCCTGGAAGTCGCCTGAGCTGTAGGATGCGCCAGCGGATCGAAGGAATTCTTGGTACTCTGGGATTACAGGAATGAAAGTTGGGGGTGTGACGACCCGTTTCCGACGGTCCCTCCGTGATGCCTTTCTGGAGCGAGCGGTAGAAGACGCATCAGTGGACGCTTGCGGATACGGCGTGTACCGGACGCTCTGGGAGGTCGAGGTGAGACAGCGAGAAGACTGGCTGCCGGAGGCCATATGTCCGATCGTGGGAAGGGGCGTCGACGGGTCAAGGGGTGCAGGGGCAAAAGAGAATATGAGGCGCTGGTGCGCCTCCTTGACGCGCGGGTTATGGCGACAGTCACGGGCAAAGCCGTGCATACGACTGTACGCATCTTTGCGCGCCTCATATCCACAGTACACGCAGCTAAGCCTGCGTAAGTTGAGATGACAGTCCTCGATGTGCTTCTTCAAGCTACCGAGTTTCGCAACCGTGGTGCAATGGTCCCACAAACATTTCACCTTGTCGCGGTCCTTGGACGCGTAAAGATCTCGCCGGTGCGGCCCGCCGTCCTTGCTGATGTGATCCGACCACATCTTGTCGATCCTGTGGTATTCAGTGCAATCTCCCCACTGGCAGCGCATTTGTACGAATGGGGGCACGACTTCTTCATCCTCTTCTGGGCTGAAACCAGGAAAAAGGAACTCGTAGGGCGGCCAAATTTCCTCGGGAGCGGCGTCACCCGCGTCCTCTCTCTGGATATTCGTGGTGCCGCATGCACCAAGATTGCCAGTGGCTGTAGGCGGTGTTTGGGATGAATCGAGATCGGACGTGAGAACGGGTTCCATAGAGCTGTTGGCGGAGCTAACGAACAGGTCTTGAGCATTGATACGGATGTCCTCATAACAAGTGGCTGCTTGAGACTTACCTGAACACACTGGTGCCCCCTCCACGCGCCAGGTCGTTGAGGAAAAAGTCAACTGGAAATCCATCGACGGGGAGAGGAAGATAGTCTACTGAGCTGCACTGGTGGTTGGATAGAGTTTACCAAGTATGGCAGACATTACTCACCTCTCGTGTGTAGCATGCGACACCCCGTCCTGGGATCCGTGGGTATAAACGTCGAATTCGGCCAAGAGACTGTCGATGCTCGAATATGAAAAGAGAGCGTCATTGGGGAGGGCGTTGTAGACATCGCTTGCTGAGATGTTGCTGTAGACGCGAAGGTGTGAGAGTCGCATCACAGTCCGACAAACTGTTCTCTACCTCTGCTCGAAACCGAAGTCAATGTCCATGGTGACTGTGAGAGATTGAAAAAGGGTGGATAGCTGCGTTTGAGGAGCGATTTGTGGTGGACAGAAGAGGATGTGTTGCGGCGCTTATATACCTTCAGGTGGGGGCTAACCACGACGCAAAACCGCGGCCCACACGTGTACTGAAAGACCTCTTGGTTCTGCTTCCTCTAACCCACCTTCCTTTGTGCTACACTGCCGTCCAGCATCTTGGGCAAAAACGCGGTCGTAATCTCCGGCCGGGCGCGTGCATCGCTTGGGGGCAAGTCACGTCGCTTTGACAGTGCTGTGTCCCCTCTTTGTCGCCCTCCGCAAAGCAACATGTCCCAGAGAGAAAGTATCCATCGTTTCTAGGCATCAGTTTCCTTTTGGGTCACGGTCAGCACGATCCCATGCCTGCCCCCCACTCCGAATAACTCAGCACAACGCTCATACCTACTTCACAATGCAGCGGCACAGCCTATTGTGTTCCATATTTGTGCGTCACTTCTCTATATTCAGGGTGTTGCGGCTATTGTCGAAGGCATGACGCACTTAGATGCATCCCCACGCTTGTAAAGTTCAAAGCGCATCACTCACCAAAGAGTGACGAGGCTTGTACAATCGCTCAATCCTTAGTGCCAGTGTTGGATTATCCCTATCAGGAGTAAGAGACATCATCTGTTCTTCTAGCGCATGAACATAAGAATAAGACAGTAGCCTTCGGATACTGTAGATACTCGATTCAAATTGGTATTACCTCATGGTTACTCCTATGTATGCTTAGCAGACTGGAAGATCCAGGAATACTCATCACAGCTCATCATGGACGGCGCCGTGCTATGTCTTGAGGCCGTGGGCAGTCACAATGGTCGAGACTACTCGACGTCACGAGTGTCTGAGCCTGAGTAACTTGAACCACCAGGCGTCAAGCGCCGGGGTCCCAGCCCACGTGTTTCGCAATACCTCTGTGACGAGTCACATCACGCAACACGTCACAATCTGCCAAGTGAGCGGAATGGCTGGCGGCATTATAGTCTCGTGACCAGACGTTCGGAGCTTTGAGCGGAAATGGAAAAACCGGGACTTTCCGCGCTCCTGAACGTCTGGTGGATCCACCCCCGTGACTCCCCGCTCGGTGACCTGTGTGACTTTCCTGCCTCTCTCCCGACGTGTCCGAGCTGTCTTGTCGCGCGCGCCTGCCTGCTTATCTCGCGACGTCTTTGAGCTGCGCCGAGCCTACCGTCTGCTCGACGTAGATACTCCCGTAACCGGTACATCTCTCTGACTCTCGCGAGCAGTTGCTATATGTCCCCCATACTCAATTCGTCTGTTATCCTCTGTCTCTCGTATGGGCAGACAGAGGAACTCTTCTAGTGCGCGCCTATGGACCCTCGCGGACCCGAGGCAGAACCCGATGAGCTCCACAATGGATGGGGAGCTCTTTTCAAAGACGAGGAGGAGGACAAAGACTACGCTCCGTCCGAGTGCAGCAGCGACCGGCTTTCCGACGCGTCCGACTGGGATCCAATCGAAGCTGCCCCCGAGAC